TTCCTCCGCCATCTCAGGGCCGCCTCCCTAATTCGGTTTAAATGTAACCCGACCTGATTGCTTATGTGAGTGTGCCTGTGAAGTTTTTCCAGTCTTTTCCGACTCTTTGTGACCCCATGGACTGTAGCCCGCCAGGCTCCTCCGTCCCTGGGATTCTCCAGGCAAGAATACTGGGGTGAGTTTCCATTTCCTTCTCCAGGGGATCTTCCCATCGCAGGGATTGAACCTGTGTCTCCTCCATCTTGTGCATCTCAGGCAGACTCTTTACTGCCGAGCAACCGGGGAACGCCCTGATTGTTTACACTTAGGGGTAATGCTGAGCCTCTCTTGGGTGAAGTGACTGACTCCTCAGATAACCTCTCTGCCCCTGCATCACCCCTGAAGGCCCTGGGGTATGGGATGGAAGTCAGGCACACACAACTCCTGATCTTTGGGATGCATTCCCTGGTGCCCTGGTGGTTCCGTGGGGCTGGGGCATTGGCTGGGCTCACTGGGCCTCTGTCCCTCTAAATGCTGCTTGCTCTGCCAGCCTTCCGAGGACAGCCTGAGGGTGGAATAATATATAAAGCATTCCTCCCACTGGTCAGAGCCCAGTCACTGCCTGGAGGACTTGTCCTCATCTTGGATCCTACCAGCAGCAGTCCAACCTCCAGCTCACCTGTCCTCTGGTCCATACCAAGCTCCACTCCAGTGCCACCCACCTGCTTCAGCAGCAGCCTAGGAGCCCCACCTGGTGTCAATACAGCATCCTACCCCAGGGTACCTGGCGATACCACTCCATCCACTCCAACGAAGTAACTAAGGTGGTTCACAGGCTCTTATTTCCCCCAAAACAGCAGACTTGAGAAATCCCCTGCTGCTAATATGACCTAGTTTAAATATGAAATAAACTTCATTCAAAAAATTAACTCTGCAAAATATTCACCATTGTTAAACTTAGGAGATGGGTATTTGTTATATAAGATCATCCCTGGTGGCTCAGTGGTAAAGAATCCACCTATGATGCAGGAGACACTGGTTTGATCCTTAGGCTAGAAGGATCCCCCTGGAGAAGGAAATGTCAACTCACTCCTGTATTCTTGCCTGGAGAATCCAATAGACAGAGGAGCTTGGAATCCCAAAGGGTTGGACACAGTGACTAAACAACAACAGTAATTCGTTATTGTTCTACCTTTCTTCATGTTTAAAAATTTTAATAAAGAAGTAAAGAAAGAAAAAATTAAATAAATAAACAAGCACATACATGAAATTTAAGTCTTTGTTTTTCAAAATTACCAGAAAGATTTATGAGTATACAGCCAGTATAAAGTAAAATCTCAGACTCTGAGCCCATTAAGATGGTTATATTTTTTCACACCTAGGAAAAAAATTCACCAAAGTCACTTAATGCTTCAAGGAGGCCCAACAGTGGCTGTAGGCCAAACTGGGAAAACCTTTTAATCTATCTGGGGTGAGGCCTGGCCATTTCCAGATTTCTATTCCCTCATTTCTAAAATGAGAAACTTGTACTACATGATAATGAGCACCATCTGGCATGAGTCAGGCACTTGACATGTTTTCTCCCTAATTTTGAGCACAATTATTGAAGATATGGGGTTTCCCAGGTGGCTCAGTGGTAAAGAATCTGCCTGACAATGCAGGAAGATGCAGGAGATGTGGGTTCGACCCCTGGGTCAGTAAGATCTCCTGGAGGAGGAAATGGAAACCCACTCCAGTATTCTTGCCTGAGAAATCCCATAGACAGAGGAGCCTGGCAGGCTACAGTCCATGGGTTTGCAAAGAGTTGGACACGACTGAGAACACACACACATACACACACACACACACACACACACACACACATTGAAGATAGATATTAATATCTGCATCTTTAGATGGGCAGTTTTAGGCTCAGAGAGATAAGTGATTTGCTCAGGCCACATTAATCATCAACCATGGAGAAAGTATTCGGCCACCATCTATGCAATGTCAAAGTCACCATTTTCCCACTGCAGGATTGTACTTCTTGTGAGACTTCTAGGGCTCCTTCCCAGGACTCCCACAGATGGCTGTGCAGGTTGAACCTCACCCACGGGAGAACTGCTCACATCTATCCCATCCTCCACTGGCCTGTTGTGGCCTGAACCCTGCAGATGCTTCCATCAGAGAAGATGCTTTTCCTCCTGTTCACCAAGGTGGCTGACAGGCTCATAGCACCTCAACCCAGTCCCTGCACAATCAAACTGTTAATCATAATATTGCTTTATGACATTGGTTATCAGGGTTACAGTCTATGATCTACATCCTGGTAGTCAGTAGTTTTTTTCTAGTGGTGGTGGTGGTGTTCAATTGTAAGTCGTGTCTAACTCTTTGTGACCGTGTGGACTGTAGCACCACAGGCTTCCCTGTCCTTCTCCATAGCCCTGAGTTTGCTCAAATTCATGCCCATTGAGTTAGTGATGCCGTCCGACCATCTCATCTTCTGCCGCCCTTGTCCCTTTGCCCTCAATCTTACCCTGCACCAGGGAAACTCATTTTCCAATGAGTTAGCTCTTCGCATCAGGTGGCCAAAGTATTAGAGCTTCAGCTTCAGCATCAGTCCTTCCAATGGATATTCAAGGTTGATTTCTTTTCGGATTGACTGGTCTGATCTCCTTGCAGTCCAAGGGACTCTCAAGAGTCTTCTCCAACACCACAGTTCAAAAGCATCAATTCTTCGGTGCTCAGCCTTCTTTACGTTCCAACTCGCACATCCATACATGACTACTGGAGAAACAATAGCTTTGACTAAACGATGCACATCATGAAATATCCTTCCTGCCCCTGTTGTCTGTGCTCCACAAAGGTGGGGATTTTGTGAGTTTCCTTCTGCTGTTTCCAAGTTCTCGCACAAGCAGTTGCCTGATAAACACTAAATACACTATTAAGTAAGTTATTGTACATTTCAGATTTGTCCCTGAATGTCTGTACTGTGACGGGTTAAATTGTATCCTGTCCCAAATTCAGATATTAAAGTTCCAACCCCCAGTGACCATGTTTGAAAATAAAGTCTTTGCAGATTTAATTCTTTAATTGAGGTCTTGAGAGTGAGTCCCTAATCCAGTTTGACTGGTGTCATTACAAGGAGTGGAAATTTGGACACAGGTCTTGGGAAGATGAAGGCATAGACCAAGTGATGCTTCTACAACACAATGAAGTGCAAAGATGGCCCATTCATCTCCAGAAGCTGGGAGAGAGGTGTGGGACACATTATCCCACACAGACTCAGAAGGCAGCTGCCCTGCTCACGATTTGATCTGGCCTTTTCTATGGCTTAACCCACCCAGTTTGTGGCTCTCTTTTATAGTAAGCACAGGAAACCACTACATGAATATCTGTTGACTGGTTGATCGCTCTCCAGGTCAGGTATAACTTCCACACAATTGAAGATATTGAAATGTTATCATATGTTTTATCATCATTAAACACATATTGTGTAGGAACCCTGGCAATAAAGAAGAGCTAGTGAAGCACTGATATGAAATTACATGTAGTGGCTACCCTACATGGTGGGGTGTGTGAGATCCTGATGCAGTGTGATGTGGGATCAGAGAAGGCTTCTAATGTACTAGAAAATTTACCAATTCTGGACATTCTTCTAAACATGATTGCACAGTATGCATCTTTCAAGTCTGCCTTTCCTCACTATGTAAAATGTTAGGAGATTCTTTGTTCTTTTTATTGTGGTATAATGTCATGACCAACCTAGACAGCATATTAAAAAGCAGAGACATTACTTTGCCAACAAAGGTCTGTCTAGTCAAAGCTTTGGTTTTCCAGCAGTCATGTATGGATGTGGGAGTTGGACTATAAAGAAAGCTGAATGCCGAAGAAATTATGCCTTTGAACTGGTGTTGGAGAAGACTCTTGAGAGTCCCTTGGACTGCAAGGAAATCCAACCAGTCCATCTTAAAGGAAATCAGTCCTGAATATCCACTGGAAGGACTGATGTTGAAGCTGAAACTCCAATACTTTGGCCACCTCATGCGAAGAGCTGACTCATTTGAAAAGACCCTGATGCTGGGAAAGATTGAAGGCAGGAGGAGAGGGGGATGACAGAGGATAAGATGGCTGGATGGCATCACGGACTTGATGGACATGAGTTTGGGTAAGGTCCGGGAGTTGGTGGTGGACAGGGAGGCCTGGCGTGCTGCAGTCCATGGGGTCGCAAAGGGTTGGACACAACTGAGCGACTGAACTGAACTGAATGGTGGTGTAATAGTCTACTGTGTACATAAGGAAAGTTTTCAGTACCTAGGTGTCTTAGATGGGCACTTGAGTTGTGTCAACCTTTGGTCATTGAGAATAATGCTGCTGTGAATATGCATGAAATAGCTCCTGGTGGTTGAATGTTTTAATCCTTTGGGCACACTCCTAGGAGAGGAAGTTGCACTTTTCTTATCATTAATGGTTCTTATACTAAATGTCCTCCATTTCACATGCTGTGTGGTTTCCTTTCATCTTTTGGTGGCCCAAACTTCAGGGCCTTTTTGCTGGACAGGTGTCCCCTGGGGCAGGGGAGGAGTCTGGGATTGGACTCCCAGTTTTATCCACACATCAAGCCTGCACGGCAGCTCCCTTCATTGCACAGTAAGCAGAGCCAGGCCCTTGCAAGAGTGTCGCCACCCTGGGGTGGGTGCCCAGCATGCAGCAGTGGACTTGCTGAGATCTGGCAGGCTTGCAGGCCTTTTGGTATCCCTGTGGATTATTGCTTCTGTCTTTGGGAGAACACCTGGCTTTGACTCTTGCAAGTGAAGCAGGAGGGTGAGCATGTGTGAAGCTACCATCTGTGACAGGAGAGGAGAGAGAGGGCCGGCTCCAGTGGGCAGGGGAAGACATAGGTCCTTAATGCAATTTTATTTAAGAAGTCAGAACACCCCCATCCATCCATTTCCTGTCGTTAGCCCACCAGCTTGGCAGCTGTTCCCCTCATCCCTCTAGGCTGCTTTTCTGTGTCCTGGGACCAAGAATCTGCCAAGGGCTCACCACTCTTGAAATTGAATGAAGAACGTCCGGATCTCCTTCGGGTAGATGGTGATGTTGGGGCCTCCCAGGGCTGGTAAGGGACGACTGAATTTGCCTTGGAGCAGAGAGGGTCTGTCCAGCACGGCCCCTGGACCACCTGCTTCCCGAGGCCCCCTCCTCCCAGCATCCCCCTGGCAACACGGCGCCTGCTGCGACTGTGGCTCCCACTGTGACCACAGCCCTCAGCGGCCCCCTCTTGATAGGACTCCACTGCCGGGGAGGCCTCTTTCATATCTGGCCTCCCCTGAGGGCACAGCACAGTCAAGGCATGTATCTCCTTGGCCTCGTATCTCCATGGGTTGTGGCACCATATATATGCCTAAGAGTAATCTTCTCACTGAGGCCATGAGGGGGCCCTGCCCTTGATCTCAATGGGCTCTCCTTAGACGCACCCTGGAGTTTAGGCTTTATGCTTGGGATGAAAGTTGTTCATCCATTCATCCACACATGCTACCATCCATCCATCCACCCCTGAATCCAATTCCTCCACCCATCCATTGTTGTCACTCCATCCAACCTCCAGTCATCCATCAAACATCCAACTTCTTTCCATCTGTCCTCTCATCCATCCACCCATGCATACACCATCCATCCATGTTCCTTTCTTCATTCCATTCATCTTTCATCCATCCATTATCCAACCATGTATCTTCCTGCATCCATACTTTCCTTCCTTCCTTACATCCTTTTTGCCAATTAAACACCCTTCATTCCATCAGTCTATAATGCATTGGCTAGGTGTCTACCAAAATCACTGCAGATGGTAACTGCAGCCATGAAATTAAAAGACACTTGCTCCTTAAAAGAAAAGCTATGACCAACATAGACAGCACACTAAAAAGCAGAGACATTACTTTGCCAACACAGGTCCGTCTAGTCAAGGCTATGGTTTTTCCAGTGGTCATGTATGGATGTGAGCGCTGGACTATAAAGAAAGCTGAGTGCCGAAGAACTGATGCTTTTGAACTGTGGTGTTGGAGAAGACTCTTGAAAGTCCCTTGGACTGCAAGGAGATCAAACTAGTCAATCCTAAAGAAACTGGAAGTCCTGAATATTCATTGGAAGGACTGATGTTGAAGCTGAAACTCCAATACTTTGGCCACCTCATGTGAAGAACTGACTTATTTGAAAAGACCCTGATGCTGGGAAAGATTGAAGGCAGGAGGAGAAGGGGACGGCAGAGGATGAGATGGTTGGATGGCATCACTGACTTGATGGACATGATTTTGAGTAAGCTCTGGGAGTTGGTGATGGACAGGGAAGCCTGGCGTGCTGCAGTCCATGGGTTTGCAAAGAGTCAGACATAACTGAGTGACTGAACTGAACTGCAGTGTTTACCTACATACCCAGACTATGCTGTGTGCAGTAGATAAAGAAGAGATAAACAGGTCAGAGCCAACTGACAAGGAAGGAGGAGCAGAGGAGGCACCTGACCCAGACATGAACCCGAGGGAGCCTGACTAGGAGCTGGTCCAGATGAAGGTCAAAGGCAAACCAGGTGGAGGAGGGAGCACTGGTAAACGCTGGGAGGCAAGAAGTAGCCTGGGGTTCACGGGAGTAAATGTCGGGTGTGCAGACACTGCACGCCATGGAGGGCATCACAACCCCTCGGGGTACACATGCAAACCTTGGGCTCATCTGGACATGGGTGGGGGGTGTGGTCTTGAACACACATGTGCACACACATTCACACAGCCACACACACGTGGACACACACACTCTGTGTGGAGCCCTGGAAGATGGAAACTGAACTGAAACTTAAGAGTCTAAAAACTTCTTTGGCTGATGCAGGAAGGCTGAGAGCCAGAGAAGGAGGATGGCCAGCTCCAGGTCACACAAGGCCTCAGGGGCAGGGCTGGGGTCTGGATGGGGGTCAGGCTGGGGACCCAGGGCAGGGTCAGAACCAGGCCGAACCTCTGTAGCGTTGAAAGTCCCGCGTACTCCAGGTCCAGCGATGCATCTTCCTCACGTCCCAGGTCCCTGTGAGCGAGCGCTCCTCCACGGACACCACGGAGCCCAGTCCCCACAGCACAGACTGCAGGACAGAGGAAGGGAGGGGTGAGCACCCGGACTCCAGATCTGAGCAGAGACCCTGACGCAGCAGGGTGGCCGCACCAGGGCCCAGGGCCCAGCATCCCTCACATTCATTGCACGGCAAGTCCCTGCGGGAGGAGGGACAGCCCCATTTTACAGGTGAGGACCTGAGGCTGGGAGCAGCTGACCCCCCAGTGCTGGCTGGATCAGCACGCCCAGCAGGTGGCGGGCACATTGAGCCACTCCAGCATCGAGTGCCTGTCTCTCCGCGATTCTCCCAGGAGCCCTGCGTGGTCCTGGGATGATGTCAGTTATGTTCTGCATCCCTTTTTCCCAAATAAGCATCAAACCAGCCTCCAGGCTGAGAGGGGAGGTGGATGAACACTCTTCCTGGGAAGAAAGGACAGGTGGCTGCCCCAAGGGCGGGGGTTGCTCTGCAGGACCTTCCCTGAGCTGGGGGAGGGGAAGGCGTGGAGGACAGGCTCTCTGTGCTGCTCCCATCTGCCCTCTGCCTTTATATCTGCTCCTGAGGGCCGTGCCAACACGGGAGGGCAGGGGTCGGGGTCGGGACACTGACACCCATCAGATGTGCTAGGTGCCAGGCACCTGTGTGCACACAGTCCCTCCGCAGCCTCTCAGCATCCCTGTGGGCAAAGACTCTCTCCTCCCCATTTATAGGTGAGGAGACTGAGGCCCAGAACCCAGGGGCCCACGAAGCCCAGAGGAGGCACCCAGACTCGCCCCTGGACTGTGTGATAACCCACTAGGGAGTCTGCAAGAATCTGTTCACTTTCTTATGCATGAAACTTCTGTGTTGTGTAAGAAGATGTGCTACAAGAAAAAATGATAAACAAAATACATCTGTGTTACATGATGGTAAATTCAGAAGACCATTGTGAGGGAGGGTGAGGGACCCCCAGGTTCCTTTGTGAGACCACCCTGATGTGGTATTTGCCAGGTGCCATCTGAGTCTGGATAGTCACACCAGACGGTGTGACTCCCGACGGTGCATCCTCCTGGGGGCCTGACTCTGTGATGTTGGAGCAGGACACGGAAGGCAGGTTACCTGCAGGTTCACTGTCACAGGCTGAGACAGCACGGGGTCCTGGTCCACCTCATACAGGTGCTGGAGCCGCAGCAGGACACGGCGGAGGTCTGCCTTGGCCTCGTGCTTTCGGTCTTAGGGACAGAAGGAATGTGGCCGTGAGGACAACAGTGTCTGCCTGGCACTTTACACTCTCACCTCCATTTCACTTCAACCTCCCTCAGAGGCAGCTAACACAGCCCCACTTTGCAGATGAGCCAAACCAGGCTCAGAGAGGGGTGGCCACTTGCCCAGACACACAGCTGGTGTGCATAAAGAAGGAGCGGGGCTGGGGGGTGGGGGGGATTCCAACCCTTGGCCTCGTAGTTTCGGTCTTAGGGATAGAAGGAAGGTGGCCATGAGGACAACAGTCTCTGCCTGGCACTTTATACTCTCACCTCCACTTCACAACTTCAACCTCCCTCGGAGGCAGCTAACACAGCCCCACTTTGCAGATGAGCCAAACAAGGCTCAGAGAGGGGCGAGCACTTGCCCAGATACACACAGCTGGTGTGCATCATGAAGGAGCGGAGAGGATTCCAACCCAGGTGCAGCCAAAGTGACCGCCTCCCACTGCCCACACCAGGGCTGTTCCAGCCATCTGAAAGTCTTCGTTCTTGTTCACTGAGGTGAGGTCCTCATTGGGCCTGTCCCTCCAGCCTCCTATTCCCTGGAAGATTCTCTCTGCCCCAGCCCCTGTGAAGGGGGGTGTGGCCTTGTAACCCTGAGGATGAGGCACCATCACAAACGTGACTGTACACAGCCACTGCTGTGTTATTTCTGCCATTGAGACCGAGGAAATGTGTTGTAACACAGCTCCCACCTGCTGGTCCTTTGAGACCCAGTGAGAAGGGCCATCCTGCCAATCCCCCGAACACGGGGACAAAATGACCTGTGCTGTGGGAGGACAGTGATGCTGTGGGCTCCTTGTTACTTTGCATAAGAAGTCTGCAATGTCTCTTGTCTTAGTGCCGAGGTTAGGGACTGGAGCTCTAGAATCAGGGAAGGACTTCCCAGGGCAGAACATGAAGTTGATGAGGAAAATGGTGATGAAGGTGGTGATGATAATGATAATGATGGCAATGATCATGCTGGTGGTGATTCCTTGAGGTGTCAAGCATCATGAGAGGCAGCAGGCCTCACGGCATCCCTTGTGGCTGTGGCTCCCCTGGCTCAGACTATACCGATCTCTCTCTAACAGGATGGACTTGACCAGCCCAGCCACTTTTGTCTACAGAGTTGAGCCACACTCAGCAACAGCCCTCTATCAGGGACAAAGATGACCTTTGGCCTCTGCCTCTTTTTCCTCCTTCTTCCCATTCCACAGACACTTATGCTGGAGGGTGACAGCCCTTGGTGGGTCTCTGAGAGCAGGAGGGCGGCTGAGGCATAGTGAGCCCTGCTGTTGAGATACACGGAGTGTAACAGAGCAGGTAGGGTGGAGTAGACGCCTTGGTGATATGACTAATGGGTTCCTGGCAGTTGTTTCCTCCTCCAGGAAGCCCTCCCTGATCACCTGCTGGGGGCTTCCCTCTGTACACAGTCACTGCATACGATGTTATCCAGACCCACCTTGTTCCTGCTTGCTGAGTGACCTGCCTCCCTGAGGGCCTCAGATCCCTCATTGGGCAGATAAGGGAACCAGGTGACCTCACAGAGCCTGGACGACTCTGAGGAGAGCCCCTCTGTCCAGTGATGGGCTGGGGGGCCAGGCTGGCATGTGGAGGCAGGAGTGAGTCTGGACGCCTGAACACCTGCCTCACCTTTCCGGAGAGTCCGCAGGTGCTCTGTGTGGTTTGAGCTGTACTTCCAGCCGGGGATGCTGAGGATCTGCAGGTGGACGCTTGGGGGCAGCGTCACAGCCTCTTGCTGCCTGGAGCCTGAGCCACGCGGGGCAATCTCTGCAAGGCAGATGGACAACAAGGAGAGGCTTTGGGCCAAACTCTCCTCCTGACACTCACAGCTCGCCACACTAAGCCCCCCGCTTCATCTGATCTCACTCCCTCCCACGTGTGGTCCACAGGGCAGGCAGCCTGAAGCGCCTGTTCATGCAAAAGCCCCAGCCTGCCCTGACTCTCTAGTCCAGCCGGTTCAAACTGCAGCCCGGGAGATGGGACCAGAGAGAAGACGCCATTTCTTCCAGAACTTGCAGGGAGTTCACACAGAGACCCGCTCCGTGAACAAGGTCTCAGACGCCAGCTCCCGTGCTGACATCTGTCGCTGCCTCTGCCCAGACGGACTCAGCCCTCCTCTTCCAGGAGATGCTCTGGGCTCCAGCTGGAGCCGCCATGGCCTCCCAACTCCCAGGCCTCAGTGATTGGTCAGGCTTGGGTCACGTGATTGGATCAGGGCCAATCAGAATCTTTCCCTGGGATCTCGGCTCTTGAAACAGGAATCTCAAGACTCCTTCCCTGGGGCTTCCTTGGCGGCTCAGAAACTGCCTGGAATGCAGGAGAGCCGGCTTTGATCCCTGGATCAGGAAGATCCCTGGAGGAGGAAATGGCAACCCATTCCAGTATTCTTGCCTGGAGAATTCCTTGGACAGAGGAGCCTGGTGAGCTACAGTCCGTGGGGTCACAAAGAGTCGGACACGACTTGGTGACTAACACACACACGTGCACGCGTGCACACACACACACACAGCTATATTACCTTAAACAAGCCATTGAACCCTCTTTGCACCTCAGGATGCCCACATTTAAAATGAGAGGCCTGGATCTGAGGCGTCTGGTCACTTCCTGCCCTGAAGTAGGCCAGATCCCTGAAGGCACCAGCTCAGCCGCATCCCTAGACAGGGCGGCTCACCCGGGGGCAGTGATGACAGGTGCACTGAAAGGACCCCCCACCTCACCATTCATCTCTCTGAGCATCACGACGGGCCGGTGCTGCAGCGCCAGCCCACTACTCTGGCGCAGGCCACTGGTGAGGGTCCAGGGTCCCAGCAGGAGCCAGAGAACCGGGTGGACGACCGAGGAGTCGTTCAGTGTGAGGTTGTTCTCCAGGGCCCACTTGTCATTGTTCCACAGCCGCCGGTGGAGCATCACCTGCAGGGGACAACTGTCTGACCAGGTCTGCCTGGGCCCTGGGCTGCTTGTGAGTGACCAGAGGGGCCTCCTACCTCCACCTGCCCGTTCCCTTGGCTGGAGACGCCGTGCGCCTGCTCGGACAGCAGCACCAGCCTGCTTCGTCTGTCCTGGATGAAGGCTGACTGCACCATGGGGTAGTAATTCTGTGGACAGAAACATTGGCAGCCTGGTGAAGGGGGCAGTGGGCCAGGTCAGCCAGCAGGCCCGGGGTCTTCCTGTGGCCCCAGGCGGCCTCCTGCATGGGCGCAGCAGCAGCCGAGGGTGGCATGGTAGACAGAGGGAGGGGCTCTTGAGATGGACGCACTGGGATTCAAAGCCAGCTCCACTGCTTCCTGACCTTATGCCCTGGGGGACCCAGCCCACCTGAGCCTCAGCTTCCCCATCTGTAAAATGTGCCCAAAAGGTCCCCCTGCTGCAGGGAGACAATGAGGCATGTATGCCAGTCCAGCCTGAGATGGCTCCCAGCCAGGGGTTCCCAAATAGAAAGGGGCTGGTGTCTGGGCTGGAAAGCACTCACACAGCCCTGCCCTTTGCTCTGTTGGAGCAAGATGTCCTGGGCTGATGGTCCTGGACCTTCTGGTGCCCAGACCACGGTGGGTGAGGACCAGCCACAGAGATGAAGGGATAGAAATTCATGGAAGACAGAGCAGGGAGGGATCAAACGCCCTCTCAGGCCCCTGGTTTAAGGAGAGACAACTAATAAGGATGGAGGCTCAGGAGGTGCCCAGCACAATGATGCCTCTGGATCATCCCAGTCCTCAGCACAGCTCTGGGGGAGGTCACTCACTTCCCAGGAGAGAACCGAGGCCCAGAGACATCCAGGGACTCGCCTAAGGTCATGCTGCTGGAGGGAGAGGCCCTGGGAGCTGATTGATTTTGGAGTTCAGCCCCTGCTCAGCTCTCCCTGGAAGACAGGCTGTGGCTCAGCTCAGAGCAGCCAAGGAGGGTCATACCCCGTTCAGGCCTAGACAGGTACCATCCGATTAATCCTCAAGCAACCCCCAGTGGGTCATCCATTGACTGAGGAGGACCCATGGTGCACACAGACCTCAGGGACATGCCTCACACATGGTGACCCCAGACTATGAGACCAGGTCTGAACACGCCTGGGCCATGGGCCTGAGGGGCAGACACCCTAGGGGAGATGCGCCAGAGCTTAAGGGATCTCTCCTGCCTTCTGGAAACCTACCATCAAGACTGTATCTCTGGCTGCCATGCCCCCAGGACAGCTCAGGGCGTACCTGAGCGATGATGTTGTTCGTGTAGTTCCGGTAGGGCCTGCGCTGCATCTGGTACCCGTTGTTGTCCGAGTAGAGGACCCGCCCCGTGTTCAGGTCGGTGCTTGTCCTCAGGATGGCCTCACGGTTCAGCTCCAAGGGGCCCACCCGGTACTCCTGCTCTATGCGATGGCAGAGCAGCTCCCCGTCAGAGCTCTGGGGCCCATGGGCCAGCCGGGAGTAGATGGCGAACGTGGGCTCCCTGTCATCCACCTCCCTGGAGGAGAAGCAGGACACATAGGTCAAGCCCGGGGAGCCTTCTGGATGCCCCACCCTTCTTTCTTCCTTTGTCTTCCTCCCTCCATCCTTCCTGCAGCCAGGAAGGATGCTTGGGAGCATCCTTGGGGATGCATCCAAGGGGAGCCTGCTTGGAATAGAGAACAGGAGGGACCCTGTCCTCTGAAGACTCTGGGTACCCAGCCACGCCTGGCGGCTCTGTCTGTCCTGCTGATGGAAACACAAGAACTGCTCTCAGGTGCTGGTCACTGTCACCATGGGCCCCTGTCCCACCTCTGCACTCAGGTGCCCCCAGGGTGACACAGCACAGGCCAGAGAGCAGGCCTGCAGAGACTGGAGCAGCTCATGACGTCATGGGGCTTTGGAGGAAGGACGGTGCACCAAGCCCAGGTCCAGGGGCTGGGTGTCTGAAGCAAGGACGGGCCCCCATTGCCTCAGTCACCTGCCTGTGAGCACCTCCACATGCTGAGCACAGCTAGGGGGCCGCCCTCACCTGTAGAAGTCCTGCCGGATCTCAGTCACCAGCGGCCCTGCCACGATCTCCATCCTCACAGCCTCCCACGCTGGCTTTGCTCTACCACTGGGTCTAAACACATAATTGTCTGAAATGGGGCCTTGATCAAAATCACTCTTCGCGTGATACTCCATGAAAGTCTGGGTCACCTGGACTGTTTGGTTACTCCACCTGCACAGAAAGGAAGGAGAAAACAGCGTCATCATCTTGGACAATGTGTCATCCTTATGCTAGAAGCAGGCTCACAGAGCCTCTATGGAGATGCCAGCCTGGAACCAGGGGTGGACACAAACAACTTCCTCGGCTCTTCAGTGACAGCTATGAGGGCACTGAGTGAAGTTCACGCACTTGGCTCGGAGGAGAGCTGGCTGGACCCACCAGAGCCCACGCGGCATCAGACCCTATCTGTGTCCAGGAGCGGATCCCACAGAGGAGGGCACACAGGCTTCGGTGCAGCCTCCTGAGGATACAAGCAGAGAGTGTATCATGTCTGTAGAGGCTGTGCCTTCATTGGCCTGGCCCCATTATCCTAGATGCCAGCAGGGGGATATCTACTCCCTCAGGAGGTCATCAAGCCAGGACATTGTGGAAGTCTGTCACTCTGGTGCTGTCCCCATGTCACTTGCCAGGGCCTTCACTTAACCTTCATCCTTTTCTCTGGACCCCCACAGGCAGGGATTATGAACCCATCTCAGGACGGAGGCATAGTGCACTGGGAGATACGACCTCATTTCCTGAGATCCCACACGCAGGAAGTGCCAAGGAGGACTCAGGTTCAGTTCCAAACCCAGACTCCATTCTTACCCCCTTAGGTTAGGACTGGAGGTGTGGATACACTGGGGATAAAGGAGGAATTGGCTCAGAGCCTTGCACACATGGGTTTGCACTGTCCCCCTGGGTGTGGCCTAAACAAAGGCACAGCTATGCATTTGTATCCCAGCTGGCCCTGTCTGACAGCAGGGGTTGAAGAAGTGACATGTCTGTGCCCCTTTGTGAATTTCTGTAGGGTTCTTGTGGCCAAGGAAAGAAGAGGTCTTGGAGGAATGCCCTCCTGAGCTCCTTAGAAGAGGAGAGGAGGAAAAGAACCCTTTTCATTAGTCTGGAACCCAAGCCTTTCTCATCTGACCCCAGGCTTCCGCCCCTAGCTTCCTTTCATAAGAGGTCCTCGCAGTGCCATGTTGAAACTTGCAAGTCAAACACCACTATGGGAGACATTCACAAATCATGCACCTGATGATGGATGTGTATCTAGAAAATAGAAAGAACTCTTATTATTGTTGTTGTTCAGTCAGTGAGTCAGGTCTAACTCTTTGTGACCCCATGGACTGCAGCAAACTAGGTTCCCTTGTATTCCGCTATCTCCCAGAGTTTGTTCAGATTTATGTCCATTGAGTCAGTGGTGCTATCCGAACAACTCATCCTCTGTCACACCATTCTCCTTTTGCCTTCAGTCTTTTCCAGCATCAGGGTCTTTTCCAATGAGTCGGTTCTTCGCATCAGGTGGCCAAAGTATTGGAGCTTCAGCTTCAGCATCAGTCCTTCCAATGAATATTCAGGGTTGATTTCCCTTAGGATGAACTGCTTTGATCTCCTTGCAGTCCAAGGGACTCTCAAGAGCCTTCTCCAACACCACAGTTCAAAAGCATCAACTCTTTGGTGCTCAGCCTTCTTTATATTCCAGCTCTCACATCCATACATGACCACTGGAAAAAGCATAGCTTTGATATATATTGGACTTCCCTGGTGGCTTAGATGGTAAAGCATCTGCCTACAATGCAGGAGACCCGGGTTTGATCCCTGGGTCGGGAAGATCCCCTAGAGAAGGAAATGGCAACCCATTCCAGTACTCTTGCCTGGAAAATCCCATGGACGGAGGAGCCTAGTAGGCTACAGTCCATGGGGTCACAAAGAGTCGGACACAACTGAGCGACTTCACTTCTACTTCTTCTTCTTGATCTATATGGACCTTTGCTGGCAAAGTGATGTCTCTGCTTTCTAATACACTATCTAGGTTTGTCAAAGCTTTCCTTCCAAGGAGTATGTGTCTTTTAATTTCATGGCTGCAGTCACCATCCACAGTGATTTTGGAGCCCAAGAAAATCAAATGTGTCATTACTTCCATTTTGTCCCCTACTATTTGCCGTGAACAGGTGGGACCAGATGCCATGATCTTAGTTTTTCGAATATGGAGTTTCAGGCTGGCTTTTTCACTTTCCTCTTCACCTTCATCAAGAGGCTCTTTAGCTCCTCTTCACTTTCTGTCATTAGAGTAGTATCATTTGCATACCTGAGGTTGTTGATATTTCTCCCAGGATTCTTGATTCCAGCTTATGATTCATCCGGCCCAACATTTTGCAAGATACACCCTGCACATAAGTTAAATAAGCAGGAAGACAATATACAACCTAGATGTCCTCCTTCCCCAGTTTGCAACCAGTCCACTGTTCCATGTCCACTTCTAACTGTAGCTTCTTAACCTGCATACATGTTTCTCAGGAAAAGGATAAGGTGGTCTGGTATTCCAGTCTATTTCAGAATTTTCCACAATTTGATGTGATACACCTAGTCAAAGGCTTTAATGTAGTCAATGAAGCAGACATCTTCCTAGAATTCCCTTGCTTTTCTATGATCCAATAAATGTTGGTAATTTGATTTCTGGTTCCTCTGCCTCTTTGAAACTGAGCTTGTACATCTGGAAGTCCTCGGTTCACTTATTGCGGAAGTCTGTCTTGAAGGATTTTGAGCATAACCTTGCTAGAGTTGGTGCAAAATAATTGTGGTTTTTGCATTGTTGAAATTTGTAGTTTGATATTGGAATACATTCTTAAACAAATGAAGTTATATGTCATTTTAATGTGCATTTCTCACTTTATGTTTTTCTGCCAATGACATTACTTCCTGTTTGTTTTATATTTATTTTAGGCTACAGAAATTATGTTAGATAAAAAGCAAATTTCAACGATTTTCTTATTTGAGTTCAAAGTGAGTTGTAAAGCAGCAGAGACAATGTGCAACATCAACAATGCATTTGGCCCAGGAACTGCTAACAAATATACAGTAAAGTGATGGTTCAAGAAGTTTTGCAAGGTAGATGAGAGTCTTGAAGATAAGGAGAATATTGGCTGGCCATCGACAGTTGACAACAATCAATTAAGAGCCAGCATCGAAGCTGGGCCTCTTACAACCACATGAGAAGTTGCCAAAGAATTCAACGTCGATATTCTACCATCATTCAGCATTTGAAGCAAATTAGAAGATAAAAAAGCTTAATAAATGGGTGCCTCATGAGTTGACTACATGAAAGCCTTTGACTGTGTAGATCACAATAAACTGTGGAAAATTCTGAAAGAAATGGGAATACCAGACCACCTGACCTGCCTATCGAGAAACCTATATGCAGGTCAGGAAGCAACAGTTAGAACTGGACATGGAACAACAGACTGGTTCCAAATAGGAAAAGGAGTACGTAAAGGCTGTATATTGTCACCCTACTTATTTAACTTATATGCAGAGTACATCATGAGAAATGCTGGGCTGGAAGAAGCACAAGCTGGAATCAAGATTGCCGGGAGAAATATCAATAACCTCAAATATGCAGATGACACCACCCTTATGGCAGAGAGTGAAGAGGAACTAAAAAGCCTCTTGATAAAAGTGAAAGAGGAGAGTGAAAAAGTTGGCTTAAAGCTGAACATTCAGAAAACAAAGATCATGGCATCTGGTCCCATCACCTCATGGGAAATAGATGGGGAGACAGTGGAAACAGTGTCAGACTTCATTTTGGGGGGCTCCAAAATCACTGTGGATGGTGACTGCAGCCATGAAATTAAAAGACGCTTACTCCTTGGAAGGAAAGTTATGACCAACCTAGATAGCATATTAAAAAGCAGAGACATTACTTTGCCAACAAAGGTCCATCTGGTCAAGGCTATGGTTTTTCCAGTGGTCATGTATGGATGTGAGAGTTGGACTGTGAAGAAAGCTGAGCACTGAAAAATTGATGCTTTTGAACTGTGGTGTTGGAGAAGACTCTTGAGAGTCCCTTGGACTGCAGGGGGATCCAACCAGTCCATCCTGAAGGAGATCAGTCCTGGGTGTTCATTGGAAGGACTGATGCTGAAGCTGAAACTCCAGTACTTTGGCCACCTCACGCGAAGAGTTGACTCATTGGAAAATACGCTGATGCTGGGAGGGATTGGGGGCAGGAGGAGAAGGGGACGACAGAGGATGAGATGGCTGGATGGCATCACCGACTCGATGGGCATGAGTTTGAGTGAACTCTGGGAGTTGGTGATGGACAGGGAGGCCTGGTGTGCTGCGATTCATGGGGTCGCAAAGAGTCGGACACGACTGAGTGACTGAACTGAACTGAACATGAGCTGACCAAAAATTTAAAAATGGCCTTTTGAGTCTCATCTTCCCTTATTCTATACAACAACGATGAATCAATTCTCAATCAAATCATGAAGTGTGGCAAAAGTGGATTTTGCATGACAACCATCAATGACCAGCTCACTGGTTATCCAAGAAGAAGCTCCAAAACCTTTCCCAAAGCCAAACTTGCACTGAAAATGAAAGGTCATGGTCACTGTTTGGTGGTCTTCTGCCAATCTGATCCACCACAGCTTTCAGAATCCCATCAAAACCATTACATCAGAGAAGTATGCTCAGTAAATCTAAAATGCTTCCACAACCAGCAGGAGACAGAAAATGGTTTCCAAGAGTTCATGGTATCCTGAAGCACAGATTTTTATGCTATAGGAATAAACAAACTTTTTTCTCATTGGCAAAAATGTGTTAACTGTAATGGTTCCTATTTTGATTAATAAAGGTGTATTTGAGCCTAGTTATAATGATTTAACAAGCTTCCCAGGTGGCACTACAGGCAAAGAACCCTCCTGCCAATGCAGGAGATGTAAGCCATGTGGGTTAGATTTCTGGGTTGGGAAGATCACATGGAGGAGGGCACGGCAACCTACTCCAGTATTCTTGCCAGAAGAACCCCATGGACAGGGAGCCTGGTGGGCTATTATCCACAGGGCCAAAAAGCGTTGGACATGACTGATGTGACTTGGCACACATGCACACACATCAGGATTTAAAATCCACGGTCTGAAACCGCAAATACTTTTGCACCAGCAAAAGGAATTGTTTGTGAAATGAGCACAGTTGTACGGTAGCTGGAACATTCTCTGGCATTGCCGTTCTTTGGGACTGGAAGGAAAACTGACCTTTCCCAGTTCCGTGGCCACTGCTGAATTTTCCAATTTTGCTGACATATTGAGTGCAGGACTTAATCAGCATCATCTTTTAGGATTTGAAATAGCTCAACTGGATTTCCATTACCTCCACCAGCTTTGTTTGCAGTAATTCTTCCTAAGTAGAAAGAACTCTTACAACTCCATAATAAAGACCAACCCCATTTTGAGATGGGCAAAAGATCTAAAAAGACATTTCACCAGAGAAGATGCACAAATGGCCAACAGGCCTGTGGAGAGATGCTCAATGTCTGTAGTTCTCGGGGTATGCAAATCAAAGTTATAATGAGATGCCACAACATATCCACTAGAATAGCTATATCCAAAAGGCAGATAAATACAAGTGTAGGTGGAGATGTGGAGAAGTTGGACCCTCATACACTTGGATAAGAATGCAAAATGGTGCAGTCACATGGGAAACAGTCCAGCCATTTCACAAAGAGCTTAACGTAAGAGTTTCCTGTGACCTAGTAATTCCACTCCTAGGAACTAACCCAAGAGAAAGGAAAGCTTTTGTCCACACAAAATCTTGTACATTCATTTTCACAGCAGCCTTTTTCACCATAGCCCCAAAGTGGAAACCACCCACATGCTCATGAGATGAGGACTAGATAAATGAACCAAGGGGTATCTGTCAGAGGCATATTATTGGGCCCTGAAGAGAAATAATTTCACTCACACTGCAATGTGGATGAAACTTGGAAAAGTCAGGAAGACAGACAGCAGGACATGAGTTCTCCTCCTGGGAGGCAATGTGTGGGGTTGTGGCTTAGATGTGAGGCATCTGAAGGTGGGCAGAAAGGGGTTGGGAGTTGGAGCTGGCCTTTCAGGGGTTCTGCAAAAGGGGCATGGGGCCCGAGTGATGACTCAAGCTGGCCTGCAGACTCCACCTTTCCCAGCCAGACACCAGGGTGGGGAGCACTCAGAACCTGCTAGAGTGACACCCTATTTCTACTGCTCCCCCACACTCTCTGTAGTCTGTCCTGCCTCTGTGTTTCATGCCCTCTCAAGAAGGACTTGTGGGCTAACTGGAGGACCAAGCCCCATCAGGGGCAGGGGGGTCCTGGTCTGTTCTTTTAGACTGCTGACAGATGACAGGCTGAGCCCCAGGTGACACTCACCTCACAGCATTGCACCCTGCCTTCCTCCCCTTCTCTGTCTGCCTCTTCCTTCTCTTTCCTTCCCTCACTTTCTTCCAGATGCTCCCCCAAGCTTCCCGCCCACTCCCGCCACCCACAGACTTCTGCTTCTGTTAGGAGATCACATCAGGAAACAGAAGTGGATGTGTTGGACAAGAAGCTGAAGAGGAATAGAAACTGCCTGGGATGAGACCTGAGCATGCACAGGGTGGCTTCAAACTCTGGGGAGCCTTTCCTGGGCTCAGCTGCCAAAGAATGCTGGTGAGTGAATAAATACTTGAATGGATGAATGGATGGATGGATGGAAGGATGGATGGATGAATGAATGAATGAATGAATGAATAGGATGGAAGGATGAATGGATGGATGGATGCATTGATGGATGATGGATGGAAATGTGGAGGGTTAGGTGCATAGATGAGTGGGTGAGTGAGTGCATAGATGGATAGGAGTATGGGTGAATAGATGGATTTTTGTGGCTCTGAATATTAAAAAGTAGATAACATGACTATTACCTATTCCCAAGATGTGATCTGCAATGCCCTGTTTTCCATGAATCAAAATCTTTGGAATGAACAAATTCAAGAAAGGCTGTATGGATCTGGCCTAGATTCCCACAACTAGACATAAACCTGATTGCACTGTAGGGAGCTCCACCACAATCACACCCTCACCCTGAAGCTGAGGAAATGGAGACCCAGAAAGGGCATTACTTGCCCAGGCCCCAGGGTCCTCCTGACCTCGGAGGTAGCAACAGCTGCACCTCACCTCTCCCAGACGCTGTGCATCAAGTTGGTGTCCTTGTCTAGGAACACGGTGTAGCAGTCATTCTCCACAGGCACCAGGCTCCCACCCACCGGCCCGCCACTTCTCCTGAGTCTGCGTCCAAAGTGCCTGGAGCTGGCCAAGGAGGTCACAGGCTCCAGAGTGCCCTCCTGGGGCCTCCTGCTGGGCTGGATGCTGTAGTGCCGGTAACTGAGTCCTGGGATTGCGGTCAGCACGTGCAGGTCATAGGCAGAGGGCACCTCCTTTGATCTTTGGGCCTGGAAGGCCTGAGGGACAAGATGAATGATGGATGTCAGGAATGGAAGATGCCTCAGTCTCCTTGGAAACCCTGGGCTTACACACCTGGTGGATGGAGTGCTTGCTCTGCACAGAGACAGCTGGGTCATCCATCACTGGGCTGAACTGGTTTCCTCTCCTGCATCCTCTCTGCACAACAGAATCAGTCCTCTTCCCCACCCTTCCTCCTTCTCCACCAGGGCTGCAAACCGCCTGCCCTCCTCCCACACTCCCTCCTGTTCCTGCCTCTGAGCCTTTGCTCATGCTGTTCCCTCAAACTGGAAGCCTCGTCTTTGGAGAGTGGGCTCTTGTGTCTTAATCCTCCAACTTCCCCGAGGAGGGAGGTTGCAAGGTCACCCCTGCAGGTCTTTCTCCATCTCCACGTCATCTGATTCAGGCAAGGGAACTGAGAGATGACCCTGAATCCATGTGGGGAGTGGGGGATGGGGCTCACTCTCTAGGGAACAGATGTCATCTCTGGGTCCTGTGGGGGAGGATTTAGGGAGCTATGAGCAAATTCATGTTGCTTCTTACAGCCTCCAGCCTGGCCTTTCTCTGAACTAGCAGACACCCTGTCCCCACCCCACACCCCAAACCTCTCCTGAAGGTTTTCCTTCACCACAGTTATCATCTGTCACTTTCTACACTTTCTTATTTTCTTCCTGCCTGGATCCCCCCACTGGAATAGGAGCCCCCTGAGGGCAGGGGCTTTTGTCTATTTGGTTACTAAAGTTTCTCCAGTGCCTAGAGTAATGCCTGACACACAGTAGGTGTTCAATAATATTGAAGTGCATTGACACTTAGGGAGTGCTGCCTTTGGGTGGGGAGGGGGATCCTTTGTGTTGGGTCTGCTCAACCCAACCCCTCGCCGCCCCTGACCACAACAGAAGAGTCTTCCTCCTCTGTCTCAGTTAACGACTACTGCCCCGGCCAACAGGTCACCACTCCACACTTCAGCTGTCCATATCTGTGTCTGATCCTTGAGTTCCATGGGGACTTCAGTGTCAGGGACAAGCACTCAGCTAGGGGCCACACCGGACCAGACATTCAGGAGTGTTTGTTGAGTGGCTGACTGATGGCATCACCTCCTCCACCTCCTCCAGGAAGGGCTGGCTGGGTGACAGTAGGGTCACCTCTAGACCCAAGTCAAGCTCCAGGTCTGGGAAGGCCATGGGGAGGGACCACACAGGATATGGGTGTCTCAGAGAGGCAGCTGGGCCCTGCCCATAACACGACACCTCCATAAGGATGCACATTTAGGACTCCAGATGGACTGCTCATGCAGAGTGGATATTTTCCTGAGAATATATATGCTCCCCATGTAACCTAGACCACTGTGCTGAGAATATATATGCTCCCCATGTAACCTAGAGCACTGTGAGACCTTGCAGGGTAAGCACAGCAGAAGGGACTTCTGGTCAACTCAGATGCCCAAAGCCCAGAGTCAGGCCCCTGGGTGGATCCACTGACCCTGATGGTGACTCACCCCTATGACACTGTCCTCACAGTGAGGGCAGCCTGTCACATGTTCCCTTTAGATGCCCACTTCTGGGGGTCCAGCCCAGAGCAGGGGCAGCAACAGGGCATGCACCATAGATGGGATGTCCCCCTTACCTGTGCAGGCACGGGGTGGCCTGACTCGTCTGTGATGCTGACCCTGGGGAAGTCCACAGTCAGGGTGATGATGGTGGTGACTGTCCAGGCCAGCGGGTTGTAGACCACCGCAAAGCGTCCCCCAGGCTCTGGGCCTGCAGACAGAGAACAGGCTCTACTACTCGACCTGACCCACCCCTCACCCCTGGTGCCCCTCAGAACAAGGGAAACTGAGGTAGGTGAGAGCAGCCCTGCAGAGTCCAGGGGGAAGGACAGACAGACAGACACATGGGCTCTTACGTGCAACCCCCTCCTCATCTGTTCCACCTGTGTCCTGGTTCCCAGGAGGGGTGGGGGGGCATCCCCCCAGAGATGAGCTCCTCACTCATCTTTTCCTGTCATCCCACTTTACTGGTGAGGACACTTAGGTGCAGAGAGAAGGGTGAGCTGTCCAAGGTGACCCGTGTCCTAAGGCCTGACTCCAAAGCTTGAGCGCTTGGCAATGTACAGACAGAATTCTCTGGAGCTTGAAGGGTCAAGATCAATCACCAAGGTCAGCCCTGGAGGCCTCTTTGGTATGAACCTGGATTCTCTTTCCGCTCCTTCCCCACCCCACCTGCCCCAGGCTATGACCACGTCCGATGACTCCCGGATCCCTGGACACGGCACACACTGTCCAGTCTCTGCCTTCTGCCCAGGCAGTTCCCATGGCTGGATGCCTTCCTGGGTCCTCCACCTGCCCCTTGCTTGGGGAGCTGCCCCCATGAGCTCATGGGAACGGCTGGCCCTACAAGACACTGGAAGGACCCAGTTCTACCTCCCTTTCTATGAAAGGATTCCAGTCTGCTGCACCCCTGACCCCAGGGCCCTTCCAGAGTCTGAGGTAGGATAGGACTGTACACAGACGCAGATCGGAGGTCAGAGCTGGGGAGGGGAGGGGAGGGCGGAGAGGGGAGGGGAGGGGAGAGCGGAGAGGGGTGGGGAGGGGAGGGCGGGGCGGGGAGGGCACAGTGCCAGAGGGTGAGTATGGGCCCTGGGAAGGTGGGCGGGCCACAGGCTCCTGCAGGGAGAACAGTTGTCTCTGTTTGCCCAGGATTTTCAAGGATGAAGCCCGTCAGCTCCAGGCAAACGGGGTGATACTGACTCTCCACCTGTGAAACCCTCATAGACAAGAAGCTGGTCACGTGGCAGCCGAGATGTGATGTGCCTCCAAGCTGAGCTCAGGAGGGAGGGCAGGAGCCAGGCTGGCCAAGGTCCCTGAGAAAACTGCATGCTGTCTGCAGAGCTGGGGAGCACTTGGCTAAGGTGCTAGGCCTTCAAGCTAGACTTAAGCAGTATGTGTGACCTGTGTGACCCCGGGCAGGTCCAGGACCTGTGTGTTGGCATGTGTCCTCAGCTATGAAGTGAGGACAGCAACAGTTTCAGCTTTCAGGATGTGTGATTCCTGTTAAGTCGCTCAATAGTGTGTGACTCTTTGAGACCCCATGGACTGCAGCATGCCAGTCTTCCCCATCTCTCCCCATCTCCGAGAGCTTGCTCAAACTCATGTCCATTGAGTTGATGATGCTATCCAACCATCTCATCCCCTGTCATCCTCTTCTCCTCCTGCCCTCAGTCTTTCTCAGTATCAGGTTCTTTTCCAATGAGTCAGCTCTTCACATCAAGTAGACAGACTTGGAGTTTCAGCTTCAGAATCAGTTCTTCCAAAGAGTATTCAGGGCTGCTACCTTTTAGGATTGACTGGTTTGATCTTCTTGAGTCCAAGGGAATCTCAAGAGTCTTCCTCAGCACCATAGTTCAAAAGCATCAATTCCTCAGCTCTCTGCCTTCTTTATGGTCCAGTTCTCATATCCATACATGACTACTGGAAAGATCACAGCTTTGATTGCATGGACCATTGTCAGCAAAGTGATATCTCTGCTTTTTAATACTCTGCCTAGGTTTGTCAAGGCTTTTCTTCCAAGAAGCAAGGGTCTTTTAATTTCATGGCTGCACTCACCATCTGCAGTGATTTTGGAGCCCAAAAAAATAGTCTTCTACTGTTTTCATTTTTCCCCATCTATTGGTTATGAAGTGATGGGACCAGATGCCATGATCTTCGTTTCTGAATGTCGAGTTGTAAGCCAGCTTTTTCACTCTCCTCTTTTACCTTCCTCAAGGAGCTCTTTAGTTCCTCTTCACTTTCTCCCATAATGGTGGTGTCATCTGCATATCTGAGGTTATTGATATTTCTCCTGGCAATTCTGATGCCAGTTTGTGCTTCATCCAGACCAGCATTTCGCATGATGTATTGTGCATGTAAGTTACATAAGCAAGGTGACAATATAAGCCTTGATGTGCTCCTTTCCCAATTTTGAAGCAGTTTTCATTGTTCCATGTCTGGTTCGAAATGTTGCTTCTTGACCTGCATGCAGGTTTCTAAGGAGTCAAGTAAGGTGGTCTGGTATTCCTATCTCTTGAAGAATTTTCCACAGTTTGTTGTGATCCACACAGTCAAAGGCTTTAGTGTAGTCAATGAAGCAGACGTAGATGTTTTTCTGGCATTCTCTTGCTTTTTATGATCCAAGGGATGTTGGCAGTTTGATTTCTGGTTCCTCTACCTTTCCTAAATCAAGCTTGTACATCTGGAAGTTCTCCATTCACATACTGCTTAAGCCTAGCTTAAAAGATTTTGAGCATAACCTTACTAACATGAGAAGTCAGCACAAATGTGTGATCGTTTGAACATCTTTGGCATTACTGTTCCTTGGGATTGGAATGAAAACTGACTTTTCCAGCCCTGTGGCCACTGCTGAGTTTTCCAAATTTGCTGGCATGTTGAGCGCAGCACTTCAGCAGCAGCATCTTTTAGGATTTAAAGATGATCTTAAAGGACCATCTTTTAGGATCATCACCCCCATTAGCTTTCTTCATAGTAATGCTTCCAGGGCCCACTTAACTTCACACTCCAGGATGCCTGGCTGTAGGTACCTGATCACAGCATTGTGGTTATCAGGTCATTAAGTGTTACATTAAATTGTGCAAACAGTGTGTTTGGCAACGTTCAGACTGAGTTAGCATTTATTTCTCCCTCTAGTTTTCACAGCAGCCCTTCCTCAATCACAGGAAACAAGGCTCATAGAAGTGAAGGCACCTGCCCAGCTCACACTGAAATGAGAACCTCCCCTGGATGGGACTCGAGTCTGACGTTCAGGTGTCCCAGTCCATCCCCTGATCTTTGGGCTCTCTTCTCAGACCGGGGCAGACACCCGCCATAGCCCCCTGTACCCCCAGGGGCCTCGCCTACCTGAGTGGGCTGGAGACCTGTCCTGGATGATGGAGGCCATCAGCGTCTGCACCCCTTGCATCCCGCTGCTCAGGTGCTCCACAAACATGTCACCAACCTTGAGGGCGTGAGTCCCGGTGATGGCGTCGTGGTGCTGGACCTGTGCCCCCGCAGGAGCAGGACAAGAGTGGGCTCAGGCCGGCCTCTGCTCAGCACCGGCTGTCCTCACACCCACTGGGCCCTGACTCCCCTTCCCTCTCAGCAGCTGCTGCTGGAGAAGCTGGGGGTTTCTCATCTGTAAAGTGGACCTGTAGCGACCAGGGACAGGGAGGTGTACTGAGCTGGGAAGGGGGAAGCAGACAGCCCAGGAGGGTCCAATCCTGTCCTGTCTCTGGGAGGCATTGCGTTACCTCGGAGACCGCCCAGCGGAGCTGCTGGAGCTGCTGCAGGCCCCAGGCCGGGTCCAGGTTTGGGTGGGGAGCCAACAGCACGTGGCGTGTGAACATGGACTCCCCGGCGTACAGCAGAGTGCTGGCTCGCCTCGCCAGTGCCTTGAGCCCGCTTCGGGAGGCATAAAATCCAGTCCAGGCGTGATGCATGTCTAGGAGCAAAAGGCCAGGAGTTGGTGGGAGGGCATGCCCACAGAGGCCCCTGAGACCCATGTGGGAAATGCTGAGGAAGATGAGGTCAGAGATGGATCTGCCTGGGTTCCCAGGGACACAGCCTAGGCGTGGGGTGATCTCAGGGTTCCTGGTCCAGCCAGGTCAGCAGTGGTACGAGATCCCTGGAAGGCCTGGGCAGCTGGCAGGGTCAGGCTGGGCTGGGGCAGGCCTGGAGGCGCCCGAGTGCTGAAGGCCTGTGACGAGGACAAGAATCCCAGTGTGCACCGGGGTGCCTGGGATGCCCTGTGGGGAAGGGCCCTGGAGGAGGGATGATGGCAGGACACAGAGGGAAGGGCTGGAGTGCGGCAGCCCTTGTGTAGCTCTGAGGACAAAGGAGATCCTTTACTGGCCTGCATCTCAGTGGGTCCCTCTGGCTGCCTAGCAGGGATGAATGGCAGGGAGGTGGGAGCTGAGATACCCCTGTAGCTACTTCTCTGACCCTGGACAGAGTTACAAGCAGGATTGGGAGGAGACATGCTCAGCACCTTAGGTCTGGGTTGTCTCTCAGCAAGTGTTTCACTTCCCACTCATCTCCACTCCTATGTCTGCTACAGACTGTGCTGTGCCTTCATTCCAAACCATCCTCTCTTGCTGAGTGATCCCAGTGAGGCCCTAGGGTTGGGCAAATTTGGCTGGGTGGCAGGGCCTGATCAGGGTCCCTCGGCTGCCCTGGCTCATGGGGACCTGGCCTCCATCTCCCCCCACTCCCACACCACTTAGCTCCTCTTTCTCTGCAAAGGGGAGCAGGACAACAAGGATCCTTCAAGGATTCTGGCATTGTATGCAGTAAGGTTTCAGAAGTTCGATAATTTGGCCAATACCTTCCCCTGCGGATGCCCTGAGCAAGGCTGGACTGGGGTGTGGAGGGTGTTTCTGCCTCCCCAGCTGTCAGGGGGAGGCTGTATGTGCATAATTCCTGTCTGGATTGGAGATAGGGGAGCTGGATCTTCTACGGGGGTCTGCTTGGAGGTGGGTGGGGCTGGACCTGGAAGACGCGCTGATGCTGGGCTTCCTTCAGGGCAATCAGGCCCTGGACTAGCTTCCTCACACGGAGTGCCCACACCGTATCCAGATGGCACCTGGCCTCCCGGGATGGAGATGCTGCTGTAACTGTTAACAGCTGCCTCTGCTGAGCCCTGGCTCTGGCCGAGCCACTAGGCTATGGGCTCTCCTTATCTCACTTCATTTTCACACTGGATGCGCTAACCAAGATGAACGTCCCCACTTTCCTGACCCAGGACAGTTCCACGGGTGCACACAGCCCGGCACAAGGCTCACTCCATGATCTTTCACCCCGAGGCTGTGCCGGCCACAGCCAAAACTGTCCTGGCCTCCAGGACACAGCCTTGTGGGAGACAAGGGCCCCCAATAATGACTCTGTGGCAATGGGTGAAAAGTGGGGCACTGAGGGGGAGAGGAGACAACCAGTCTAGACTTCAGATCAGGAAAGGCTTCCTGGAGGAGGTGACATGCATGCCTGCATGCTCAGTCATGTCCAGCTCTGCCACCCCACAGACTGCAGCCCGCCAGGCTCCTCTGTCCATGGGACTTCCCAGGCAAGAATCCTGGAGTGGGTTGCCATTTCCTCCTCTGAGGGATCTTCCCTACCCAGGGATCCAACCCGCATCCCCTGTGTCTCCTGCAGGTGGGTTCTTTACCACAAGCACCACCTGGGGATGAGAGGAGGTGACACTCCAGGACAATCTGGACTTTGCAGAAAGAGAAGGTGGGCGCGGGGCAGTCCTTCCGGCAGCACTGGAGTAGAAGGCTGCATGTGGCCAGCCTGAGAGGCTCCGGGAGCCCAGAATCCCGCAGAGTGTGGAGGGATCAGGCAGGAGGGTCAGGGCCTACAGCTCCCCCAAGGCGCCGAGCAAGCTCCAAGCAGAGGCCTGAGCAGGCACCGCGTTTGGGGGCCCCTTTCCTCCCTGGCACCGAATCCCTCCACCCAGAGGCTCCTACCCGAGGAATAGGGCAGGAAGTCGCGCTGGTCTCGGACCGGCCAGGAGAGCTGGTGCGCGTGCACAGCCCGGAAGTAGCTGCCCAGCGTGGCGTACTCCATCGAGACGCCGTGCTGGTAGGTGAACTTGTTGACCTCCTCCATGACACGGTCCATGTTGGTGAACTGCAGCGAGGCGTTGAAGAACTGCCTGTCACAGCCCTGCAGCCGGGGGACAGAAGCAACGCCCTGCGCCTCTGGGTGCAGAGCCCGGCCTGCACGGGGAGGGCCCCTCTTCTCCCCAGGACCACCCCCCGCTCCCTGCGGCGGGCACGGCCCCGGGCCTGTGCTGTGCGCGTCCTCCTCTCTCTGTCCGGTTCAGGTCGTTCCCCAGCGCCGGCTGGTCTGACAGCTGCAGGTTTGTGCCCGTTCCAAACAGTCCCCCACTTCTCCACACTCGCCAGTCCCACCTTTGGCCACCAAACATCTGATCTCCTTCTCTAGGAGACTGGTTTTGTAAAATTCCACAATAGAGATGATTCAGGTTTTGTTTTTCTGTGTCTGATTGACTTCACTTCTTGACTATTTCTTAAACCCCAGCACATTACTAGATATTAATAACCTTAATTATGATAAGAGACTAAACATGAATAAAAAGGACAATGTCTTACTTGAATTTACTGACCTTAATTACATCCTCTGAAAGATATCAAAGTATAAAAACTGATAAATTCTTGAAAATATATAATCTAAATTGTGCATAAATAGAAAGAATGAACAATCGATTACTAGTAACAAAATTGAACCAGGATTCAAATACCTCTCAAGAAACCAATGATCAACTTTCAGTGGTGATTTCTGTCAACTATTGAAGAGGAACTGATACAAATTCTTGTTAGTCTAGTCTGTCCCATAAACTAGAATTGGACAGAAAAGTTTCAATATAATTTCTTGGTCAAATACAAGGCCGAGATCACCCTGACATGAAAATAGGCAAAGAAGCCTCAATATCTCCTCGGAACATAGACACAAAAATTCTCAACAACACATTAGCAAAACAAATTTAAATACATGAAGACAATATTACACCATCTTCAAGCAGGATTTATTCCAGGAATGCAAGGATTTTTCAACATCCTCAAATCAATCCATGTACTACAACACACTAAGAAAATGCAAGGTAAAAATTGTATGATCATCTCAACAGATGCAAAAAAAGCATATGACATAATTCATCTACCATTTATGATAAAAAAATTCTCATCAAAGAAGTGGATGGAAAATATGTCAACATAGGAGAGATCGTATATGACAGCTGACAACTGACATCAATTCAAGGATGAAAAGATAAAACCTATTCCTGTGAGATCAGGAAAAAGATAAGGGTGATCCCACTCACCACTTATTTAACATGGTATTATAAAGCATAGAGTGCAACAAATAGGAAAGGAAAGACTTGGTAATTGGAACAGAAGCAGTAAAACTCTCACTAATGTCAATTGTAATGGCGTTATAGAAATAAAGATCATATAAAACCCTAAAGACAAATCTTAAATGAATAACAGCAGTAAAGTTGCAAGATAAAAGTATCAACACACATAATCACCTGCTGATTAGTGTTTCCACACACTAATAACAAATCATCAGAAAGAGAAATGAAGGAAACAATCCTATTTATAGTTACATCAAAAAGGTAAAATACCTAAGAATACATTTCATGGAGCAGGTGACAGCCCTGCACACTAAAAACTAGACGACACAATGATGAGAGAAATGGAGGAAGACAGAAGTAAGTGGGAAAATACTCTGTGCTCATGACTGCAAGAGGAGGGCCTCCTTTCCCAAAGCAATCTACAGATTCAATGCAAAACCTATTAAAATTCCAAAGACGTTTCTCACAGAAATAGAACAACCAATCCTAAAATTTGTGAGAATCACAGAAGACTCTGAGTGGTCAGAGCAATCTTTAGTGAGAAGAACAAAACTAGAAGCATCATGCACCCTGATTTCAGACTTCACTGCAAAGTCACAGCAAGCCAAATAATCTGGTACCGACAATAAAAGATACAGATAGATTAATGGGATAGAGTAGAGAGCTCAGAAACAAAGCCATGTGTATATGGTAATTATATCACCATACAGAAAAGGTATATGGGCAAGGCAAAAGGGCGAGAATATAAACTGGGGAAAGGACATCTTCTACCAAAAGTGGTCTTGTGAAAACTGAACATACTCATGTGTAGAATGAGGTTGGACCACTGCCTGACACTGTACTCAAATAGTAAGTCAGGTTAAGCAAAGACTTGATTCTAACTTCTGGAACTATAAGGGCTTCCCTGGTAGCTCAGCTGGTAAAGAACCCACTTGAACTGCAGGAGACTCCAGTTCAATTCCTGGGTCGGGAAGATCCACTGGAGAAGGGATAGGCTGCCCACTCCACTATTCTTGGTCTTCCCTTGTGGTTCAGCTGGTAAAGAATCCGCCCACAATGCAGAAGACCTGGGTTCGATCCCTGGGTTGGGAAGATCCCATGGAGAGGGGAACAGCTACCCACTCCAGTAGTCTGGTCTGGAGAATTCCATGGACTATATAGTCCAAGGGCTCACAAAGAGTAGGATATGTGGAACTATAAAACTTCCAGAAGAAAATGTATGCAGTAAATTCCTCATCATTGGTCTTGATGATGAGTTTTTGTATTTACACCATGTGGAAAGGGATAAACAAGAACAATCAACAAGTAGACTACATCAAACTAAAAGCTTCTGGATAGCAAAGAAACTTCATAAATAAAGACAACCTATGAAATGAAACAAAGTATTTTCAAGTCATAAATCTGAAAAGGGTTAATATCCAAAATATATAAAGAGCACATACAAATCAGTAGTAATAATGCAAACAAGCCAGGTAAAAAATGGACAGAGGTCTTGAAAAGACATTTGTCCAAGGAAGACATGGAGATGAGAACACATGGAAAAAGATGCTGAACAAATCAAACCAGACAGAGGTACAGCCTCACAACTATTAGAACAGCTTTTGTTTATGAGAAAAGAAACAACTAATGTACGTCAGCATAAGGAGTAAAGGAGACATTCATGCACTGTTGGCTTTAATGTAAATTGTCCCAGCCATGATGAAAACAGTAAGGAGATTCCTCTCAAAATTAATAATAGAGCTGATCCAGCCATCCCCTTTCTTCACACTTATTCAAAGGCAACAAAAATACTATTTTGAAAAGACTTTTGTATCTTCATGTCCACTGCAGCATTATTTATAAAAGTCAAGGCATGGAATCAACCAATCATTAATGGATGATCAGATCAAGAAAATGTGATATATGTACACAGTGTTATTCACCATCAGAAAAGGAAATCCTGCCATTTACAACAGCATGGGTGGAAACTTGAGGGCATTATGCTCAGGGAAACAGTCAGACAGAGAAAGATGAAATACTGTATGGTGTCATGCATACGTGAATTAAAGGAAAAGAGAAAACATGTGAAAAATGGGTTCATGTACAGAGAGAACATATTGGTGGACGCCAAAACCAGGAGGGTGGGGTGGATGCGTGATGGAGGCTGTAAGGTGCAAATTTCCATCTATAGAATTAGAAAGTTGTAAGGTTGCAGTGTACAGAATGGTGGCTGTGGTGAACAATACTCTATTGTTTATTTGAAAGTTGTTAAAAAGTAAATCTTAAAATTTGCATCACAGGAAAAAATTGTGTAACTATTTGTGGTGACAAATATTAATGAGATCTTTGTGGTGATCATATTACAATACATATATATATATGCATACATACATATAATTCTTGAGACAGTAAACATTTCTTTTTTTTTTATTGCCTACATATATGCCTGTCAAGCTGCCATAAATTAATATATTTTTATTTAAGTTTTCATACCAGTTTGCCTGTTTACCTAATATATAGAATTTTTGGTTAAAAATTTATTAATATCTGCTCATATATACTGGAGTAGGAAATGGCAAACCACTACACTATTCTTGCCTAGAGAATCCCATGGACAGAGGAGCTTAGAGGGCTGCAGTACACAGAGTCACAAAGAATTGGGCACGACTGAGTGACTCACATACACACTCACGCACACACACTCTCATATATTAAAAATCATCTAAATCCCCCCAGCCAAAAGAGGCAGTTGTAAGTAAAGAAAGCAGGCTGTGTAGCTTTTCTGACGGCTCTGAGCACAAATTCCACTTTCTTAGCTGCCCTGCTAAGTACCTATGTGGCGTCAGGAAGATTCCTTAACCTCTCTGGCTCTCGGTCCCTTATGAGTAGACGGGACCCAGTAGGGCCTGCCCCTGTGCCCAGTGGGGCAGAGAAAATGGGGGAGACACATACATCACGTAGAACAGGGGTGCTCCACCCAGTTTGGCTGTGACCACAATGGTGACTGGGAGTTGGGCACTGTCCCCCGGGGGCGTCATTCCCACTTGACCTCAAATCCAGCCTATGGAGCAGGCCCTGTCATCATCCCCATTTCACAGAAGAGGAAAGTGAGGCCCAGAGGATCCCATGTCTCACAGCCCCTGACTCGGGAGCCAGGATTCAGGCCCAGGCCTCTGCTCCCAGCATTGAGTAGGGGAAAAGAGGGGAGAACTGGGGAGAGGCTCGAACCTGCGTCTGGGAGGGGATGCATCGGAGGTGAGGTTGTGCGGGTGATCCAGGGTGGGGGGAGGAGCTGGTAGACTAGGTGAGGACTCGGGGTGCAGGGAAGGAGGACTGAGCCGGAGCTGGGATGGCCCACTGCATGGATGGACACTGGCCTGGCTAACGCTCAGCACCAGTCCCGGGTGGGCCCAAGTGCTGAGGTTGGACCCACGGCAGCACTCCCTGGGCAGAATCGAGGAACCAGGGCCTAGTTGGGCCCCCAACTTACCCAGGGCCAGAGGAGGTGTGGCGTCCGGAACCAGGCGGCTCGTTCCCACACACTGTACAACACGGCCTCAACAAAGGATTGGAGTCTTTCCCAAGTGACGGGGAATTGCATGGAAGGGTACCAGCCATTCTCAGGAGGATGTGGGAAGATGGGCTCGCCATCCCAGTAAAATCCTTCACTGAGAGAGAGAGAGGAGTGTTAAGGGGCCCAGTCCTAAGAAGGGCAGCAGCCCTAGGCCTGGGAGGCAGGCAGAACTCAGCAATGTCAGAGCATCAGGGCTTCTGTCGCAGACAAGGCGGCGGTGGGCAGATGAGAGCTCTGTGGACAGAAGGTGTCACATTTCAGCCCTGCAGGATCTTGGGCACGTGACCCTGAAAGGCCCATGATTTTTCAGCTGTTCTGTGGAGCACACACCCTCTGGGCCCAATTCCTCCACATGGATCAGGTGCGATTCATGTGATCATTCATTCTTTGGGTGACCTCTGGGCCCATCACATCTTATTCCAAGGACCCCGAGCAGGGCTGGGACCAAAATGAGGCAAGCGAGATACTTGCCTTGGCACAAAACTTTGTGCTTGCAAAAATCTCAGTATCACCATGATGAGATTTTCACACTTTTGAAATAAAATGTAATGCAAAAAAAAATCATGATGAATAGAATCACAAAATTCTACACAAAGATAGAGCAGTAGTAAAAAATCCTCCGACTCCAATATAGCTTGGGAGGCTCTGACCCCAGGAAGGAACCTCACGGCTCTGGAGAGCCCCCGGTGAGGGTCTCCCCATTCATGCTGGGCAGCAAGGAGGCACACAGGAGGGCCCATTGACCAGCCCCCAGGAATGGCCACTTTGAAACACTGTGAACCTCAGTCTCCTGATCATAAAATGCATGACGATCACTAAGAGGACTGAGTGAAAGCAACTAGTGGAAAAGCTGAGAAATACTGCCAGGTGCAGAGTGGAGCCCAATGCCAGAAACCTGCTAGTGAGTCCCCCCCAGGTTCCTCTCCAAGCTGCCCTTTCATCCCACCTCCCCTGTTCACGAGGGCTCAGCCCCTGCCCACAGCCTCCCAGGCACAGAGGGCAGAGGGGACTGGATGCAGGGCTGCCCACGAGACAGCCCACAGTGGGGCTGAGGACACGAAGGCCTTGTCGTTGCACCAGGGCCCAGTGCAGCCGACCAACGGCTGCTACTGCAGGACCTTGGCTGGGTGTCCGGGCCTCAGCTGTTCTTTCTGTAAGATGGGTCCTCAGTGCGTGCCCTCAGGGCTGGCCATGAGGGGCTAGCTAAGCTGGTCGAGGGAGGGTGCTGGGACAGGGAACGGCCTGAGGCAGGTGCTCACGAGCAGTAGCCAAACTGGTCCAGGACGTGTGTGAAGATTTCCTGCTGCGCCGACAGGGATCTGGACCCTCGCCACACGAACTGCAGCTGCTGCAGACCCGGAGGGAACAGAGTGAGGCCCAGGGGTGACGCGGCTGCCGGCTCCCCTCCCCAGACCCCACCCGAGTCTCCTAGCCGCCCACACCCGCTCCTCTCAGTGGTTCACGGTCAAGATCTCCCTCTGATGCCCCCTCCTCAAGACTCCCCCTGCCCTCCCAAAGCCACACTGGTGGAGGAACTGGCCCTCCAGACGGTGCCTGCCTGCACTTTCATCTGACCCTCCTCAGGGCAGGACTCTCTGCCAGGGCCTGCCAGCCAGGCTGTCTGTAACTCGGCTTGAATGTCCCCAGACATGGGGAGCTCATTATGGATCATTATAGGTGCAGCAGTGTTTTTAAGTTCTGATGGTTCGAACGTGGATGAGTAGATGCGGCTCATGACTCACCTGGTTATCCTGCATGACTTTCTTCAGGTTGTAGTTGATCCTGGAGATGATGTGGGCATTAAAGCCTGCTAGGGCAAAGAGGGTGGGGGTCGTGGCGGATGCACCAAATGGGTCCACCTGCCAGGAGAACTGTGGTCGAATCCCAAATGTTTCATAGAGAAACCCGTGTCCTTCTGCAAAGAGATAAATCTCCTCAGTGACTGAATGGTGGCTCCTCATCCACTCACTCTCTCAAGCCTCATGCCTTTCTCCAGGGCTGAAATTCTATTCCAGACCAAGCAGACTCTTGCTGAAACAGATACGAAGTCAAATGGTCCATCCCAGAATTACCTAAATCTTCATCTACTTATTCGTGACTTTCATGCCATCCCTATGTGCAGAGATCAAGGTGACTGCAGGAGTCCCCAGATTTGAGAGGCCAGTGATTAAACTTCCCAAAGATGCTCCTGAAATATAACATCTGAATACTCTGAGCTGGTGCTAAGTCTGCATTTTAGGATAAGAGAACAAAGACTCAGAGAATTCACGTGCCTGGTGCCAAGTTAAATGTCCCTTCACTGATGAGCTGGGACACTGGCTCTGGCCCAGAAGGTTCCAGGGTTCTGGTGCAGAAATGGGGTCAGATCCACAAACAAGGCCCAGCCAGGAGGTGGGTGGCTGCTGGGAGGCTGGGGGGAGCCTGGAGCAGATTTGGGGTCTGGTGCAGAGGAGGTGATGAAGACCATCAGGTGGCTGGACTTGGGGTGGGCTCTGAGAACTCAGGGGCCAATGGGAGCAGCAGATGCGGTGTGGGAAACAGAGGAGACCAGGAAGGAGCACCTGGGGAGGAGGGGGAAGCCCTGGGGATGCTGGGTCTGAGATGGGGGGTCAGCAAAGTGTGCAGAGCACACCCTGACCCCAGATGGTTTGTCTGAGGAGGGCAGGCCTGATGGGTGTTGATTTGGTGGCCCCCAATTCCACATTCTGCCTGGAAAATCCCATGGACAGAGGAGCCTGGTGGGATACAGTCCATGAGGTCGCAAAGAGTCAGACACGACTGAGCACCTTCACTTCACTTCAATTCCACATTCAGAATCTTTACTTCATGCAGGGGACAGTGACCCAGACTGAAGGGGTGAATTATCACGAGTCTCACAGGTCACGGCAAGATCGCCCACATCTGCCAGACTTTAAACTCAAAAAACAAATATTAAAAGCAGCAAGGGGAAAGCAACAAATAACACCCAAGGCGTTGCCCATAAGGCTAACAGCACATCTCTCAACAGAAACTCTGCAGACCAGAAGGTGGTGGCAGGATAGACTTAAATCTGCAGGTTGCAGATTAAAGGAAAGAACCTGCAACCAAGATTACTCTATCCAGCAAGGAATGCACTCCAATTTGAAGGAGAAATCAAAAGCTTTCCAGACAAGCAAAAGTTAACAGAATTCAGCAGTACCAAAGCAGCTTTTCAACAAACGCTAAATGAACTTATCTAGACAGAAAACAGAAGATGAGATGGTTGGACGGCATCACCGACTCAATGGACATGGGTTTGGGTGGACTCCAGGAGTTGGTGATGGACAGGGAGGCCTGGCGTGCTGCAGTCCATGGGGTCACAAAGAGTCGGAAACGACTGAGCAACTGAACTGAACTGAGACAGAAAACACAAGAGAAAGAATAGACCTAAAAGAAACCCAAAACAAGACAGTAAATGGTAATAGGATCACACATATCAATAATTACCTTAAATGTAAATGGACTAAATGTTCCAACAAAAAGACAGGGACTGGCTGAATTGATACAAAAACAAGACCCGTGTGCATGCTATCTACAAGAGACCAACCTCAGACCTAGGGACACACACAGACTGAAAGTGAAAAGCTGCAGAAAGATACTCCATGCAAATGGAAATCAAAAGAAAGTGGGAGTATCAGTACTCATATCAGATAAAATAGACTTTAAAATAAAGCCTGTTACAAGAGACAGTGAAGGATCCCACAGAATGATCAAGGGACCAGTCCAAGAAGAAGATACAGCAATTATAAGTAGGTACGCACCTCAATACATAAGGCAAATGCTCACAACTGTTAAAGGGGAAACCCACAGTAACACAATAACAGTGGGTGACTTTAAAACCCTGCTCACACCAATGGACAGGTCATCCAGACAGAAAATTAACAAGGAAACAGAAGCTTTAAATGATACATTGGACCAGTTGGATCGTTTCATCCAAAAGCAGTAGATTACACATTTTTCTCAAGTGCACATGGAATATGCACAAGATAGATCGTGTCCTCAGTAACAAATCAAACCATGGTAAAGTTTAAAAATTGAAATCATTTCCAGCATCTTTTCTGACCACATGCTATAAGAATAGACATCAATTACAGGAAAAAAATCTATAAAAAAACACAAACACATGGAGGCTAAACAATATGCTTCTGAATAACTAAGAGATCACTGAAGAAGTCAAGGAAAAATAAAAAAATACTTAGAGGCAAATGACAATGAAATCATGACAACTCAAAGCCTATGGGTTTCAGTAAATGCAGTGCTAAGAGGGAAGCTTACAGCAAAACAAGGCTATCTCAAGAAATAAGAGAACCATCAAATAAACAACTGAACCTGACATGTAAAGCAAATAGAAAAAGAATAACAAAACATACTCAAAGTTAGTAGAAGGGAAGAAATCATAAATATCAGAGCAGAAATAAATTAAAAAAGAAATGAAGGTGGTAATAACAAAGTTTAAAAAAAAACTAAAAGCTGATTCTTTAAGAAGATAGACAAAACTGACCATCCATTAGAGAGACTCATCAGGGAAAAAAGTGAGAAATACAGAGACACATGTACCCCAGTTGTCACTGCAGCACCATTTACAGTAAGTAGGACATGTGAGCAACCTAGATGTCTGTCAACAGATGAAAGGATAAAGAAGCTGTGGTACACACATACAGTGGACTATTACTCAGTCATAAAAACTGCATTTGAGTCAGTTCTGATGAGGTGGATGAACCTAGAGCCTATTATACAGAGTGAAGTAAGTCAGAAAGAGAAAATCAAATATCGTATATTAACACACATATATATGGCATCTAGAAAGATGCTACCACTGAGCCTATTTCCAGAGCAGCAGTGGAGACATGGTCAAAGAGAACATACCCCTGAGTACAGCGGGGGAAGGAGAAGGCGGGATGAATTGAGAGAACAGCATTGAAACCTGTACATCACCATGTGTAAAATTAGATGGCCGGTGGAAATTTGCTCTATGATACAGAGAGCTCAAATTCAGTGTTCTGTGACAACCTAGATAGGTGGGATGAGGAGGGGGGGGGTGGCTGAGAGGGAGTTTCAAGAGGGACCAGACACATGTATACTGATTCAGTCAGTTCAGTTCAATTCAGTCGCTCAGTCGTGTCCGACTCTTTGCAACCCCATGAATCGCAGCACACCAGGCCTCCCTGTCCATCACAAACTCCCAGAGTTTACTCAAACTCATGTCCATCGAGTCGGTGATGCCATCCAACCATCTCATCCTCTGTCGTCCCCTTCTCCTCCTGCCCCCAGTCCCTCCCAGCATCAGGGTCTTTTCCAATGAGTCAACTCTTCACATGAGGTGGCCAAAGTATTGGAGTTTCAGCTTCAGCATCAGTCCTTCCAATGAACACCCAGGACTGATCTCCTTTAGGATGGACTGGTTGGATCTCCTTGCAGCCCAAGGGACTCTCCAGAGTCTTCTCCAACACCACAGTTCAAAAGCATCAATTCTTCGGCACTCAGCTTTCTTTATAGTCCAACTCTCACATCTATACATGACCACTGGAAAAATCATAGCCTTGACTATATGGACCTTTGTTGGTAAAGTAATGTCTCTGCTTTTTAATATGCTGTCTAGGTTGGTCATAACTTTCCTTCCAAGGAGTAAGCATCTTTTAAGCATGCATGTAAGTAAGCATTCATGGCTGCAATCACCATCTATACTGATTAATGTTGACATAAGGCAGAGACCAACACAATATTATAAATCAATTAACCTCCAATTAAAATTAAATAAAATTTTTTTAAAAAGACACGCCTGAGAAGCCGTGCTACAGCAGCATAAGATCAGAGGCCTGTCCTCTCCCAACAAGATTCTGCCCATTCTGACCCCTACCTGGGAAATCATCTTGACCTTAGACCTGAGCCGATGGTGACCTCCTTGCTTCATTCTTCCTCCCCAGGGGCCTGACACTCAGCAGGGGCTCAACAAAGGTGAAGAGGAGGGAATGGATCCAGGACCAGTGAGGTGTGGTCCAGCATGACCCGCCCAACACACCAGAGAAGCACTAAACACTGGACACAACCACAAGTGGTGGTCCAGGAAATCAGGGATGATGGTTTGAGAAGACCCCACTGAAAGTAAGATGTACACCCCGGCCCCCTACACACACACACACACACATCTGGGGGCACAAGTTACAGACAGACAGAGCCAGATGGACCTGGCTGGAGTCCGGTTTGACTGCTGGCTGCATGGACATCCTTGCAGCTCTCTGTGCCTCAGTTTCCTCATCTTGAAAACGGGGCTGTGAACAACACCAGCTGCCACCAGGCTGTTCAGAGGCCCCCAGGAGAAAACAGATGGGCAAGCACTTGGTTCATCCCCCTGGGATAGGGGAGGGGCTGAGCTCTCAAGCACCTTGCTGACTGAACCAGGCTTGTTCAGAATGAGACCCTCACCTGCTGGCAGCAGGACTCGGGTAAGATTCAGCAACTTTTGAGCCTCAAATTGGACCTCAGTGAGCGGGAGTTTGTAAGACCCCTCATCTCTAGGACTGCCTCTTGGAGTGAAGGACTGAAGGGATTAAGTGAATGCCTTGTTCTTAGGACAGGAGGTCATCATAAGATGAAGTCAGACCCATCATCTTGGGTCCCGGCAGCCTGGCTGGTGTTGGAAACGGAGCCCCAGAGAATCCCCTGGGGAGGATCCAGGGGTCCACAGTCCTTCCTATCCCCATGATGGGAACCTGTCTTTGCCTGGATTCTGGCTGCTGTGGTTAGGCCAGCAGGGTCAGCTCTGGGGTGTTCAGGACAGTGGGCATTGTGGGCTAAGACCAGAGGTGAGGGATGCCTCGGCTGTGGGCACCTGGAGGAGGCCAGGTCAGTGCTTACTCCCTCCCTCTGTGCCCACCAGCCCTCATCAGCCCTGGATTAAGTCCTGGGGACCCAGAGAAGAATCAGACACTGATCACTGTGGAAGCAATCTGTAGTTCATGGTGAAGATGGGAGGTGCTCGAGCATTGTGGCCCCAGTGGAAACTGCCTGGACCATGAGACTCCTCAGCTGAGTCTGGGTGGAAGCAACAGGAGACCTTGTTCTGAAGGCACAGGAGGCTCTGTTATGGGAGCAGGTCAAGGGAAGCACGAGGCAAAAGGAACAGGCAGGCGGTCAGAAAGTGAGGCCTGAGGCTGCATTTTGCAGGCTGGGGAGCTTATATGATAAAACTTAAAGCCCTTCTCTTGAAAGAAAAGCTATGGCAAACTTGGACATTGTATTAAAAAGCAGAAACATCACTTTGTCATCAAAGTGCCACATAGTCAAAGCTATGGTTTTACCAGTAGTCACATACAGATGTGAGACCTGGAGCATAAAGAAGGCCCAGTGTCAAAGAACTGACACTTACAAATCGTGGTGCTGGAGAAGACTCTTGAAAATCTTGGAAAGCAAGATCAAATTAGTCAATCCTAAAGGAAATCAACCCCAAATATTCGTTGGAAGGACTGATGCTGAAGCTGAAGCTCCAATACTTTGGTCACCAGATATAAAGAGCTGACTCATTGGAGAAGATCCTGATGCTGGGAAAGATTGAGGGCAGGAAGAGAAGGGGATGACAGAAGATGAGATGGTTGGATGGCATCAAAGACTCAATGGATTCAATGAGCTTGAGGCAACTCTGGGAGATGGTCAAGGACAGGGAAACCTGGTATGCTATGGTCCGTGTGGTCACAAAGAGTCAGACACAACTGAGAGACTGAACAACAATTCAAATTCTACTCAGTGCACTCTGTTGGAATTATCCCAATTTAATCTCATAACACCGCTTTGAGGTAGATCTGCATCACTGTCAAATATTTTTCCAGAGGAGGGAACTGAGGCCTAATGAGGTTGCATCACTTGCCCAGGGTCACAGGGCTGGGAAGGAGCAGAGTCAGGAGACAGCCAGGCCGACTGGTCTAGAGTCCACACCCTTATCCCCTGCACTCAGGCACAGACATGGACGCAGTACCAGCAATCACAGTGTTGACTGGTCAGTCTCCTGCTGAGAGGGGAAGATGGAGCCCAGGACGAGGGCTCAGACACCGAGTCCCAGCCCCATAGAGGCCCCAGGGACCCTGGTCTGGGGAAGGGTAATCGAACCTGTGAGCTGGAGGATCTGGTCATCAAGGTGGGTCACGGCCTCGTCGTGCATGACCTGGCCTCCGAGGACAAACTCCAGGCGACCTTCAGCCACGAGCTGGCGAACCTTGGAATGGAGGGCAGAGAGAAGAAACCAGGTTACATCCCTTGGGCTGAGCCAGTTGTGTTTTCTGGGCACATGCCTATAGCATCTCATGGTCCTTCCTTCAAACTGCTCAGCCTCATTTCTTCTGCAAATAGCAGGACGCTGTCTGTCTTGGTCGGCACTGTGTCCATCTCTGAGAACAGGACCTGGCCATGCCTGCTGCTTCAGCAGATGTACATACAGGTACATATGTCCACACCTTTTGCTTTTGAATGATGCCAAAATTATGGGAAACTTGTGGAAAATGTACCCAGAACTCCCATAAATCTTTCTCCAGATTATGTAATTGCTGGTGTTTTTTATCTATTTCCTAGACACTCCCACATGTCATTACACATATTATGTTTTTCCTAAGCCTTTTGAAAGTACAAGTTAGCAACAGCATGCCTTTATCTGAATACTTCAGTATGCTTTTGATAAGAACAAAAGATGACAATTGCTATGTAATGGTCAAAACCCAGGATATTTCACATTAATAATATGTGTATGTGTGCTCAGTCACATGGTTGTGTCTGACTCTTTGCAGTCCTGTGGACTGTAGCCCATCAGGCCCCTCTATCCATCGAATGTTCTGGGCAAGAATACTGGAGTTGATTGGCATTTCCTTCTCCAAGGGATCTTACCACCCCAGGGATCGAACCCACATCTCTTGTGTCTCTTTCATTGGCAGGCAGGTTGTATACCACTGAGCCACATGGGAATACCTATTCATAAGTTTCCTATCGAATTAAGAAACTGTGCTCAAATTTTGCCACTTGTTCCACTAATGGCCTTTCTCTGATGTGAGATTCAATCTAGGTTCATGATTTGCTTTTAGGATCAGCTCTCTTTTTCATTCTTTAATTTACAATACTCTTTGAGCCATTCTTTGCCTTCAGAAGATTTACAATTTTGAGGATTTCAGGCTACTTATTTTGTACAGTGGTCTTCAGATTGTATTTGTCACATGATTGGCTAACAAATATTTTGAAGTACACCCATGAAAAGCATTGCCTGGAGGTCCAGAACGTAGGTCACACTTTCAGTGCCGAGGACGTGACCTTGATTATTTCTTGGGTTTCCCTGGTGGCTCAGATGGTAGAGAATCTGCCTGCAGCGCAGGAGACCCGGGTTTGATCCCTGGGTCAGGAGGATCCGCTAGGGAAGTGAAAGGCTACCCAAACCAGTATTCTTTCCTGGAGAATTCCATGGACAGAGAAGACTGGCAGGATACAGTCCATGGGGTCACAAAGAGTGGGACACGACTGAGCGATTTTCATCTTCACTTTCACTGGGGGACTAAGATCCCGCAAACGTCATGGTGTGGACGATAAAATACATCCATGAAAAAAGGGAAAAATGGAAACATACATACAGTCAAGGGCTGTGACACTGAGCACATCATGCTCCTGGGAGACTGTGGTTTTGATTTGATCTGAAAGTACTGTCTTTGCAGATCATTCATCTGAGAAATGTGGAATGACACCTACCATGTACTGTTTTAAATCTGTATCTGCTTTATTATGGGCACCATTCAGACACTGGGATTCAGTCCAAACAACTCAGAGATAATTGCTAGTTTCCAGGGACATATTGCTGAATGTCCTGGCTAGGTCTTAGCCAGTGGACACTTTACTGTGGGAGCAGGATTAAGTGACTTGGGTCTGGGGATGTCCATGTAAAGAAGGAAGAACTGCCCAATGGACACCCAGAGAGCTGTGCTTTGATTCACAATACTCACCCAGAACCCAGCTGTCAGCTATAAGCTGCGTGACCTTGAGCCAGCTGCCTGCCCTCTCTGAACCCGGACCAGCTCTGTGCAGTAGGACCAGTGTCCTCACCGTGCGGGTTGTGGGAGGAGTCAGTAGACTAACCTGTACAGACCTGAGCCCAGCACCCGGCTCGCGGCAGAGCCCATCAGATGGGAGGCTCATCCTCTCGGCTCCACAGGCTGCAGGTTCGCATCCCCTCTGGGGCCTGGGGGACACCCGGCTTCACCGTCTGAGCTCTCTGCCTTGAGCAGGTGGCTGAGCCTCTGAGTTTCACCATCGGCGACTGTTCTGAGGGCAGGTGATGCCTGGAGGGGACCACGCCCCAGAGGCACCCTAGGTGCTCACACCGTGGGCACATTCTGGGCACAGCCTCTCTGAGGAGGGAGGCCACTCCTGCTTCCAGATGTGGGACCTGCAGCTAAAGAGCCAGCCCCGCCTGTGATCACACGGGGAACGAGGGGAGGCCCTGACCCCAGGCTGCCCCTCCTTGGACCAGGGCCTCTGACCCCCTGGACACGGAGTTAATCAGCCCTGGAGGTTAATCCACAGGGCCTCCTGCACCCTGGCTGGTCCTGGGCTCTGGGGCCCATGGGTCCATGCAGATCGACAAATGAAGTCAGAAGCTGTGGACACAGGTCACCCCAGATTGCCCAGTGTCAGAGGGGACCTCATTCTCACCAGCTGAGTGCCCGGCTGGGCTGCCAGAGCTGCAATTATTCAGGAGGAACCAGAAAGGCAGGGTCAAACACAACCCTGTCCCCTGGGCATGGGGCTGACCACAAACCTGTACTAAACGGACCCTGGGCACAGCTCAGCCGGGTTGGGGCCCCCTGGTTTATGCAGCCCCGCCCTGGCCACACAGAGCACAACCCAGGAGCTTCCTGAAGGGTCGTCCCCGGGACCCCCAGGGCATCCACTCTCAGCTGCCTGGTGAGGACCCCCTGAGTGCAGCGTTACCTGGCCTTTCTGCCCGTCCGAGGCGACGCCATCCCACCAGAGCCGGAAATACTCCTGCTCCACAGCGATGAACCTGCGCTTCTTCTCAAGGGTCAGCTCCTCCACCACGGAGTTGTAGACGTTGGTGACATAAGCCTGCATGCTCTCCTGGGGTGGGGAGGGGGAGAGGCCATCACTCCAGCCCCGTGGGGGAAACCAGAGGGCGTGGACCAGGGACCGAGGAGGAATGTGCAGGGAGACACGGTGTCCGGGTTCCACTGGCACTCCCACCCAGCCTGCCCTAGACTCCCCCTCCTCCTCAAACAAGGGAGCCCGGTGTCCACTCTGTGCTGGATGGACAGTAAGCCCTGCACTGAGAGAAGGACCCGGGCGGACCCCCTTAGATGGGAGCCTGCCCCCGAGGAGAGTCATGAGGGGATAGACACTCTATGAGACAGAGGATTGTGCTGGCCCAGCCCACAGGGGCATGATGACCACTCCTGCCTTGGAGCATAGACCAGTAAACAACAGGGCACTGGGATTGAGGTCCAGGGACCCTGGCTGGCCTTCTTGGGATGAAATGATGGGAAAGTGTGCGTCAAGGGCTAAGGCTGAGAGGAGCTGACCCCCCAAGTTGTCTCTCTGGATCTCTCTCTTCCCCCGAGGCTGGGAGCCCCCAGGATGGAGCTGAGCGTGCTCCCATCTGGGTCAGGCTGGCTCACTGTGGTGCCTGGATGCTGATAAAGGAATGCAGGGAGCCCTGGGCAGGGTGTTAGCGGGCAAGGCGGCGATGTCTGCTGACTTGGGCAGCACCCCACCCTGGGCCTCAGTGTCCCTTCTGTAAACTGGGGGTAAGGAGCCTGCTTCCCACATGTCAGCAGTTCCACACACAGGTGGGTGACCACCCACAGACCCTGCCCAGTGAGCTGGGACCAGACTCAACACTCAGCCTCAGGGCCTCTTGCTGCCTGACTCCCTTTAAAGTGAGCGACTCACTTATTAACATCTCATGGAAACTATTGTATCCATGATCACAGAGTGGTCGTATTCATTTGTTTCCTTCCTCCTTCCAGAAAGAGCTTGCACAGACCTGGGTAATCATTTCAGTTACCTGCACCAGAAACTTATGGAAATCAGCCTTTCCCTCTTTCCCTCGGCCCTGGTTCATTCATTTACTCAACGAATAATTGAGGAACACTCTCTATCAGTTGTGGCTGGGAACACATTCTCACCCGTGCCCACAGCCAGTCCATGTTACTTGTTCAGTTGTATCTCTCTCTTTGTGACCCCATAGACTATAGGCTGCCAGGCTCCTCTGTCCATTCTCCAGGCAAGAATACTGGTGTGGGTTGCCATTTTCTTCTCCAGGGCATCTTTCCAACCCGGGGATCGAACTTGTGTCTTCTGCATTGCAGGCAGATTCTTTACATTCTGAGCCACCAGAGAAGTCCTCAGCCAGTCCAGAGCCGGGGTAGGTGGGCCCAAGGCCGAGACCCCTGATGGCAGAGACCCAGGATGCAAACCCACTCTGGAGTCCAGATGGAGAAAGAGCCACAGCCTCAAGAGCTGTGCAGGGGTCACTCGGGGCACCTACCTGTACGGTGTGCAGCCAGCCCACGTCCATGTGGCTGTGGGGAACCACGAATACCCTCAGTCGGGGCTCAGAAGGAGCCCCCAGGGGCCACATCAGGCCCAACTGCAGGAGCAGAGGCAGCCAGCCCTGCGGCTCCATGTCCTCAGCCAGCACAGGGGCTGGAGGATGTCTGCCTGCCTGCGGGCCCCGCCTCCTGCCAGCCGATGGGGCCACCACCCTTTGGTGGATGGAACGGGATGGAGACCAGGAGTGACGCCCACACAGAGGCTGTCACCTGAGCGGTGCAGGCGGGGGCCCTCGCTCACTGCCTTGCAGCACTCTGCTCCATCTGGGGTTTCCTGACCATCCGCCTTTAGCAAAATCCCAAACACCACCTCCCCAGGGAAGCCTGCCAGCTTCCCTCTGGCTCCTCTCACCCCAGTCCTCATGCCCCTTCCTTAGGCCTCTCCCGGTATTTCCCACTGGGCATCTTACCCACCCCTGCCCCCAACCCACTGGACTGGCTCCTTCACACTGCCCTGCAAATCCTAACTCTCAATGTGGGGCCTGCCACCACCAGGAAGCCTGCCCTGATACACTCTCCTTCACATGAAATCCCCAGACTGAACCTTGCAATAGGTGTTGTCATCTCTTTTGAGTAAGAAATTTGGCTTCACAAATAGAACCTGACTATCTGAGGTCACCCAGGTAGTGGAGCAGCAAGAAGGCCTGAAAATTTCAGAATTAGGTCTGGATCACGGATAGTGACTTTGGCAAGATGCCTAAGCTCCCTAGGTCTCAGCAGCCTGTCTGTAAACTGGGATATCCTTAGAAGAGCTGGGGAGCCGAGAGGGAATTCAAAGGAGATGACAACAGCGGGGTCTCCTTCCTGGAGGATGTCTGTCATGGTGGTGCAGCCTGCAGGGGTCAGAGTGTTGCCTGGGGGTCTCTGTAACCCTGACTTGGAGCAGGGGTCTGGGAGTGGGGTCTTCTGCCTGACTTCCAAATGCCTGAGCGGCTCTTTCTGTCGCTGCCCGACCTGAGACTCACTCTCACTTCTAGTCACCTTGTCCCCTCCCCCAGCAAATACATCTGGAGAACATGGTCTCCAAGCAGGTCTCTATCCTGTCTCTCCCATCCCCCTCCCTGGTACCCACCTAACCTGACTTGACCTGGACTTTCCTCCCAGTGGGGGTCTTAACAGCGACACATCCCATCTCACAGATCTGGAGACCAGAAGGCCCCGGAGAGTCAGGGCTCAGGGCAGATTCTGTGACAGCCTCGGGGGCTCGCTCTCCGTCACTGGGTGCTTGCTAAATCGCTTTAGTCAAGTTCGATTCTGAAGGACCCTATGGACTGCCGGTCCTCTGTCCCGGGACTCCCCAGGCAAGAATACTGGACTGTGTTGCCATGCCTTCCACCAGGGGATCTTTCCAACCCATTGATCAAACCTGAATCGCTTACGTCTCTGGCATTGGCAGGCAGGTTCTTCACCAGTAGGTGGCTCAGATGGTAAATTCAGGAGAGAGACCTAGGTTCGATCCCGGGGTAGGGAAGATCCCCGGGTAGGGAAGATCCCCTCAAGAAGGAAATGGCTATGCACCCCATTATTCTTGCCTGGAGAATTTCATAGCCAGGGGAGCCTGGTGGGCTTTAGTTCATAGGGTCACAAAGAGTCAGACATGACTGAGCAACTAACACCCTTGTCCTTCAACAGAAGGTAGCATTTCCTTGCAGGGAAGGCTTCAGCACAGGAGCGGTTCTTTCTGGATCAGGCTCTGTCAGGCCCAGTCGTCCAGTGGAAGAGGCTACTTGAGTTTCTGGGACCCATGACCTTGGTTCCTGGAAGCAAATTACCGAGAAAAAGGGCCGGTGCACATGTGTTCGGCTCCAAGGAACATCACCATGGACTCCACAGTGAACCCGAACACCGTGAGAAGGACACGTGGTCCCTGAGGACCCCACAGCAGTGCCAGCTGGTGCCCAGGGTCACACGTGGGCGTGCAGCCTGTGACCTCTTCCTGATCCGGGCCATAGCGGCTCATGAGAGTGTGAAGCATGACTTGCGCTGGGTGTTCCAGAGAAAGAACAGCCCGACTCTACACTGTGCTGCATGGGAGCTTGTAAGATGGACCCACCAGCACCATTTCCACCTATTCTTTGTGACATCAGCGCTGTCTGTCCTCTAGGGCGTGTGAGCAGCCTGGGGGCTCAGGATGCCCTGATGGGCAAACTGCCTAGGGCTGCACCCAGTGCCAAGCGCCTCCCCCCAGCAGCAGGGGCCCGGCATCCTCTAGCTTCCAACATTTCAGCTCCAGTGTCTGCCCTCTGGGAGTCTGACCCGAAACCTGCACCTGGACCCTCCAGCACTTGTCCCCTTTGCCTTTCTGGCCTCGGCTCCCACCCCTCTTCTGCTCAGTCCATCCTGACGCTGCTGGAGGGCCCAATGCCCCCCCTCCTCACGACCCTTTTCCTCTGCTGTGTCCTGGCCTGGAAGGAGCCCCGTCCTCCCAGCACCACAGCTGCGGGGTCAGGGCCTCCCTACAGGTCGGGCCCTTTCCCAGGTCAGGCCCTTGCAAGTGCTGTTCCCTCTGCTGGGAAGGGTCTTCCTCCACTTCCTGTCTAGCAGGTTGCTATTCCTCCTTTATTTCTCCCCATCGCCTAGAGATTTTCTCTGGGCCTCCCCTCCCTCTTCCATAGCACTTACTGAAGAATATTTCCTGTATTAACCTGTGTGTTTGGTCCACATGGGTCCATTCTGTTCTCTGCTGAATCAGGACTGGGAACAAAGCAGGAGCTCCTGATCTTTGGGGGGAAAGAACCCAGGGATGTAACTGTCATGGACATGGCTGTCCCCTCCTAACATGGACAACATGGGTGATACCCACAGCACAGCATATAAAGCTCAGCTCAGCAGCTCCTCCCAGCTCCACCTCTACCCACTGTGTGAGCCAGCCCCTCACCCCCGGAGCAGGCCAGTGCACACCTCCTGACAGCCTGACGAGACCCCCGGCTCCTGACCTGTACGGGGGGCACCTGTAGGTCTGTCCATAGGGTGGTTTGGGTACTAAGCTGGTGGAGATGTAAGTGCTCCCCCACCGCCCCCAGTGCCTGACCGCAGAGATAACTCTCCTCACACACAGCAGGTCTGCCCCACCCCTGGCTGCAAGGCTGCCCTGCATCCTGTTCTCAAGTTTTGATCATTAACAGCCACTGAACTCTGACTGTGTGCCAGGCTCTGTGCTTGGAGCTGAGGGGACAGGAGTTGTGCTGCCCCCAGGATGTCCTTGTGGGGAGACAGGATGTGGCCGTGGCAGCTCTGCCCACAGGATGATCTGCTCTGGTGGTCTGGAGGTGCTTGGAGGACCCTGGAGGGCTTCCTGGAGGAGGGGTGGAGGGGACAGAGTGCGGGGGAGATGGCTGGTTCTGGGCCATGGTGTGAGAGGAGAGCCAGGGTGAGGCTGGGTCTTGCAGGCTCTTTCCCTCTGCTCTGGCTTCCTCTCTTTATAACTCCACCTGTTCCCTCTCCCTGGCCACCTCCCCTCTAATCTCGCTCTGGGGCTGGGGGAGGGGCTGGCAGGGTATTCAAGTCCATCCACTCCTGCACTTTAGGGTCATTAGTGTCCAGAGTGGAGGTTGTTGTTCCAGTATTGGGTGAGGCAGCTGGAATCAGAAGGTCCTCCATTCATTTGTCAAGATCTCACCAGAAGCATCTCTATTGTCCTCCTTGGAACTGGCTTCCAGGGCTCAGTCCTCCTCTATAGGGCATCCTCGGAGAAGGCAATGGCAACCCACTCCAGTATTCTTGCCTGGAGAATCCCAGCGACGGAGGAGCCTTGTGGGCTGCCGTCTATGGGGTTGCACAGAAGCAGACACGACTGAAGCGACTTAGCCATAGCAGCAGCAGCAGCATAGGGCATCCTTGGGGAGCAGGAGACCAGGGAGAAGGAAAAGGTTCTCAGGGCAGAGTCAAACATCCACAGTCTGAGAACCTTCCCATCTAGCCATTCCCCTTCAGTTTGTCTCTGGTAAAATGGGCTTCTTACTAAGGCTGGCAACCCCGGTGTGGTACCTGGGCACAGGGAACACAGCTGCATGGCACCCACACATTTCCGTCTGGTCGTCCCCAGATCCCATTTCTCCTTCTCGCCTCCTTGTACCAACTCTTCCAGGAAGGGCCCGCTCCAGACCCCTCCGATGACCTGCTCTTTCTGATAATGGCCACCACGGAGCACAGAGTCCTGAGGCAGCTGCTCTTCTTGGTCCTGAAATTATGACAGCTGCAGGGAGGTCCTGAAGATTCCTTGAATCTTGGTGGCTGCAAACATTTTAGCTGTTTCTTTGGAAGACATAGATATTTAGGTTCAGTAAAGTAAGGACTTTAGCTTCCCACACTTAGATCCTTTTCCTTTCCATCTTTGAGGTTGGAAAAGTAAAACTGTTGAAAATATCAGTCACTCAGTTCTGTCCAATTCTTTGCAACCCCATGGTCTGTAGCCCACCCAGCTCTTCTGTCTTTCACTGTCTCCTTGTGTTTTGCCAAACTCACATCCATTGAGTCGGTAGTGCTATCCAATCATCTCAGCCTCTTTTCCACCTTTTCTTTTTGCCTCAGTCTTTCCCAGCATCAGGGTCTTTTCCAATGAGTCAGTTCTTCGCATCAGATGGACAAAGTATTGGAGTTTCAGCTTCAGCAAAAGACCTTCCACTGCATATTCAGAGTTGATTTCCTTTAGGATTGGCTGGTTTGATCTCCTTGCTGTCCAAGGGACTCTCAAGCATTCTCTCCAGCACCACAGTTCGAAAGCATCAACATTCAGCATTTACGGTTCAAATCTTTGTGGCCCAGAGCAGGAAATTTCATATACTGATTACCTTACACTGTGATTATATCCTGATGAAATCTTTTGTGGAGTCCCAGGTGCCTTTAATATACTAAAATATTTACTGATTCTGGACATTCATGTTACCATAATTGCACAGGATGTATCCTTTTTATTTGTCTTCCTTTACTGTTCCTTTTTATGACTGAGTGCTATTCCACTGTGTACATATGGTGAGTTTGGTGTATTTAGCTATCATGGATGGACACTGACTTGTGTCCACCATTTGGTGATTATGCATAATACTGCTTTGAATTTGCATTCAGTAGCAAGGGAGTTTCAGAAACACATCCATTTCTGCTTCATTGAGTATGCTAAAGTTTTTGACTGTGTGGATCACAACAAACTGTGGGAAATCATGAAAGAGATGAAAGTACCAGAACACCTTACCTATCTCCTAAGAAACCTAATGTGTGTCAAGGAGTAACAGTTGGAAGTGGATATGAACAATGGACTGGTTCCAAATTGGGGAATGTGTACAAGACTGTATATTGTCACCCTCTTTATTTACCTTATATGTACAGGACATCATGAGAAATGCCAGGCTGGATGAATCACAAGCTGGAATCCACACTGCCGGTGGAAATATCAACAACCTCAGATGTGCAGATGTTACCACTTAAAGGGCAGAAACTGAGGAGGACCTAAGGAGCTGCTTGATGAGGGTGAAATAGGAGAGTGAAAAAGCTGGCTTGAAACTCAACATTTAAAAAAACTAAGATCATGGCACCTGCTCCCATCACTTGCATGACAAACAGAAGGAGAAAGTTTGGAAACAGTGACAGATTTTATCTTCGATTTCACTGCAGATCGTGACAGCAGCCATGAAGTTATAAGATGCTTGCTCCTAGGAAGGAAACCTATGACAAACTTAGACAATGTATTTAAAAGCAGACACATCACTTGCCAACAAAGGTCCATAGAGTCAAAGCTATGGTATTTCCAGCAGTCATGGACAGATGTGAGAGTTGGACCGTAAGAAGACTGAGCACAAAACAATTCATGCTTTTGAACTGTCATGCTAGAGAAGACTCTTGAGAGACCTTGGGTCGACAGGAAGACTAACCAGTCAATCCTAAAGAAATCAACCCTGAATCTTCATTGGAAGGACTAATGTTGAAGCTAAAGCTAAAATACTTTGACCACTTGATACATAGTGATGACTCATTGGAAGACTCTGATGCTGGGAAAGACTGAGGGCAGGAGAAGGGTGTGGCAGAGGATGAAATGGTTAGATTAACAACACTGACTCAATGGACACGAATTTGAGCAAACTCCAGGAGATAGTGGAGGACAAAGAGTTTCATGTTGATGAATGCTTTCAATCATTTGGACACAAACATGGGCATGAATATTACCTTTAATATTAATAATTCTTACATTGCGTGTCCTGTGTTTCAATTGCTGTGTGGTTTTCTTTCATCTCTTGGTGGCCCAGGCTATAGGACAGGTGTAAGGCAGGTGATTCCAGGGGTCAGAAGAAGAGTATGAGGTTGGAAGCACAGCTTGGCATTACACACCCAGGTCAATAGGTCAGTGGTGTAGCTCCCTCCCATATATCTTAGGCATAGCCCTCCACAGCAGGGGCATCTCCACCCTGGGATGAGTCTATGAAGGTGCCAGGAACACAGCAGGGCCAATGTCAACCCTGGGGGGCTTGCTGAGTTCTGGCAGGATGCAGGCAGATGCATTTTGGTATCCCTGTGTATTACTGCTTCTGTCTTTGGGAGAACACCTGGCTTTGACTCTTGCAGGTGAAGCAGGAGGGTGAGCATGTGTGAAGCTACCGTCTATGACAGGAGAAGAGAGAGAGGGCCGGCTCCAGTGGGCAGGGGAAGACACGGGTCCTTAATGCGATTTTATTTAAGAAGTCAGAACACCCCCCATCCATCCATTTCCTGCTGTTAGCACACCAGATTGGCAGCTGTTCCCCTCACCCTCTAGGCTGCTTTTCTGTGTCTTGGGACCAAGAATCTGCCAAGGGCTCACTGCTCTTGAAAGTGAATGAAGAATGTCCGGATCTCCTTCGGGTAGATGGTGACCTCGGGGCCTCCTGGAGGTGGCGATGGATGACTGGAGTTGCCTGGAAGCAGAGAAGGTCTGTCCAGTATGGTCCCTGGACCACCTGCTTCCCCAGGTCCTCATGGCTTCCCCCTGGCAACATGGCTCCTGCTGCATCTGCGGCTCCCACTGTGACCACAGCCCTCAGCTGACCCACTCTTGACAGAACTCCACTCCTGGGGGGCCTCTTTCATCTCTGGCCTCCCCTGTGGGCACAGCACAGTCAAGTCATGTACAGTGGGCTCTGGCCACACTTGGTCTCGTATCTCCACGTGTTGTGGCACCATGTATGTGCCTAGGAGCCTTCTCACTGAGGCCATGAGGGGGCCCTGCCCTTGATCTCAATGGGCTCCATTGACAGGTCACACCCTGGGGTTTAGGCGCCCACCTTGGGATTAAAGTGGTTCCTCCATTCATCCATCCACCTTACCATCCATCCGTCCATCCATCCTTCCATTCCTGAATCCAATTCCTCCACCCATCCATTGTCAATCCATCCAACCTCCAGTCATCCATCAAACATCCAACTTCTTTCCATCTCCCCTTTCATCCATCTACTCATGCATACATCATCCATCCATGTTTCTTCCTTCCATTCATCTTTCATCTATCCATTATCCAATTGTGTATCTTCCTGCATCCACACACTTTCCTTCCTTCCTTACATCCTTTTTATCCAAGTAAATATCCTTCATTCTATCAATCTATAATACTTGACTACTTGCCTACCAAAATCACTGCAGATAGTGATTGCAGCCATGAAATTAAAACATGCTCCTTGGAAGAAAGTCTATGACCACACTAGACAACATATTAAAAATCAGAGACATTACTTTGCCAACAAAAGTCTGTCTGGTTTTTCCAGTGCTAATGTGAGAGTTGGACTTTAAAGAAAACTGAGCACCAAAGAATTGATACTTTTGAACTGTGGTGTTAGAGAAGGCTCTTGAGAGGCCCTTGGACCACAAGGAGATCGAACCAGTCCATCCTAAAGGAAATCAGTCCTGAATATTCATTCAAAGGACTGATGCTGAAGCGAAACTCCAGTACTTTGGCCACCTGATGCAAAGGCCTGACTCATTGGGAAAGACCCTGATGCTGGGAAAGATTGAAGAGACGGGGAGAAGGGGACGACAGAGATAAAATGGTTGGATGTCATCACCGACTCAATGGACATGAGTTTGTATAAGCTCACATGCAAGTCTTGGGTTCATCTAGACATGGGTGGGATGTGTGGTGTTGAACACACACATGCACACACACTCACTCAGCTACACACTCATGAACACACACACTGTGTGACGCCCTGGCAGGTGGAAAGTGAACTGAAGCTTAGAGTCTACAACCTTCTTGTTTGATTCAGGAAGGCTGAGACCCAGAGAAGGAAAGCAAGCTCCAGGTCACACAGGCCTCAGGGGCAGAGCTGGGGTCTGGCTGGGGTTGAGGCTGGGGACCTGGGGTGGGGCCAAGACCAGGGCATCCGAACCCCTGTGGCGGTGAGGGTCCCGCGTGCTCCAGGTCCAGCGATGCATCTCGCTCACATTCCAGGTCCCTGTGAGTGAGCGCTCCTCCACGGACACCACGGAGCCCAGTCCCCGAAGGACAGACTGCAGGACAGAGCAAGGGAGGGGTGAGCACCCGGACTCCAGACCTGAGCAGAGACCCCTACGCAGCAGGGCGGCCGCACCAGGGCTCAGGACCCAGCATCCCCCACATTCATTGTAGAGCAAGACCCTGCGGGAGGAGGGGCAGTCCCATTTTACAGGTGAGAACCTGCGGCCAGGGGCAGCTGGCCCCCCAGTGCTGGCTGGATCAGCACGCCCAGCAGGTGGCGGGCAGGTGGGGCCGCCCCAGGAAACACCCAGGCACCACCGTTTGTCTCCTGAGGGCGTGTCCTCCTCGGGGCCTGACTCTGTGATGTCAGAGCAGGGCACGGGAGGGCAGGTTACCTGCAGGTTCACCGTCACAGGCTGAGACAGCACGGGGTCCTGGTCCACCTCATACAGGTGCTGGAGCCGCAGCAGGACACGGCGGAGGTCTGCCTTGGCCTCGTGCTTTCGGTCTTAGGGACGGAAGGAATGTGGCCGTGAGGACAAGAGTCTCTGCCTGGCACTTTACACTCTCACCTCCACTTCACAACTTCAACCTCCCTCGGAGGCAGCTAACACAGCCCCACTTTGCAGATTAGCCAAACCAGGCTCAGAGAGGGGTGGGCACTTACACCACATCAGACACACAGCTGATGTGCATGAAGAAGGAGCGGGCCGGGGGGCGGGGAGGATTCCAAGCCAGGTGCAGCCAAAGTGACCGCCTCCCACCACCCACACTGGGGCCAGCGCTGATTCTTGTTCCCTGATGAGGTCCTCATTGGGCTTGCCCCTCCACCTTCCAGTTCTCTGGAAGATTCTCTCTGGCTTGGCCCCTGTGAAGGGTGGTACAGCCTCATAACCCTGAAGATGAGGCGCCATCGCAGAGTGGACATGTCAGGTCATTGCCCCCAAGACCTAGGAAATGTGTTGTAATACAGCTTCCACCTGCTGGGTCCTTGGTGACCAAACAAGAAGACCCGTGCTGCCAACCCCACAGAGGACAGAAACGTAATGACCTGTGCTGTGTGAGGAAAGAGGGCATGTGGGCTCCTAGTTGCTGCAGCCTAAGAGGTCTGCAATGTCTTGTCTCCATTCAGGTGCCGAGGTTACGGACTAGAGCTCTAGAATCAGGGAAGGACTTCTCAGAGAACATGAAGTTGACCAGGATAACGGTGATGAAGATGGTGATGTTCGTGATGATGGTGGTGGTGATGATGGTGATGGTGGTCATGGTCATGATGGTGATGGTCGTGATAGTGATGGTGGTGGTGATAAAGATGGTGATGGTGATGATGGTGGTGATGGTGATGATGGTGGTGATGGTGGTGATGATGATGGTGATAATAGTGATGATGACGGTGATGGTGATGACGATGTTGATGGTGATGATGGCGGTGATGGTGATGTTGATGATAATAATGGTGATGATGATGGTGGTGGTGATTGTGATGATGATGGTGATGGTGATTATGTTGGTGGTGGTGATGATGATGGTGATGATGACGGTGATGGTGATGATGATGTTGATAGTGATGATGGTGGTGATGGTGATTATGGTGATTGTGGTGATGGTGGTGATGGTGATGATGGTGGTGATGATGGTGTGGTGATTATGACTGTGATGCTGATGGCAATAATGGTGAAGGCAATGGTAATGATGGCAATGATCATGCTGGTGGAGACTCCTTGAGGACTCAAGCATCATGAGAGGCAGCAGGCCTCACGCCATCCCCTGTGGCTCCCCTGATTCAGTCTCTACCGATGTCTCTCTAGGAGGATGGACTTGCCCAGCCCAGCCCCCTTCGCCTCCTCTTTGGTACAAGCTGCTCCCGGAAGATGCGTTCTCAATGTGCTTAGCCTGACACATAACAGTAGAGGAGCCTCTATCACCGCAGGTGAGGCTCCCCCATCTCACCTTCTGTGACAAGTGGGCAGGCTGTGGTTCAGTGATGGAATTCTCACGTCTACAGAGTTGAGCCACAGTTGGCAACACCCCTCTATCAGGGACAAAGATGACCTTTGGCCCCTGCCCTTTTCCACCTTCTCCTCATTTCACAGGCACTTGGAGTGTGCCTGCCCTACGTGGGTCTCTTGGAGCAGGGCAGTGGCTGAGGCACAGTCAGTCCATCCTCTGAGAAGCATGGAGTTAAGGGAGCAGATAAGGGGCAGCACCCCCAATATGAATAATGGGTTCCTGACAGTTGCTACCTCCTCCAGGAAGCCCTCCCTGATCCCCTGCTGGGGGCTTCCCGCTGTACACAGTCACAGCGTCTGACGACATCCAGACCCACCTTGTTTCTGCTTGCTGAGTGACCTGCCTCCCTGAGGGCCTCAGGTCCCTCTTTGGGCAGGTAAGGGAACCAGGAGAACTCGCAGAGCCTGGAGGACTCTGAGGAGGGTCCTTTGTCTGGTGAAGGGCTGGGGACCAGGCTGACATGTGGAGGCAAGAGTGAACGTGGACACCTGAGCACCTGCGCACCTTCCCGAAGAGTCTGCAGGTGCTCTGTGTGGTTCGAGCTGTACTTCCAGCCGGGGATGCTGAGGATCTGTAGGTGGACACTGGAAGGCAGCGTCACAGCCTTTTGCTTCCAAGAACCGTTCCAGCTGTCTCTGTGGGCAGTTTCTGCAAGGCAGATGAACAACAAGGAGAGGCTTTGGGCCAAACTCTCCTCTCGGCATTCTCAGGTCTCCATACTAAGCCCCCCATTTAATCTGATCTCTTTTCCTCGACCACAGAGCAGGCAGGCTAAAGCCCCTGCTGGTGCAAATGCCCCAGATTGCTTTGAGTCTCTAGTCCAGCCCTTACAAAACTGCAGACTGGGAGATGGGACCAGAGAGAAGATGCCATTCTTCCAGAAAATACAGCGAGTTCACACAGAGACCTGCTCCGTGAACAGTTCTGGGAAGCTAGCTCCCACGCTGTCATCTGTGGCTGCCTCTGCCCAGACGGACTCAGCCCTCCTCTTCCAGTAGATGCTCCGCCATCCCCTCTCAGCTCCCAGGCCTCAGTGAATGGTCAGGCCTGGGTCACGTGATGTGATCAGGGCCAATCAGAACCTTTCTCTGGGATCTCTGCTCTTGAAAGAGGAATTTCAATTCCTCCTACTGGCTGTATGACCTTAAGCAAGTCAGTTAAAACTCTTTAACCTCAGGATGCCCACGTTTACAAGGAGGGGCTTAGATCCGAGGTCCCTGGTCACTTTCTGCCCCATAGGAGCTCAGATCCCTGCAGGGACCAGCTCAGCCACATCCCTAGACAGGGCGGCTCACCCGGGGGCAGTGATGACAGGTGCACTGAAAGGACCCCCCACCTCACCATTCATCTCTCTGAGCATCACGACGGGCCGGTGCTGCAGCGCCAGCCCACTACTCTGGCTCAGGCCACTGGTGAGGGTCCAGGGTCCCAGCAGGAGCCAGAGAACCGGGTGGACGACCGAGGAGTCGTTCAGTGTGAGGTCGTTGTCCAGGGCCCACTTGTCATTGTTCCACAGCCGCCGGTGGAGCATGACCTGCAAAGGACAACTGCCTGACCGGGTCTTCCTGGACCATGGGCGGCTTGTGAGTGACCAGAGGGGCCTCCTACCTCCACCTGCCCGTTCCCTTGGCTGGAGACGCCGTGCGCCTGCTCGGACAGCAGCACCAGCCTGCTTCGTCTGTCCTGGATGAAGGCTGACTGCACCATGGGGTAGTAATTCTGTGGACAGAAACATTGGCAGCCTGGTGGAGGGGGCAGTGGGCCAGGTCAGCCAGCAGGCCTGGGGTCTCCCTATGGCCCCAGGCCGCCTCCTGCATGGGCGCAGCAGCAGCCCAGGGTGGCATGGTAGACAGGGGGAGGGGCTCTGACTTGTGAGATGGATGCACTGGGAGTCAAAGCCAGCTCCACCGCTTCCTGACCTTATGCCCTGGGGGACCCAGCCCGCCTGAGCCTCCGTTTCCCCATCTGTAAAATGTGCCCAAAAGGTCCCCCTCCTGCAGGGAGACAATGAGGCATGTATGCCAGTCCAGCCTGAGATGGCTCCCAGCCAGGGGTTCCCAAATAGAAAGGGGCTGGTGTCTGGGCTGGAAAGCACTCACACAATCTTTTGTTCTATTTGTTAGTTCTATTGGAGCAAGATATCCTGGGCTGATTTCCCCGGATTCTCTGGAGCCCAGGCCACAGTGGGTGAGGACCAGCTGCAGAGATGAAGGGACAGAAGTTCAAGGAAGACAGAGCAGGGAGGAACCTCATCCATTCTCAGGGCCCCCGTGGAAGGAGAGAGACAACTAACACAGATGGAGGCTCAGGAGATGGCCAGCATGCATCATCCCAGCTGGATCATCCCAGCACTCAGCACAGTTCTCTTCCTAGGAGAGCACCGCGGTCCAGGGACACCCAAGGACTCGCCCGAGGTCACGCTGATGAAGGGAGAGGCCCTGGGAGCTGATTGATTTTGGAGTTCAGCCCCTGCTCAGCCCTCCCTGGCAGCCAGGCTGTGACTCAGCTCACAGCAGCAGAGGAGGGCCACACCCCATTCAGGCCTAGCCAGGTACCACTTGCTTAATCCTCAAGCAACCCCCAGAGGGTCACCCGTTGACTGAGGAGGACCCACGGTGCACACAGGAGACCTCAGGGACACGCCTCACACACGGCGGCCCCAGACTCTGAGACCAGGTCTGAACACGCCTGGGCCGCAGCCCCTAGGGGCAGACACAGGGCAGTGGGGCTCTGGGAGATGCTCTAGACCTAAGGGGGCCCTCCTGCCTTCTGGAAAAAGGCCACCAGGACTAGATCTGTGGCTGCCACACCCCGGGACAGCATACCCGAGCGATGGTGTTCCACGTGTCCTGCCGGTAGGGCCTGCGCTGCATCTGGTAGCCGTTGTTGTCCGAGTAGAGGACCCGCCCCGTGTTCAGGTCGGTGCTCGTCCTCAGAATGGCCTCACGGTTCAGCTCCAAGGGGCCCACCCGGTACTCCTGCTCTATGCGATGGCAGAGCAGCTCCCCGTCAGAGCTCTGGGGCCCGTGGGCCAGCCGGGAGTAGATGGCGAATGTGGGCTCCCTGTCGTTCACCTCCCTGGAGGAGAAGCAGCACAGGTCGGTCAAGCCCGGGAAGCCTTCTGGACGCCCCGCCCTTCTCCTTTCTTCCTTTGTCTCCTTCCGTTTCCCTCCCTCCATCCTTCCTGCAGCCAGGAAGGATGCTTGGGAGCATCCTTGGGGATGCATCCAAGGGGAGCCTGCTTGGAATAGAGAACAGGAGGGGCCCTGTCCTCTGAAGACTCTGGGTACCCAGCCACGCCTGGCGGCTCTGTCTGTCCTGCTGATGGAAACACAAGAACTGCTCTCGTGCTGGTCACTGTCACCATGGGCCCCTGGCCCACCTCTGGACTCAGGTGCCCCCAAGGTGACACAGCACAGGCCAGAGAGCAGGCCTGCAGACACTGGAGCAGCTCATGACGTCATGGGGCTTCCAGGGAGGAAGGACTGTGCGCCAAGCCCAGGTCCAGGGGCTGGGTGCCTGAAGCAAGGACGGGCCCCCATTGCCTCAGTCACCTGCCTGTGAGCACCTCCACGTGCTGAGCACAGCCAGGGGGCCGCCCTCACCTGTAGAAGTCCTGCCGGATCTCAGTCACCAGCGGCCCCGCCACGATCTCCATCCTCACAGCCTCCCACGCAGGCTCTGCTCTACCATCGGGTGTAAACACATAATTGTCTGAAATGGGACCTCGATGGAAATCACTCTTCACGTGATACTCCATGAAACTCTGGGTCACCTGTACTGTTCGGTTACTCTGCCTGCACAGAGAGGAGAGAGAAAAGAGTGTCATCGTCACGGCCATCGCATCCTCATTCTGGGACCCAGGCTGACGGAGCCTCTGCAGCTGCCAGCCTGGGACGGCGGGGGAGCACAAACAACCTCCCAAGTGCACCAGTGACATTTGTGAGCTCACTCAGTGAAGCTCATGCACTTGGTTTGGAGAAAAGAGGTATGGACCCACCAGAGCTCGCATGATATCAGATCCTATCTCTTTCCTGGTTGTTGCTTTTGTTCAGTGGCTAAGTCATGTCCGAATCTTCTGACCCCACGCACTAAAGCACGCCAGGTTTACCTGTCCTTCACCATCTCCTGGAGTTTGCTCAAATTCATGTCCATTGAGTTGGTGATGCCATCTAACCATCTCAGCCCCTGCTGCCCCCTTCTCCTTTTGCCTTCCATCTTTCCCAGCATCAACATCTTTTCTAGTTAATGGGCTCTTTGCATCACATTATCAAAGTATTCGAGCTTCAGTTAAGTTAAGCCTTTCCAATGAATATCAAGGGTTAATTTCCTTCAGGATTGACTGGTTTGATCTCCTTGCCGTCCAATGAACTCTCAAGAGTCTTCTGCAGTACCACACTTCAAAAACATCAATTCTTCAGCACTCAGTTTTCTTTATGGTCCAACTCTCAAACCCTCACAAGACTACTGCAAAGACCAAAGCTTTAAGTACATGGATATTTGTTGGTAAAGTGATATCTCTATTTTTTAATATACTGTGCAGATTTCACATAGCTTTTTTTGCCATGGAACAAGGATCTTTAATTTCATGTGTTACATCACGACCTGCTGCAGTGATTTTTGGAGCCCAAGAAAATAAAATCTGTCACTCTCTCCATTTTTCCTGATTCTATTTGCCAAGACGTGATGGGACCTGATGCCATAATCTTAGTGTTTTGGATGTTGAATTGCAAGCCAACTTTTTCACTCTCCTCTTTCACCTTCATCAAGAGGCTCTTAGGTTCCTCTTCACTTTCTGCCTTTATAGTGGTATCATCTGCATATCTGAGATTTCTGATATTTCTCCAGGCAATCCAGATTCCCCCTTGTGATTAATTCAGCCTGGCATTTCACAGGATGCACTGTGCATATAAGTTAAGTAGTCAAAGTGACACTATACAGCCATGAGGATCTCCTTCCCCAATTTTGAACCAGTGGGTTATTCCACGTCCAGTTCTAACTGTTGCTTCTTGAGTTGTATACAGTTTTCTCATGAGATAGGTAAGGTGGTCTGGTGTTCCCATTTCTTTAAGAATTTTCCACAGTTTCTTTTGATCCAAATCCAAGGCATTAGTATAATTAATGAAGCAGAAATAGATGTTTTTCTGGAATTCCCTTGCTTTTTCCCTGATCTGACATATGTTGGCAATTTGACCTCTGGTTTCTCTGCCTTTATAAATCCAACTTCTACATCTGGAAGTTCTCAGTTCTTCAGCTAAGCTGAAGCCTAGCTTAAATGATTTTTAATACATCCTTGCCAGTGTGTGAAATGAGAGCAACTGTGCAGTAGTTGGAACACTCTCTAGCATTGCCCCTCTTTGGGACTGGGATGAAAGCTGACCTTTTACAGTCCTGTGGCCACTGCTGAGGTTTTCAAATTTGCTGCCACACTGAGTGCGGCACCACAGCAACATCATCTTTTGGGATTTTAAATGATCAGCTGGAATTCCATCACCTTCACATGGTTTGTTCGCAGTAATTCTTCCTAAGTTGAAAGAACTCTTACAACTCCACAATAAAGAACAGCCCAATTTTGAGATGGGCAAAGGATCTAAAATGACATTTCACCAGAGAAGATGCACAAATGGCCAAGAGGCCCATGAATAGATGCTCGACATCTACAGTCCATAGTGGAAGGAAATCAAAGCCACAATGAGATAGCACATCACATACACCAGGGTAGCTATATGGAACTGGCTGTTAATACAAATGTAGGGGGGATATGGGGAAATCAGACCCTCATAGTTTTGGATAAGATTGCAAAATGGTGCAGCTGGGTGGGACACAGTCCAACAGTTTCTCAAAGTGTTAAACATAGAGTTTCCTGTGACCAAACAATTCCACTCTTAAGAAATGACCCAAGAGAAAGGAAAGCTTTTGTCAACACAAAATCTTGTACATGCATGTTCACAGTGAACTTATTCACAAAAGCCCCAGAATGAAAACCACCCACATGTCCATGAGGTGAGGACTGGATAAATGAACCAAGGAATATCTGTCAATGGAATATAAATCAGCCCCACAAAGGAACTGGGTCTCACTCACACTGCAATGTGAATGAAACTTGGAAACATGATGCTGCATGAAAGAGTACATCATGCAAAATGTCAGGCTGGATGAACCACAAGCTGGAATCAAAATTGCCAGCAGAACAACAATCTGAGAATGCAGATGAAAGTGAAAGTGAAAATCCCTCAGTTGTGTTCGACTCTTTGCAACCCCATGTACTTTATAGTCCATGGAATTCTCCAGGCCAGAATCCTGGAGTGGGTAGTTTTTCCCTTCTCCAGGGGATCTTCCAAAACCAGAGACTGAACCCAGGTCTCCTGCATTTCAGGTGGATTCTTTACCAGCTGAGCCACAAAGGAAGCCCAAGAATACTGGAGTGAGTAGCCTATTCCTTCTCCAGGGCATCTTCCTGATCTAGGAATTGAACTTGGGTCTCCTGCATTGCAGGCGGATTCTTTACAAACTGACCTATCAGGGAAGCCCTACATAGGCAGATGATACCACTCTAATGGTAGAGAATGAAGAGGAACTAAAGACCCTTTTGATAAGGGTGAAAGACAAGAGTGAAAATGATGGCTTAAATCTGAACATTCAAAAACCTAAGGTTATGGTATCTGTTCTTATCATGTCATGGCAAATAGAGAGAAAAATGGCAACAGTGACAGACTTCATTTCTAACTCCAAAATCACTGCAGATGGTGACTGCAGCCAAGAAATTTAAATACACTTGTTCCTTGGAAGGAAAGCTATGACAAACCTAGACAGCATACTAAAAATACAGAGATATCACTTTACCGACAAAGGTTTGTATAGTCAAAGCTGTGGTTTTTCCAGGAGTCATGTAAAGATGGGAGGAGTGAACCATGAAGAAGTGGACCATAAAGGCATAGATTTGATGCTTTCAAATTGTGGTGCCTGGGAAGACTCTTGAGAGTTCCTTGGACTGCAAGGAGATCAAACCAGTCAATCCTAAGGGAAATCAACCCTGAATGTGCATTGGAAGGACTGATGCTAAAGTTGAAGCTTCAATACATTGGCCATCTGATGAGAAGAGCAGACTCATTGGAAAAGGCTCTGATGCTGAGAAAGATGGAGGGCAGGAGGAGGAGGGGGTGACGGAGGATAAGATGGTTGGATGGCATCCCTGACTCAATGGACGTGAATACGAGCGAACTCCCGGAGGGAGTCGAGGACAGAGGAGCCTGGGTCGCTGCAATGGATAGGGTCACAAAGCCGGACATGCTGTAGTGACAGAACAACAACAACCGTGTGAAGGATACCAGGCGCCAAAGGGCCCCAGAGGGTGTGATTCCATTGAATGAAATGTCTAAACTAAGCAAGTCCAGAAGCTTCCACCAGCCAGGTAGCCCTGTGCGTATGCTCAGTGGTGTCTGACTTTGCAGCCCCAGGGACTCCAGCCTGCCAGGCTCCTTTGTCCCTGGGATTCTCCAGGCAAGATTACTGGGGTGGGTTGCCATATCCTTCTTCAGAGGATCTTCCCAATCCAGGGATTGAACCCAGGTCTCTTGTATTGCAGCTGGATTCTTTACCGTCTGAGCCAGCAGGGAAGCCAGGTCCCTGAGGGAGGTGAAAAGAGGACATATGAAGATTCTCCTGGGGGTGATGTAAATGTCCTAACCTGAGTGTGGAGATGCCTGTACAACGCTGCGATCACAGGGAACAGTACAGACGTGTACAGTGTAAAGTGATGGCTCGGATGGTATGTGAATTTCAGCAACACCCTTGTCATATATAGAAGAACAAAGGCCCTCCTTGAGCAAAACTGCGCTGGGGTGGTCTGTGCCCATGGAGGCTGCCTGCCTCAGGCCTTTGCACACACAGGGCCTTCCCAGGAACCACTGCCCCCTCCTCTGACCCACAGACTCCCTCCCACCCTTCCAGGTGTCACGCCTGGCTCCAGGGGTCTCATCCCCGCCAAGCCCACGCTGCTTTCACCACCCTTTCTCAGTCCCAACAGCCTCCCCTCTCTGCAGCAGGCACTGGTAGTCCCTCCTGGGATGTGAGGCGGCCCATAGGAACACGCTGTCCTCCCCTGAGCCAGGAGCAACTGAAGACACCCAGGGTAAGGAAGGTGGACAGCGGGATATTAGCGCTTCCCCTGGGAAGCGCTGTCTGGGGTCCTGGCTTAGGGATGGGGTACCTGAGGGAGGGAAGAATAGGGTGGCAAGATGGAGCTGGCTGTTCAGGGGTGCTCCAGAAGGGGCATGGGGCCTGAGTGATGACAGCTCAAGCTGGCCTGCAGACTCCACCTTTCAAAGCATGACCCTGGGGGGCGGGTCACTCACAACCTGCTGAGTGACAGCCCATTCCTTCTGCTCCACCACACTCTCTGCAGTCAGCCCTGACTCTGTGCCTCGTGCCCTCTCAAGAAGGACCTGTGGGCCGACTGGAGGAGGCAGCCCCATGGAGGGTGTCCAGGTCTGTGTTTGCAGAGTGCTGACTGATGGCAGGACTGGGCTGCAGGTGACAGTCTTCCTCCCCTTCTCTCGCTGCCTTTTCCTTCTCTTTCCTTGCCTCACTTTCTGCCCACTGCCCGGCCCCCACCCAGGCTCCTTGCCCCTCTCCCTGGCAAACTTCTGATCCTGTTAGGAGATCACATCGAAAAACAGAAGAGGGTGTGCAGCACAAAGAGCTGAAGAGGTGTCGAAACTGCCTATAATATGACCTCCCCATGGACAGGGCTGACTTCAAACCCTGGGGGCCTCTCCTGGGCTCTCTCTGCTGCCAATGAATAGCTGGTGGTGAGCGAACAGTTCAGTGGATGGGTGTGAGAGAGTCAATTCCTAGGCAGGTTGATAAGAAGTCTAGGGGTCCCCAAGGAGAGAGGGGTCTGGAATTCTCAAGGAGGAAGAAAGGACAAACTTTTTTCCCCCTCTACATTCCTTAGGATTATATAACAATAATATATCCTGCTTGAGGACAGTCTCTGGAAAAAAAAAACCTTCTGGTTAATCCTATTATCTTAAAAATGTAAATGATGGGAGGAGGTCTAGTGAGGTCTTTACAACCTCCAGACATTCTTTTCATTCACTGTAATAACTAACTAGAGAGTATATAACTCCATGGCTAACACTAGCAAGGGCGTACTCTTTCTGCCCCCTTCTGGTGCCTATGTCAGAAGCTTTCTCTATCTCCTTTATACTTTAATAACCTTATTACACAAAAGCTCTGAGTGATCAAGCCTCACCTCTGGCCCCAGATTGAATTCTCCTCTGGAGGCCATGAATCCCAGCATCTTTTTGTGGTTCAGCAACAACCTTTCAGGTGGATCAACAGAAAGATGGATGGATGGATGACTGGGTGGATGGAAGATGGATGGATGACAGATGGAAACCAGGAAGGCTACATGCATAGATAAGTGGTTGTGTGAGTGCGTAGTGGATGGGACTTTGGGTGAATAGATGGATTTCATGTGGCTCTCAGTTTTAAAAAGTTGATCTCATGATTAGTATATTTTCCCAGGGTGTGTTAGTAAATACCCCATTTTCTGAGGATTAAAATCCCTGGAAGGAACAAGTTCGAGAAAGGCTGTATGGACCTGGCTTAGATTCCCATAACTAGACATAAACCTGGTTGCACTACAGGGAGCTTCACCACCATCACACCCTCACCCTGCAGCTGAGGAAATGGAGACCCAGGTGGGGCATTACCTGCCCAGGCCCAGGGTCCTCCTGGCTTCAGAGGCAGCGATGACTGCACCTCACCTCTCCCAGATGCTGTGCATCAGGTTGGTGTCTGTGTCCAAGAACACGGTGTAGCAGTCATTCTCCACAGGCACCAGGTGGGAGCCCACTTGTCCGCCATGTCTCCTGAGTCTGTGTCCAAAATGCTGGGTGCTGGCCACGAAGGGTACAGTCTCCCCAGTGTCCTCCTGGGAACTCCTGCTGGGCCGGATGCTGTATTGCCGGTAGCTGAGCCCTGGGCTCATGGTCAGCACGTGCAGGTCATAGGCAGAGGGCATCTCCTTCGAACTCTGGATCTGGAAGACCTGAGGGACAAGATGAATGATGGATGTCAGGGATGGAAGATGCCTCAGTCTCCTTGGAAATCCTGGGCTTACACACCTGGTGGATGGAGTGCTGGCTCTGCACAGAGACAGCTGGGTCATCCATCACTGGGCTGAGCTGGTTTCCTCTCTTGCATCCTCCCTGCCCAACCAGGTCCAACCTCTTCTCCCTCCTTCCTCTTTCTCTATCATGGCTGCAAACCACCTGCCCTCTTCCCACACTCCCTCCTGTTCCTGCCTCTGAGCCATTGCTCACGCTCTTCCCTTGACCTCTTTGAAGGGGGCTCCTTTGTCTCTTAATCCTCCAATTTCCCCAAGGAAGGAGGTTTCCAGGTTGTCCTGCAGGCCTTTTTCCATCTCCGTGTAATCTGACTCAGGGAAGGGAGTTAGATGCGGACACTGTGTCCATGCAAGAGGCCCTTCACTCTCTAGGGAACAAATGCCATTTCTGAGTCCTGTGCGGAGGGTTTGGGGGATCTATGGAGAAACTCATGTTTCGCTTCACAGTCTCCAGCACAGCATTTCTCTGAGCTAAAGAAGACCCCTGTCGCCACCTCACACCCCAAACCTGTCCTGAAGGGTTTCCTCCGCCACAGCTGTCATCTGTCACTCCTACACTTTCTTATTTTCTTCTTTCCTGGATCCCCCACTAGAATAGAAGCGCCCTGAGAACAGGGATTATTGTCTACTTGATTATTAAAGTTTCTCCAGTGCCTAAAGCAAAGCCTGGCACATACTAGGTTTTCAGTAGTATTTAAGAGCATTTAGACTTAGTTGGTGGTGCCTATCAGTGGGGAGGGGGATGTTATGTGTTGGGCCTACTCAACCCAACACCCTCGTGTCTCCCGACCACGACAGAGAGGAATCTTCCTCGTCTGTCTCAGCTAAGAATCACTGCCCTGCCTGCCAGGTAATCACCCCATGCCTTAACTGTCCACTTCTGCGTCTGCTCCTTGAATCCCAGGATGGCTCCAGAGTCCAGGGATGAGCACTCATCTGGGGCCAGGCCCAGAACAGACATTTGGGAGTGTTTGTTCAATGGCGGACTGATGGCATTACCTCTCCCACCTCTTCAAGGAAGTGCTGGCTTGGTGACAGTAGGGTTACCTCTAGAACCAAGTCTAGCTCCAGGTCTAGGAAGGAACGACCACACAGGATTTGGGTGTCATAGCCAGGGCCTGCCCCTAAGACAGCACCTTCATAAAGATGCACAGTGAGGACTATCACTGGCTTCCCCATGAGAAGTAGAATTTTACACAGGAATATATATATATATATATATGCCCATTGGGGAGCTGGACTGTGGGTGGATGGTACCATGTGATACCATGGAGGTGAAGATACCATGAAACCTTCCTTGGTGGGAACAGTAGAACAGACTTCTGGTCAAGTCAGATGCCCAAAGCCCCGGGTCAGGCCCCTGGGTGGATCCACTGACCCTGATGGTGACTCACCCCTATGACACTGTCCTCACAGTGAGGGCAGCCTGTCACATGTTCCCTTTAGATGCCCACTTCTGGGGGCCCAGCCCAGAGCAGGGGCAGCAACAGGGCATGCGCCATAGATGGGATGTCCCCCTTACCTGTGCAGGCAAGGGGCAGCCTGACTCGTCTGTGATGCTGACCCTGGGGAAGTCCACAGTCAGGGTGATGATGGTGGTGACTGTCCAGGCCAGCGGGTTGTAGACCACTGCAAAGCGTCCCCCAGGCTCTGGGCCTGCAGACAGAGAACAGGCTCTACTCCTGCCACCTGATCCACCCCTCACCCCTGGTGCCCCTCAGAACAAGGGAAACTGAGGCAGGTGAGACCAGCCCTCAGAGTCCAGGGGGAAGGACAGACAGACACATGGGCTCCTATGTGCAACCCCCTCCTCATCTGTTCCACCTGTGTCCTGGTTCCCAGGAGGGGTGTGGGGGCATCCCCCCAGAGATGAGCTCCTCACTCATCTCTCCCTGTCATCCCACTTTACTGGTGAGGACACTCAGGTGCAGAGAGAAGGGTCAGCTCTCCAAGGTGACCCGTGTCCTAAGGCCTGGCTCCAAAGCTTGAGCGCTTGGCAATGTACAGACAGAATTCTCTGGACCTTGAAGGGTCAGGGTCAATCACCAAGGTCAGAACTGGAGGTCTCTTTGGGATGAACCTGGGTTCTCTTTATGCTCCATTCTCCACCCCATGTGCCCCAGGATAAGACCGTGTCTGATGACTCCCGGATCCGTGGACACTGCACACACTGTCCAGTCCCTGGCATCTGCATGGGCAGCTCCCATGGCTGGGTGCCTTTCTGGGGTCTCCACCTCCACCTCACTTGGGGAGTCAGTCACCCTTCTGAGCTCATGGGAATAGCCGGCCCCACCAGGAAATGGAAGAACACAGTTCTAACTCCCTTACTGAGAAAGTCTTCCCCTCCCGACACCAGTCTGCATGGGCAGAGGCCCTGGATGCTGCACCCCCAGTCCCCAGACTCTGAAGGCAGGATGGGACTGTACCCAGACACAGTGCAGAGGGTGGAACTGGGCAGTGTGACCGGGCGGACACCCGCCATAGCCCACTGTGCCCCCAGGGGCCTCGCCTACCTGAGTGGTCTGGAGACCTGTCCTGGATGATGGAGGCCATCAGCGTCTGCACCCCTTGCATCCTGCTGCTCAGGTGCTCCACAAACATGTCACCAACCTTGAGGGCGTGAGTCCCGGTGATTGCATCGTGGTGTTGGACCTGGGCCCCCGCAGGAGCAGGACAAGAGTGGGCTCAGGCTGGCCTCTGCTCAGCACCGGCTGTCCTCACACCCACTGGGCCCTGACTCTCCTTCCCTCTCAGCAGCTGCTGCTGGAGAATTGGGGGTTCCTCCCACTTTACAGAAGAGGAAACTGAGGTCAGAGAGGTCGATGAACTTGCGAAGTGTTTTTGAACTTGGGAAAACATATAACTGTGTCCCTGACCCTGGACAGAAAACTGACTTCTGGAAAGGACCCTCCCCAGCTTCCCTCCATGACCCAGTCATCCCATAATGAGAGGGTAACAAGTAGGAAGGTCAGGGGTCTCCAAACGGAGGAGTGTCAGACATTTTTAACTCTCTCTTAAGGGGCAGGAGGAAACAAACTAGTGTTATAGTTTTTTCCCTTCTCTGTACAAATTTAAAAAGAGGTTTCTCTTAAAATTCTGTGTTGCCATAATGATACCTGGTTCCACCTGAACTTAACTTTTCTCCAACCTTGAGCTAACCAATGCATTTTTCTTATGGAAATGTTTGTCTTAAGCTATGTTAATGTACTATGTATTTACCCTAGACTCTGTCTTCTATTTGGTTCCCCCTAAGGACTCAGAACCCACTTGACAAACCAGTATGTTATACTCTTACATTCTTCTCTTAATCTATGTTAATGAAACTATATGTGTATAAAAATCTGCCTTTCTTCAACAGTCATGTCAATCGTTTTATGGCCCGGGATGACTCACCTGGTGCTAATATTATCTCAATGAATGTTGTGGGTGAGGGGCCTGGTGCCATTCTCTGAGTTTTGAGACATTTCCTTTCTCTGATTTGCAGATTTCTAGTAGCTATATAACATCCAGCTAAAGACTGGCAGAGGGATACTCTTTCCGCCCCCTTCTGATGTCTATGTCAGAAGCTTTCTCCATCTCTTTTATAGTTTAATAAAACTTTATTACACCAAAGCTCTGAGTGATCAAGCCTTGTCTCTGGCCCCGGATTGAATTCTTCTCATCCAGAGGCCAAGAATCCAGTGTTTTTCATGGTTCAGCAACAACCTTTCAATAAGTGCTGATAACCTGCTCCAGAAAAGCCCCACACATGGCCTATTACTTGTCTGTACCACGTAGGGTTGGATGACCTCCTCTTCCCAGAAGGGAAACTTGAGTCCCTGTGAGGTGAAGCCACATGGCCAACCACTCTGATTGATGCTAAAGTCAATCCCCTTCACCCCCTGCACAATGAGTAGTCCTGCCAGCAATTCTTTTTAGTGGCTATGAATGTCATGGGCAGTGTGGCCCATTTCTGACTAGTGAAGAGACAAGTTGTAGGAGATCTTCGGCCTCAGTTTTCCCATCGGTACAGTGGAGACAAGTAAGATGCAGATTTATGAACAACTTCCTTTGTGGCAGCACAGAGCCCAACAACTTATGTGTATTATTGATTTGGATATAGGGTGTTCATTTTCCAAGGAGGAAATTAGAGCTCAGAGAGGGAAACTCAGTAGCCTGAGGCAACAGAACTGAGCTGAGGTTTGAGCCCAGCCTTGGGTTGTTGGACATCAGTGCCTCTCCACCTTGCCCTTCCCGTCTGGGTCAATCTGGCCCTGTGTCTTCCTGAACCACAAGCTGCACCCTGGCAGGCCATGGTCCTAGCCTTGAGGCAGCTTCAACATGCACAGATCTTGTGACCAAGGCAACCTCAGTGTTCTCATCTGTAAAGTGGACCTGTAGTGACCAGGGACTGGGAAGTGTGCTGACCTAGAGAGGGGGAAGCACACAGCCCAGAAGAGTCCGATCCTGTCCTGTCTCTGGGAGGCCTTGCGTGACCTCGGAGACCGCCCAGCGGAGCTGCTGGAGCTGCTGCAGGCCCCAGGCCGGGTCCAGGTTTGGGTGCGGAGCCAACAGCACATAGCGTGTGAACATGGACTCCGCGGCGTACAGCAGAGTGCTGGCTCGCCTTGACAGCGCCTTGAGCCCGCTTCGGGAGGCGTAGAATCCGGTCCAGGCGTGAAATATTTCTAAAAACAACAGGTCAGGAGTGGGTGTGAGGGCCTGCCTACGGAGGCCCCTGATGCCCATCTGGGAAATGCTGAGGAAGATGAGGTCAGAGATGGATCTTCCTGGGTCCCCAGGGACACAGCCTAGGCCAGGGGGTGATCTCAGGGTTCCTGGTCCAGGCAGGTCAGCAGTGGTACGAGATCCCTGGAAGGCCTGGGCAGCTGGCAGGGTCAGGCTGGGCTGGGGCAGGCCTGGAGGCGCCCGAGTGCTGAAGGCCTGTGACAACAACAAGAATTCGGTGTGCACCTCAAGCCTTGGCATGGCCTGTGGGGAAAGGCCCTGAGTGCCGCAGGGAGTTAGGAGGGGATGAGGGCCAGGGGGCAGGGCCCTGGCAGGGCCAGGGTCTCAGGGATGAGACCCAGAGGGGAAGGGCTGGAGTGCTGGCAGCCCCCGTGTGCCTCTGGAGATAAGGTGGTTCCTGGAAGGCATGCATTTCAGCAGTTCTCTCTGGATGCTCAGCAGGGAAGGATGGCAGAGGTTGGGAGCTGTGAGAGCCCTGGAGCCACCGTCCTGACCCTGGACTAAGAGTGTGAGGCCCGTGGAAGGGGCAAGAGTCTGCGCACCTTGGGGCCGGGATGTGTCTCAGCGGGTGGTTCAGGGTTCCCGGCTGTTCCCTCCTCCTGCCTCCTCCCCAGGCTGGGTTGTGCCTCCATTCTAGGTTCTTCCCTCAGAGGACCTTGGCTCGACTGGGAAGGGAAGCCGCGAGGACTGGGGAAAGGCTCCATCCTGAGGGGTCAGACGCAGGGGCCCTCCACAGCTCCTCCCGGAAGCTGAGCACAGAAGTCAGGCACCGGCGACCCCAGCCTCACCTCCAAGCACCGACCCAACTGGACAAAGCTACATAGATGCCCCTGCGCTCAGATCAGGACCAAGCCTTCTCGAACTTCAGTCTCTGATTAAATGGTGCCTCTCCAGGGGAAGGTTAAGTGGCCACACCCACTTCGCATTTCACTGGACCTTTCAGCATACCCTCCCACCCAGACCAGACACTCCTTCCTGCCTCCTGGTAACCACGCCCACATCCTCTATCCCCTCCCATCTCAAGTGTGACCACGCCCACCCAGCAGTGTCCACACCCACCTCAATTGGAACCCCGCCCACACCCTTATCCCCTCCCACCTCCTGTGTGACCACGCCCACAGGGCAGTGTCATACCCACCTCAATTGGAACCCTGCTCACTTTCTTGTAGGTTCTCAACTACTCCAGGAGCCAGCCCTCCCCCAGTCTGATGAGGTCCCAAGGCAAGTGTCCTGAGAGGTATGTAGCTTCTCTTTCTCACCACTCAGGCAGAAGACCAAGGCAGGAGAGGCACTGCAAATCCAGGTCTGGGGCAGTCAGGGTGGCACCCAGCCCGGATCCAGCCCTGCAGCTGGGGGCCCACCCTGCTGTCTCTTCGGAAGGGAAGGAAATGAGAAGGGAAGTGGTTGTATTTGAACTGCCTTGTGGGAGTCCCTCCAGTCCTCCTAGAATCCATGTCACAGATGACAGAACCAAGCCTCAGAGCGGTGACATCACTTACCCAAAGCCACCCAGCCCTTGGCGGCAGGAGCTGTGATCTCAACCCAGGTGAGCACCTGAGACACCGCCTGGGGCCAGCCTTGCTGAGACACCGAGCCTGCTGAATGGTGAGGGCGGGGAGGGGACAGGCCCCGGAGAGGCATAGCTCAGGCACCCGGATCCCCTGGGGGATGTTCAGCCCCTGGATGCTGCTAGGAGCCTGGGTCTCCTAACTGCCCGTGGGGACAGACATATACCTCACCTCTCCCTTCTAAAACGACCTCTTCTGCTGAGTAATCCCACCGTGGACCTAGGGCTGGGCAAACCTGGCTGGGAGATAGGGCCTGATCAGGGTCCCTGGGCTGCTCTGGCTCATGGGGCCCTGGCTACAGTCTCCCCTCCACACCCATACCCCTTCAGTCAGTTCAGTTCAGTCACTCAGTCGTGTCCAACGCTGCAACCCCATGAACTGCAGCACGCCAGGCCTCCCTGTCCATCACCAACTCCCAGAGTTTACTCAAACTCATGTCCATCGAGTCGGTGATGCCATCCAGCCATCTCATCCTCTGTCATCCCCTTCTCGTCCTGCCCCCAATCCCTCCCAGCATCAGGGTCTTTTGCAATGAGTCAACTCTTCCCATGAGGTGGCTAAAGTATTGGAGTTTCAGCTTCAGCATCAGTCCTACCAATGAACACCCAGGACTGATCTCCTTTAGGATGGACTGGTTGGATCTCCTTGCAGTCCAAGGGACTCTCAAGAGTCTTCTCCAACACCACAGTTCAAAAGCATCAATTCTTTGGTCCTCAGCTTTCTTCATACCCCTTAGCTCCTCATTTTTTTTAAAAGAGAGGAGCAGGACCACAAGGGTCCTTCAAGGATTCTGGCATTGTATGCAGTAGGGTTTCAGAAGTTCGATAATTTGGCCAATACCTTCCCCTGCGGATGCCCTGAACAAGGCTGGACTGGGGTGTGGAGGGTGTTTCTGCCTCCCCAGCTGTCAGGGGGAGGCTGTGTGTGCATAATTCCTGTCTGGCTTGCAGATAGGGGAGATGGATCTTCTACAGGGGTCCGCTTGGAGGTGGGTGGGGCTGGACCTGGAAGAGGCGCTGATGCTGGGCTTCCTTTAGGGCAATCAGGCCCTGGACTAGCTTCCTCACACGGAGTGCCCACACCGTATCCAGGATGGCACCTGGCCTCCCGAGATGGAGATGCTGCTGTAACTGTTAACAGCTGCCTCTGCTGAGCCCTGGCTCTGGCCGAGGCACTAGGCTATGGGCTCTCCTTATCTCACTTCATTTTCACACTGGATGCGCTAACCAAGATGAACGTCCCCACTTTCCTGACCCAGGACAGTTCCACGTGTGCACACAACCCGGCCCAGGGCTCACTCCATGACCTTTCACCCCGAGGCTGTGCCGGCCACAGCCAAAACTGTCCTGGCCTCCAGGACACAGCCTTGTGGGAGACAAGGGCCCCCAATAATGACTCTGTGGCAACGGGTGAAAAGTGGGGCACTGAGGGGGAGAGGAGACAACCAGTCTAGACTTCAGATCAGGAAAGGCTTCCTGGAGGAGGTGACATGCATGCCTGCATGCTCAGTCATGTCCAGCTCTGCCACCCCACAGACTGCAGCCTGCCAGGCTCCTCTGTCCATGGGATTTCCCAGGCAAGAATCCTGGAGTGGGTTGCCATTTCCTCCTCTGAGGGATCTTCCCTACCCAGGGATCCAACCTGCATCCCCTGTGTCTCCTGCAGGTGGGTTCTTTACCACAAGCACCACCTGGGGATGAGAGGAGGTGACACTCCAGGACAATCTGGACTTTGCAGAAAGAGAAGGTGGGCGCGGGGCAGTCCTTCCGGCAGCACTGGAGTAGAAGGCTGCATGTGGCCAGCCTGAGAGGCTCCGGGAGCCCGGAATCCCGCAGAGTGTGGAGGGATCAGGCAGGAGGGTCAGGGCCTACAGCTCCCCCAAGGCGCCGAGCAAGCTCCAAGCAGAGGCCTGAGCAGGCACCGCGTTTGGGGGCCCCTTTCCTCCCTGGCACCGAATCCCTCCACCCAGAGGCTCCTACCCGAGGAATAGGGCAGGAAGTCTCGCTGGTCTCGGACCGGCCAGGAGAGCTGGTGCGCGTGCACAGCCCGGAAGTAGCTGCCCAGCGTGGCGTACTCCATCGAGACGCCGTGCTGGTAGGTGAACTTGTTGACCTCCTCCATGACACGGTCCATGTTGGTGAACTGCAGCGAGGCGTTGAAGAACTGCCTGTCACAGCCCTGCAGCCGGGGGACAGAAGCAACGCCCTGCGCCTCTGGGTGCAGAGCCCGGCCTGCACGGGGAGGGCCCCTCTTCTCCCCAGGACCACCCCCCGCTCCCCGTGGCGGGCACGACACCGGGCCTGTGCTGTGCGCGTCCTCCTCTCTCTGTCCGGTTCAGGTGGTTCCCCAGCGCCGGCTGGTCTGACAGCTGCAGGTTTGTGCCCGTTCCAAACAGTCCCCCACTTCTCCACACTCGCCAGTCCCACCTTTGGCCACCAAACATCTGATCTTCTCTATGAGACTGGTTTTATAAAATTCCACATAAGTGTGATGATTTAGGTTTTGGTCTTCTGTGTCTGACAGATTCCATCTCCTGACAATTTCTTTAATCCCAGTACTGCTCTTAGTTATCAAGAACCTTAATTATGATAAGATACTAAACAGGAATTAAAAACAGAATGGCTTGCTTGAATTTACTGACCTTAATCCCATCCTCAGAAAGATGTCAAAGTAGAAAAACTTGATAAATTCCTGGAAATATATAACCTGCCTAGTCTGAATGATGTGTAAATGGAAAGCCTGAACAAATGGATACTAGAACCAAACTGAACCAGGATCCAAATACTCCTCAAGAAAGCAAAGATCAACATTCAGTGGCCATGTCTATCAAATGCTGAAGAAGAATTTATACAAATCCTTGTTTAGTCAGCTCAATCACTCAGTTGTGTCTGACTTTTTGAGACCCCATGGGCTGCAGCACACTAGGCTTCCCTGCCCATCACCAACTCCCAGACCTTACTCAAACTCATGCCATCCAGTTGGTGATGTCATTCAACCATCTCCTCCTCTGTCATCCCCTTCTCCTCCTGCCTTCAATTTTTCCCAGCATCAAGGTCTTTTCCAATGAGTCAGGTCTTCGCATCAGGTGGCCAAAGTATTGGAGTTTCAGCTTCAGCATCAGTCCTTCCAAATGAATATTCAGGACTGATTTCCTTTACAATTGACTGGTTTGATTTCCTTGCAGTCCAAGGGAATCTCAAGAGTTATCTCCAACACCGCAGTTCAAAAGCATCAATTCAGTGTTCAGCCTTCTTTATGGTACAACTCTCACATCCATACATGACTACTGGAAAAACCATAGCTTTGACTAGATGAACCTTTGTTGGCAAAGGAATGTCTCTGCTTTTTAATATGCTCTCTGAGTTGGTGAATTTTCTTCCAAGAATCAAGCATCTTTTATCTTCATGGCTACAGTCACCATCTGCAGTGATTTTGGAGCCCAAGAAAATAAAGTTCTTCAGTGTTTCCATTGTTTCCCATCTCTTTGCCATGAAGTGATAGGACCGGCTGCCATGATCTTAGTGTTTTGAATGTTGAGTTTTAGGCCAGCTTTTTCACTCTCCTTTTTCAGTTTCATCAACAGGCTCCTCAATTCCTCTTCACTTCTTCCATAAGGGTGGTGCCATCTGCATATCTGAAGTTATTGATATTTCTCCCAGCAATCTTGATTCCAGCTTGTGCTTCATCCAGCCTGGCATTTTGCATGATGTACTCTTCATACTGGCATTTTGCATGATGTACTCTTCATATAAGTTAAATGAGCACGGTGACAATATATAGCCTTGATGCACTCCTTTCCAAATTTGGAACCAGTCTATTGTTCCATGACTGGTTCTAACTATTGCTCTTGACCTGCATACAAATTTCTCAGGAGGCAGGTAAGTTGGTCTGGTATTGCCATCAAGGATTCAGGAATACAAATCCTTGTTAGTCTATTTTACAAACTAGAAGGGGACTGAAAGGTTTCTATATAATTTTACAAGGCCAAGATTACCCTGACACCAAAACAGGCGAAGAAGCCTCCAAAAAAGAAAATTATAGCTGAATATATCCTAGGAACATAGATGCAAAAATCCTCAACAATATAATAACAAACAAAATCAACAATACTTGCTGGCAATATTGCATCATCATAAAGCAGAATGCAAGGAATTTATTCCACAAATGCAAGGACCATTCAACATCCTCAAATTGATCAGTGAGAAAATGTGAGATAAAAATTATATGATCATCTCAACAGATGCGTAAAAGGCATAAGACAAAATTCAAATTTCATTTGTGATAAAAACTCTCCTCAAAGTGGGTGTGGATGAAAATTACCTCAATATACTAGAGGTCATATATGACAAGCAAACAGCCAACATCAACTCGTGGAATAAAAGGTAAAACTATTCCTGGGAGATCAGGAAAAAGACAAGGATGATCCCACTCACCACTTATTTCATGTATTATAAATCAGACCTGCAGCAATTAGTAATGAAAAAGCATGGAAATCGGAACAGAAGAAATAAAATTCTCACTATTGGCTACTATAATGATGTCATAAAAATAGTGACTATAGAAAATGCTAGAGACAAATCTTAAAATTAATAAAAGCATTAAAGTTGAAGGATAAAAATATCAATAGACACAATCCCCTGCTGATTAGTGTTCCCACACACTAACAACAAATCATCAGAAAGACAAATAAAGGAAACAATCCTATTTATAGTTACATCAAAAAGGTAAAATACCTAAGAATACATTTCACAGAGCAGGTGACAGCCCTGTACACTAAAAATTAGACGACACTGATGATAGAAATGGAGGAAGATGCAAGTAAGTGGGAAAATATTCTGAGCTCATGACTGCAAGAGGAGGGCTGCATTTTCCAAAGCAATCTACAGATTCAATGCAAAACCTTTTAAGATTCCAATGACATTTTTCACAGAAATAGAACAAACAATCCTAAAATTTAAGGGAACCACAAAGACCATGAGTGGTCAGAGAAATCTTTAGTAAGAAGAACAAAACTAGAAGCATCGTACATCCTGATTTCATACTTCACTGCAAAGTCATAGCAATCTAAATACTCTGGTACCAACAAAAAAAGATACAGATAGATCAATGGGATAGAATAGAGAGCTCAGAAATAAAGCCATGTGTATATGGCAATTACATTAAAGCAAAAGGGCAAGAATATAAACTGGGGAAAGGACATCTTCTACCAGAAATGGTCTTATGAAAACTGAACATCCTCAGATGTAGAATGAGTTTAGATCACTACCTGACACTGTACTCAAACAGTTCAGTTCAGTTCAGTTCAGTCACTCAGTCGTGTCTGACTCTTTGCGACCCCATGAACCGCAGCACACCAGGCCTCCCTGTCCATCACCAACTCCCAGAGTTTACCCAAACTCACGTCCATTGAGGTGGTGATGCCATTCAACCATCTCATCCTCTGTCATCCCCTTCTCCTCCTGCCCTCAGTCTTTCCCAGCATCAGGGTCCTTTCAAATGAGTCAGTTCTTCATATCAGGTGGCCAAAGTAACGGAGTTTCAACTTCAGTATCAGTCTTTCCACTGAACACCCAGGACTGATCTCCTTTAGGATGGAGTGCTTGGATCTTGCAGTCCAAGTGACTCTCAAGGGTCTTCTCCAACACCACAGTTCAAAAGCATCAATTCTTTGGCACTCAGCTTTCTTTACAGACCAACTCTCACATCCATACATGGCCACTGGAAAAACCATAGCCTTGGCCAGATGGACCTTTGTTGGCAAAGTAATGTCTCTGCTTTTTAATATGCTGTCTAGGTTGGTCATAACTTTCCTTCAAAGGAGTAAGCGTCTTTTAATTTCATGGCTGCAATCACCATCTGCCGTGATTTTGGAGCCCAGAAAAATAAAGTCAGCCACTGTTTCCACTGTTTCCCCATCTATTTGCCATGTAGTGATGGGACTGGATGCCATGCTCTTAGTTCTCTGAATGTTGAGCTTTAAGCCAACTTTTTCACTCTCCTCTTTCACTTGCATCAAGAGGCTCTTTGGTTCTTCACTTTCTGCCATAAGGGTGGTGTCATCTGCATATCTGAGGTTATTGAGTGTAAGTCAAGCTAATTAAAGATTTGATTGTAGCTCCTGGAACTATAAGGGCTTCCAGAAGAAAACGTACACTGTAAATTCCTCATCATCAATCTTGATGAATTTTTGGATTTGACATCACATGGAAAGAGCACACAGAGAATAGTAAACAAGGAAGACTACATCAAGCTGAAGGCTTCTTCTGCACAGCAAAGAAACTTCATAAACAAAGACAGCCTATGAAATGAAACATTTGCAGGTCATAAATCTGAAAAGGTATAATACACAAAATATAAAAAGAACACATATAGATCAGTAGTAATAATGAAAGCAATCCAGGTAAAAAATAGGCAGAGGTCCTGAGTAGACGTTTGTCCAAGAAGACACAGAGATGCCAACAGACACAGGAAAAGATGTTGAACAAACCGAAACCACACAGAGGTGCCACCTCACACCTATTGAACGGCTATCATCTAAGAGAAAGGAAACAACAAATGTATGTCAGGATAAGGAGAAATGTAAACATTCATGCACTGTTGATTTAAAAGTAAATTGTTCCAGCAATTATGGAAACCAGTGTGGAGGTTCTTCGAAAAGATAATGATAGAGCTACCACGTGATTCAGTCACCCCACTTCTTTGTATTTATTCAAAGAAAACAAAAACACTAACTTGAAAAGACTTCTGCAACCCTATGTTCATTGCAGCTGTATTTATAATCAGCAAGAAATATGGAATCAACCTGTATGTGCATCAATGGATGAAGAGATCAAGAACATGTCATATATGTACACAGTATTATTCACCATAAAAAGAGGAAATCCTGCCGTTTGCAACAGCATGGATGGAACTTGAGGGCATTATGCTCAGGAAACAAGTCAGACAGAGAAAGATGAAATACTATATGGTCTCAGGTATATGTGAATTAAAGGAAAACAGAAAATATGTGGAAAATAACTTCATGTATGGAGAGAACATATTGGTAGATCCAAAGACAGGGGCTGCAGTGTAGGCTAAATGCTTGACAGAGGACAGAAGTTATGTTTCCATCTGAGAAACAAGTTATAAGGATGTAATGTGCAGCATGGTGGCTGTGGGTGCATGCATGAACACATGCTTTCTTACTTGGGAGCTTTTCTGATGGCTCTGAACACAAATTCCACTTTCTTAGCTGCTCTGCTAAGTACCTATGTGGCGTCAGGAAGATTCCTTAACCTCTCTGGCTCTCGGTCCCTTATGAGTAGACGGGACCCAGTAGGGCCTGCCCCTGTGCCCAGTGGGGCAGAGAAAATGGGGGAGACACATACATCACGTAGAACAGGGGTGCTCCACCCAGTTTGGCTGTGACCACAATGGTGACACTGTTGGGCACTGTCCCCCAGGGGTATCTTTCCCATCTGACCTCAAATCCAGCCTATGGAACAGGTCCTGTCATCATCCCCATTTCACAGATGAGGAAAGTGAGACTCATGTTCCCAGTCTCACAGCCCCTGAGTTGGGAGCCAGGATTCAGGCTGAGGCCTCTGCTCCCAGCTTTGAGAAGGGGAAAGGAGGGGAGGGCTGGGGAGGAGCTGGAGCCAGGGTGGGGGAGGGACTGCATTGGAGGCAGAGACTGTGGGGGTGATTCTGGGTGGGGGAGGAGCTGGTAGACTGGGTGAAGACTCGGGGTGCAGGGAAGGAGGACTGAGCTGGGGCTGGGATGGCCCACTGCCTGGATGGACACTGGCCTGATTAGAACAGGACACACAGTCGAGGGGTGGACCCAGGTGCTGGGATGGGACACATGAGAGCAGTCCCTGCACAGAATTGAGGAACCAGGGCCTGGGACCCCAACTTACCCAGGGCCAGAGGACGTGTGGTGTCCGGAACCAGGTGACTCGAGCCAACACATTGCCCACGAGAAGACTGGTAAAGTTTGGGATGCTGTTCTCAGTGACAGGCATTTCCATGCTGGGGTACAGGCCATCCGTGGGTGGACCTGGGAAGACTGGTTCGCCATCCCAGTAAAATCCCTCGCTGAGAGAGAGACAAGTGTTAGGGATCCGCCCTGAGAAGGGCTGAAGCCTGAGGTCTAGGAGGGAGGACTCAGCCAGGCCAGAGCCTCTGGGACTGCAGACCCTGCTCGGGGCCTCTGTCTCCCATCAGAGGGCGGACAGGGCGGCGGTGGGCAGATGAGAGCTCTGTGGACAGAAGTCGTCACCTTTCAGCCCTGCAGGACCTTGGGCATGTGACCCTACAACCCTATTTTTCAGCTGTTCTGTGGAGCCCACCACCTCTGGGCCCCACTTCCTCCATGTGGATCAGGAGCAATTTGTGCAATCAGTCATTCTTTAGGTTATCTCTGTGCCCTTCAATTCTGATTCCCAGGACCCCGAGCAGGGCTGGGACCAGAATGAGGCAAGTGAGACACACCTTCACACAGAACTTCATGCTTGTAAAAATCTCAGTAACAATATAATGCGATTTTCACACTTTTCAAATAAAAAATAATTCAACAAACGTCATGATGAACAGAATCACAAAATTCTATATAAAGACAGAGCAGTGTTACAAAATCCTCAGACTCAGGGAGACTGAGGACATGGAGACTTTGGTGCTGCGTACTGAGTCCAGTGCTGCTGCCCTAAGGCTGCTACTGCAGGACCTTGGCTGGGTGTCCGGGCCTCAGCTGTTCTTTCTGTAAGATGGGTGCTCAGTGCGTGCCCTCAGGGCTGGCCATGAGGGGCTAGCTAAGCTGGTCGAGGGAGGGTGCTGGGACAGGGAACGGCCCGAGGCAGGTGCTCACGAGCAGTAGCCAAACTGGTCCAGGACGTGTGTGAAGATTTCCTGCTGCGCCGACAGGGATCTGGACCCTCGCCACACGAACTGCAGCTGCTGCAGACCCGGAGGGAACAGAGTGAGGCCCAGGGGTGACGCGGCTGCCGGCTCCCGTCTCCAGACCCCACCCGAGTCTCCTAGCCGCCCACACCCGCTCCTCTCAGTGGCTCATGGTCAGGATCTCCCTCTGCTGCCCCCTCCTCAAGACTCCCCCTGCCCTCCCAAAGCCACACTGGTGGAGGAACTGGCCCTCCAGACGGTGCCTGCCTGCACTTTCATCTGACCCTCCTCAGGGCAGGACTCTCTGCCAGGGCCTGCCAGCCAGGCTGTCTCTAACTCGGCTTGAATGCACCCAGACACAGGGAGCTCATCACCATCACTAAAGGTGCAGCAGCGTTTTTCAGTTCTGATGGTGAGAAAGTCGTTGAGTAGATGCGGCTCACCACTCACCTGGTTATCCTGCATGGCCTCCTTCAGGTCGTAGTCGATCCTGGAGATGACATGGGCATTGAAGCCCGCCAGGGCAAAGAGGGTGGGGGTCGTGGCGGATGCACCAAATGGGTCCACCTGCCAGGAGAATCGTGGCCGGACCCCAAATGTTTCGTAGAGAAAGCTGTGCCCTTCTGCAAAGAGACAGCCAGGCAGCTGGACTTGGGGAGGGCTCTGAGAACTTAGGGACCAGTGGGAGCAGCAGAGGGGACGCAGGAAGCAGAGCAGACCAAAGAGGAGCAGCTGGAGGAGGGGAGGAAGCCCTGGGGATGGCGGGTCGGAGACAAGGCTTCAGTAGTCCGTTGAGGGCACACCCTGTCCCATATGGTCTGCCTCAGGAGGGCGGGCCTGAGGCTGCTGACTTGGTGGACACTGATTCCACACTCCTGAAGTGAAGAGAACTGAATTGAAGAGAAGACTCTTGAGAGTCCCTTGGACTGCAAGGAGATCCAACCAGTCCATTCCAAAGGAGATCAGTCCTGGGTGTTCATTGGAGGGACTGATGTTGAAGCTGAAACTCCAATACTTTGGACACCTGATGTGAAGAGCTGACTCATTTGAAAAGACCCTGATGCTGGGAAAGATTGAGGGCAGGAGGAGAAGGGGATGACAGAGGATGAGACGGTTGGATGGCATCACCACCTCAATGGACGTGAGTTTGGGTAAACACTGGGAGTTGATGATGGACAGGGAGGCCTGGTGTGCTGCGATTCATGGGGTTGCAAAGAGTCAAACACGACTGAGAGACTGAACTGAACTGAATTCCACACTAAGAATCCTCACTTCAATCAGGGGACACTGACCCAGACCCAAGGGATGACTTATAACTGGTCACAGGTCATGGAAATATCATCCACCTCTGCCTGATTCTTTTCTCCACCTCTGTGGGAACTAGAAGTGGGCGTGCAAATAGTTATAGCCAAAAAGATGTTTGGCATTAGCTGGCTTGGGTTTCAGGGCAAGAATTCACACATTTCCTGTTTTAAAAAGTTTCAGCAAGAAATGTCGCCTAGTTCTGTGATCACGTGGGAGAGGATATGAGAATATGAGAAACATCAGTAGGCTGCAGAATCAGCCTCTAAATCCTCCCTCTTTGTAAGGAAGCAGTAAATATCTTAATGACAAATCAGTGTACCTCAGGTTTTCTCAACGCTGTTAGAAAACCTTCCTGAGGTCCAGATGAACAGGTGATTAATGTACAAAACAATTAATCTTTGCCCAACATATACTCTCCCCTCTGCCTTTTAGTAACAGAACCACACAGCCCCTCCTAATCAGGGCAGGGCAATAGACTCCTGGCAGGAGCCTGCATTCCCCTGCCTCCTGAGGATGACAGACCGCGTGATGAGGTTCTGAACAGTGGATGTGCCCAGAAGTGATGAGTGTAGTTCAGGGTCGCCTTCTTGAGGATGCACTGCCCTCTTCCCTTCATTCCCCTCCACTTCCCAACTGAGATGATGTTTCAGGGGAGTGAGGCACCTTCAGCCATGCGAGGAAGGCAGGGACAGCCTATGGGGTGGCAGAGCGAAACACACCAGCTACTGGAAGCCCCATTACTCTGTGGAACAGTAACCCCGATGGCCCAGAGCAGCGCGCAGTGTAGATGCCACGCCCCACCCCCGCCCTGAGAGAAGCAACCTTCCCTCTTACTTGAGTCATGTCACTCAGTCACCTTCATGCAGCTGAGCCAGTGTCCGAATGAGTACAGAGACCAGGTCAAGACCTCCCCACCCAGTGATGCAGGGCGGGGCCAGAGTGCAGGGGCCAAGGTGCCCGAGAGGCCAAGGGGGCATCGGAACTGTGGTCTCTGCCTCAGCTGCAGAGACCTGCTTCCTTCCAGTTTTTAACTCTGCTGAGGAGGAGTCAGAGAGGAGGGAGGTGGAACAGAGGGGCACCCAGGAGACAGGGGATGACCAGGCTTGGGAGGCGGAGGGCGTAGGCACAGGCCGAGAGCTGGGGCCGGAGTAACCAGCACAGCAGGCTCCTCACAGCACTGTCCCAGCCATGTCCTTCCCTCTCGGGGACGTTTGCTTCTGTCACTGCAGTTAGGGGAGCCCCAGCCCCCATGTGACCTGAGCTGGGCTACCTCCCAGAGGGTGGGGTGGCTGGGGACACACCCCTTGTGTCCCGCCTCCCTTGCAGGCCTCTGCTGAGAATCGCAGCTGGGAAGGGTCAGCTCAGGGAGGGGATGAGCTCGCACCCCCAGGGCCTGCTGCCCACACTCAGCTTGTCCTGTCCTCTGAGCTGGTGGGAAAACCGCCATCCCCCCATAGAGATATTCTGTCTGAAACTAAGTCTCGAGAGTGTTTATCAAGACCTAGGAGATGAAAACACAGTGACTCAAAACCTATGGGATGCAGTAAAAGCAGTGCTAAGAGGGAGGTTTATACCAATACAAGCCTACCTCAAGGAACAAGAGAACCATCAAATAAACAATCTAACTTTGCACCTGAAGCAAATGGAAAGAAGAACAAAAACCCCCAAAGTTAGCAGAAGGAAATAAATTGTAAACATCACTACAGAAATAAATTTAAAAAGAAATGAAATAAACAGTAGCAAAGACCAATAAAACAAAAAGCTGGTTCTTGGAGAAGCTAAACAAAATTGATAAATCATTAGCCAGACCCATCAAAAAAATAGAAAGACTCGAATCAATAAAATTGAAAATGAAAAAGAAGTTATATCAGACAACACAGAAATACAAACAATCATGAGAGACTACTATGAGGAAATATATGCCAGTAAAATGGACAACCTGGAAGAAATGGACACATTCTTAGAAAAATATTACTTTCTAAAACTGAACCAGAAAGAAATAGAAAATATGAACAGGCCAGTCACAAGCACAGATTCCCAAAACTGTATTCACAAAATCTTCCAACAGACAAATATCCATGGCAAGAGAACTTAACAGGCGAATTCCATCAAAAGTTTTGAGAAGAGTTGTTACCTATCCTGCTCAAACTCTTCCGGAAAATTGCACAGGAAAAAAATCATCCCAGTTCATTCCATGTGACCACCATCACCCAGATACCAAAACCAGACAAGGATGCCACAAAAAAGAAAATCACATGCCAATATCACTGGGGAACATAGATGCAAAAATACTTAACAAAATTCTAGCCAACTGAATTGAACAACACATTAAAAAGATCATACATCATGATAAAGTAGACTTTATCTCAGGGATGCAAGGATTGTCCAGTATACAGAATATCACCATCACAGGAGAGACAAATCAATCAATATGACACACCATCTTAACAAAATGAAAGATAAAAGCCACATGGTCATCTCAGGAGATTAAGAAAAAGCTTTTGACAAAATCATACATTCATTTATTATAACTCTCCAGACAGTAGACATAGAAGAAGCATGTGAAAGTGAAGTCTCAGTCGTGTCAGGCTCTTTGCAACCCCATGGACCGTAGCTCACCAGGCTCCTCCGTCCATGGGATTTTCCAGGCAAGAGTACTGGAGTGGGTTGCCATTTCCTTCTCCAGAGGATCTTCCTGACCCAGGGATCAAACCCAGGTCTCCCACATTGTAGGCAGATGCTTTACTGTCTGAGCGACCAGGGAACCTAACATAATAAAGGACTTATACGACAAAGCCATAGCAAGCATTGCTCTCAACGGTGAGAAAGTGAGAGCATTTCCTCTAAGATGAGGAATAAAGCAAGGGTGCCCACTCTTGTCATGATTATTCAACATAGTTTTGGAAGTCTTAGCTACAGCAATCAGAGAAGAAAAAAAAAAAGAATCCAGACAGGAAAAGAAGTAAAATTCTCAGTTTGATGATAACACAATAATATACAGCGAAACTCTAAAGATGCCACCAGAAAATTACTAGAGGGAATCAATGAATATAGTAAATTTCAGTTCAGTTTAGTTCAGTCGCTCAGTCATGTCTGACTCTTTGCGACCCCATGAACCGCAGCACACCAGGCCTCCCTGTCCATCACCAACTCCCGGAGTCCACCCAAACCCATCTCCATTGAGTCGGTGAGCCATGCAACCATTTCATCCTCTGTCGTCCCTTTCTCCTCCTGCCCTCAATCTTTCCCAGCATCAGGGTCTTTTGCAATGGGTCAGCTCTTCAAATCAGGTGGCCAAAGTATTGAAGTTTCAGCTTCAATATTAGTCCTTCCAATGAACACTCAGGACTGATCTCCTTTAGGATGGACTGGTTGGATCCCGTAGCAGTCCAAGGGACTCTCAAGAGTCTTTTCCAACACCACAGTTCAAAAGCATCAATTCTTCAGTGCTCTGCTTTCTTTATAGTCCAACTCTCATATCCATACATGACCACTGGAAAAACCATAGCCTTGACTAGATGGACCTTTGTTGCCAAAGTAATGTCTCTGCTTTTTAATATGCTGTCTAGGTTGGTCATAACTTTCCTTCCAAGGAGTAAGCGTCTTTTAATTTCATGGCTGCAATCACCATCTGCAGTGATTCTGAAGCCCCCCCAAAAAATAAAGTCAGCCACTGTTTCCACTGTTTCCCCATCTATTTGCCATGTAGTGATGGGACTGGATGCCATGATCTTAGTTTTCTGAATGTTGAGCTTTATGCCAAATTTTTCACTCTCCTCTTTCACTTGCATCAAGAGGCTCTTAGTTCTTCTTCACTTTCTGCCATAAGGGTGGTGTCATCTGCATATCTGAGGTTATTGATATTTCTGCCAATAATCTTGATTCCAGCTTGTGCTTCCTCCAGCCCAGCATTTCTCATGATGTATTCTGCATATAAGTTAAATAAGGAGGGTGACAATATACAGCCTTGATGTACTCCTTTTCCTATTTGGAACCAGTCTGTTGGTCCATGTCCAGTTCTAACTGTTGCTTCCTGACCTGCACACAGGTTTCTCAAGAGGCAGGTCAGGTGGTCTGGTATTCCCATCTCTTTCAGAATTTTCCACAGGTTACTGTGATCCACACAGTCAAAGCCTTTTGTATAGTCAATAAAGCAGAAATAGATGTTTTTCTGGAACTCTCTTGCTTTTTCAATGATCCAGCAGATGTTGGCAATTCGATCTCTGGTTCCTCTGCCTTTTCTAAAACCAGCTTGAACATCTGGAAGTTCTCGGTTCACATATTGCTGAAGCCTGGTTTGGAGAATTTTGAGCATTACTTTACTAGCGTGTGAGATGAGTGCAATTGTGTGGTAGTTTGAGCATTCTTTGGCATTATCTTTCTCTGGGATTGGAATGAAAACTGACATTTTATGGTCCTGTGGCCACTGCTGGGTTTTCCAAATTTCCTGGCATATTGAGTGCAGCAGTTTCACAGCGTCATCTTTCAGGATTTGAAATAGTTCACCTGGAATTCAATTGCCTCCACTAGCTTTCTTCATAGTGATGCTTCCTAAGGCCCACTTGACTTCACATTCCAGGATGTCTGGCTCTAGGTGAGTGATGATACCATCATGATTATCTGGGTTGTGAAGATCTTTTTTGCACAGTTCTTTTGTGTATTCTTGCCACCTCTTCTTAATATCTTCTGCTTCTGTTAGGTCCATACCATTTCTGTCCTTTATTGAGCCCATCTTTGCATGAAATTTTCCCTTGGTATCTCTAATTTTCTTGAAGAGATCTCTAGTCTTTCCCATTCTGTTGTTTTCCTCTATTTCTTTGCATTGATCACTGAGGAAGGCTTTCTTATCTCTCCTTGCTATTCTTTGGAACTCTGCATTCAAATGTGTATATCTTTCCTTTCCTCCTTTGTTTTTTGCTTCCCTTCTTTTCACAGATATTTGTAAGGCCTCCTCAGACAGCCATTTTGCTTTTTTGCATTTCTTTTTCTTGGTGATGGTCTTGATTCCTGTTTCCTGTACAATGTCATGAACCTGCATCCATAGTTCATCAGGCACTCTGTCTATCAAGATCTAGTCGCTTAAATCTATTTCTCACTTCCACTGTATAGTCATAAGGGATTTGATTTAGGTCATACCTGAATGATCTAGTGATTTTCTCCACAATTTCAGTCTGAATTTGGAAATAAGGAGTTCATGATCTGAGCCACAGTCAGCTCCCAGTCTTGTTTTTTCTGACTGTATAGAGCTTCTCCATCTTTGGCTGCAAAGAATGTAATCAACCTGATTTTGGGGTCGACCTTCTGGTGATGTCCATGTGTAGAGTCTTCTCCTGTGTTGTTGAAAGAGGGTGTTTGCTATGACCAGTGCCTTCTCTTGGCAAAACTCTATTGGACGTTGCCCTGCTTCATTCTGTACTCCAAGGCCAAATTTGCCTGTTACTCCAGGTGTTTCTTGACTTCCTACTTTTGCATTCCAGTCCCCTATAATGAAAAGGACATCTTTTTTGGATGTTAGTTCTAGAAGATCTTTTAGGTCTTCTTAGAACTGTTCAACTTCAGCTTCTTCAGTGTTACTGGTTGGGGCATAGATTTGGATTACTGTGATATTGAATGGTTTGCCTTGGAAACAAACAGAGATTATTCTGTCATTTTTAAGATTGCATCCAAGTATTGCATTTCAGACTCTTTAGTTGACTATGATGGCTACTCCATTCCTTCTAAGGGATTCCTTAGAATACTTAGAATAGATAGTAAAGTTACAGGATATAAAATTAGTAAACTGAAATCCTTTGCACTCCTATACACTAATAATGAAAGACACATGTACCCCAGTGTTCACTGCAGCACTATTTGCATTAGCTAGGATATGGAAACAGCCGAGATATCTGTTGACATGGATAAAGAAGTCGTGATACATATATGCAATGGAATATTCAGTTCAGTTCAGTTCAGTTCAGTCACTCAGTCGTGTCTGACTGTTTGCGACCCCATGAAACGCAGCACGTCAGGCCTCCCTGTCCATCACCAACTCCTGGAGTTTGCTCAAACTCATGCCCATAGAGTCAGTGATGCCATCCAGCCATCTCATCCTCTGTCGTCCCCTGCCCCCAATCCCTCCCAGCATCAGGGTCTTTTCCAGTGAGTCAACTCTTCGCATCAGTTGGCCAAAGTATTGGAGTTTCAGCTTCAGCATCAGTCCTTCCAATGAACACCCAGGAGTGATCTCCTTTAGGATGGACTGGTTGGATCTCCTTGCAGTCCAAGGGACTCTCAAGAGTCTTCTCCAACACCACACTTCAAAGCATCAATTCTTCGGCACTCAGCTTTCTTCACAGCCAAACTCTCACATCCATACATGACCACTGGAAAAACTATAGCCTTGACTAAACGGACCTTTGTTGGCAAAGTAAAGTCTCTGCTTTTTAATATGCTGTCTAGGTTGATCATAACTTTCCTTCCAAGGAGGAATATTATCAGCCATAAAAAGGAACGCATTTGGAGGAAAGGAAAGCCCAATGCCATCATGATGTCCTACACACAGTCCCTCTTTAATGGAGTGCCGATGGGTAGAGCTCAGCCCACGCTGCAGTCAATCCTGGCTCATCCACTGACTCTTTGTCCTTCTTGTAGCCTCAGTCTCAGTGTCTCTTCTGCAAAGGAGTCTGAGAGCATGATGCCCTCTGCACACCCTGCCTTTAGTGGTGAGTGAGCTGATATGTGTAGAGAACACTTGTTAAATGGAGAGGAATGGCCTGTAAGTGGCCAGTGTGTGTGGAGATGGAGGGGATGGTGCTGATGGTGGCAGTGGCACTGGTGTTGGAGGTGGTCCAGGGGTAGATAGTGATGGTGGGGGTCATGGTTGTGATGGTGATGGTGATGGTGTTGGAGGTGCTGGTGTCAGAAGTGATGCAATGACGTGCTGGGCTGCTAGTGGTGGTGCTGGTTCTGGTGCTGGCGGGTGAGGTGATGGCAGAGATGGCATCTGACCTTTACTGATCTTGTACTACGGACCCACATACTGCACACTAGGTGCTCTGTTGGAATCATCCCAATTTAATCCTGGTAACACCCCTTTGAAGTGGATCTTACATCACTATCAAGCACTTTTCCAGAGGAGGGAACTGAGGCCTAATGAGGTTGCATCACTTGCCCAGGGTCACAGGGCTGGGAAGGAGCAGAGTCAGGAGACAGCCAGGCTGGCTGGTCTAGAGTCCACACCCTTATCCCCTGCACTCAGGCACAGACATGGATGTAGTACCGACAATCACAGTGTTGACTGGTCAGTCTCCTGCTGAGAGGGGAAGATGGAGCCCAGGACGAGGGCTCAGACTCCCAATCCCAGCCCCATGGAGGCCACAGGGACCCTGGTCTGGGGAAGGGTAATCGAACCTGTGAGCTGGAGGATCTGGTCATCAAAGTGGGTCACAGCCTCATCGTGCATGACCTGGCCTCCGAGGACAAACTCCAGGCGACCTTCAGCCACGAGCTGGTGGACCTTGGCATGGTGGGCAGAGAGAAAAGGCCATGTTATATCCCCTGGGCTGAGCCAGTTGTGTTTTCTGGGCACATGCCTATAGTATCTCATGGTCCTTCCTTCAAACTCCTCAGCCTCATTTCTTCTGCAAATAGCAGGACGCTGTCTGTCCTGGTCAGCACTGTGTCCATCTCTGAGAACAGGACCTGGCCATGGCTGCTGCTTCATCAGGCGTATATACAGGTATATATGTTCACAACTTTTGCTTTTGAATGATGTCAAAATATGGAAAACTTGCAGGAATTGTACCCAAAAACTCCCATAAATCATTCTCCAGATTATCTCATTGCTAACTTTTTTACCTCTTTCTGTTAACACTCCCCCATGTCATTACACACATTATTCTTTTTCTAAACCATTTGAAAGTACAAGTTAGCAATTGCTTGCCTTTATCTGAATAGTTCAGGTCATTTTTGAGAAACAAAGATCATTACAACTGCTATATAATGATCAAAACTCAGGCTATTAGACATTAGTAACAAGTGCGTGTGTTCATACTCAGTTTCTTGGAATGTCCAACTCTTTGTGATCCCATGGACTGTGCCCCACCAGGCTCCTCTGTCCATGAGCTTCTCCAGGCAAGAATACTGGAGTTTATCCTTTAATTTACAACACTTCCTGAGACTTTCTGTTTCATAACTTTTATGGTTTCAGGCTAGTACATTTGTAGCATGCTCTTCAAATTGCATTTGTCACATGATTGCCTAACAAATATTTTAGAATACAGGAATGAAGGAAATTTCCTGGGGCTTCAGTGTGTAGGATGCAGTTTCAGTTTTGAGGATGTGAGTTTGATCCCTTCTTGGGCTTCCCTGGTGTTTCAGATGGTGGGGAATCTGTCTACAATGCAGGAGACTCTGGTTTGATCTCTGGGTCAGGAAGATTCCCTGGAGAAGGGAACAGCTATCCACTCAAGTATTTGTACCCAGAGAATTCCATGTACATAGAAAACTGGCAGGTTACAGTACATGAGATGGCAAGGAGTTGGACGTGACTGAGTTACTTTCCTTTTTACTTTAACTAGGGAGCTAACAACGCACAGACCTCATGGTGCAAACAATAAAACACATCCATCAAAGAAGGGAATAATAGAAGCATACAGTCAAGAACTGTGACAATGAGCACATCATGCTCTTGGGAGACTGTGGTTTTGATTTGATCTGAAAGTACTCTCTTTGCAGTTCATTCATTTGAGAAATGTGGAATGACACCTACCATATTGTTTTAAATGTGTACCTGCTTTATTATGGGCACCATTCAGACACTGGGATTCAGTCCAAACAACTCAGAGATAATTGCTAGTTTCCAGGGACATATTGCTGAATGTCCTGGTCTTAGCCAGCGGACACTTTACTGTGGGAGCAGGATTAAGTGACTTGGGTCTGGGGATGTCCATGTAAAGAAGGAAGAGCTGCCCAATGGACACCCAGAGAGCTGTGCTTTGATTCACAATACTCATCCAGAACCCAGCTGTCAGCTATAAGCTGCGTGACCTTGAGCCAGCTGCCTGCCCTCTCTGAACCCGGACCAGTTCTGTGCAGTAGGACCAGTGTCCTCACCATGCGGGTTGTGGGAGGAGTCAGTAGAGTAACCTGTACAGACCTGAGCCCAGCACCCGGCTCGCGGCAGAGCCCATCAGATGGGAGGCTCGTCCTCTCGGCTCCACAGGCTGCAGGTTCGCATCCCCTCTGGGGCCTGGGGGACACCCGGCTTCACCGTCTGAGCTCTCTGCCTTGAGCAGGTGGCTGAGTCTCTGAGTTTCACCATCGGCGACTGTTCTGAGGGCAGGTGATGCCTGGACGGGACCACACTCCAGAGGCACCCTAGGTGCTCACACCGTGGGCACATTCTGGGCACAGCCTCTCTGAGGAGGGAGGCCACTCCTGCTTCCAGATGTGGGACCTGCAGCTAAAGAGCCAGCCCCGCCTGTGATCACACGGGGAACGAGGGGAGGCCCTGACCCCAGGCTGCCCCTCCTTGGACCAGGGCCTCTGACCCCCTGGACACGGAGTTAATCAGCCCTGGAGGTTAATCCACAGGGCCTCCTGCACCCTGGCTGGTCCTGGGCTCTGGGGCCCATGGGTCCATGCAGATCGACAAATGAAGTCAGAAGCTGTGGACACAGGTCACCCCAGATTGCCCAGTGTCAGAGGGGACCTCATTCTCACCAGCTGAATGCCTGGCTGGGCTGCCAGAGCTGCAATTATTCAGGAGGAACCAGAAAGGCAGGGTCAAACACAACCCTGTCCCCTGGGCATGGGGCTGACCACAAACCTGTACTAAACGGACCCTGGGCACAGCTCAGCCGGGTTGGGGCCCCCTGGTTTATGCAGCCCCGCCCTGGCCACACAGAGCACAACCCAGGAGCTTCCTGAAGGGTCGTCCCCGGGACCCCCAGGGCATCCGCTCTCAGCTGCCTGGTGAGGACCCCCTGAGCGCAGCGTTACCTGGCCTTTCTGCCCGTCCGAGGCGACGCCATCCCACCAGAGCCGGAAATACTCCTGCTCCACAGCGATGAACCTGCGCTTCTTCTCAAGGGTCAGCTCCTCCACCACGGAGTTGTAGACATTGGTGACATAAGCCTGCATGCTCTCCTGGGGTGGGGAGGGGGAGAGGCCATCACTCCAGCCCTGTGGGGGAAACCAGAGGGCGTGGACCAGGGACCGAGGAGGAACGTGCAGGGAGACACGGTGTCCGGGGCCCACTGGCACTCCCACCCAGCCTGCCCTAGACTCTCCCTCCTCCTCAAACAAGGGAGACTGGTGTCCACTCTCTGCTGAACGGGCGGTGAGCCCTGCACTGAGAGAAGGACCCGGGTGGACCCCCTTAGATGGGAGCCTGCCCCTGAGGAGAGTCATGAGGGGACAGAGACTCTATGGGACAGAGACTCTATGAGACAGAGGGATGTGCCAGTCCAGTGGGGTGTGCTGACCTCTCCTGCCTTTGAGGACCGACAATTGACAACAGGGCCCCGGGATTGAGGTCCAGGGACTCAGATGGGCCTTCTTGGGATGAAATGATGGGGAAGTGTGCGTCAAGGGATGAGGCTGAGAGGAGCTGACCCCGCAAGTCGTCTCTCTGGATCTATCTCCTCCCCCGAGGCTGGGAGCCCCCAGGATGGAGCTGAGCGTGCTCCCATCTGGGTCAGGCTGGCTCACCGTGGTGCCTGGATGCTGATAAAGGAATGCAAGGAGCCCTGGGCAGAGAGTTATTGGGCAAGGCGGAGATGTCTGCTGACTTGGGCAGCACCCCACCCTGGGCCTCAGTGTCCCTTCTGTAAACTGGGGGTGACGAGCCTGCTTCCCAGACGTCAACAGTTCCACACGCAGGTGGGTGACCACCCACAGAGGCTGCCAGTGAGCCGGGACCAGACTCAACACTCAGCCTCAGGGCCTCTTGCTGCCTGACTCCCTTTAAAGTGAGCGACTCACTTATTAACGTCTCATGGAAAGTATTGTATGCATGATTACAGAGTGGTCCTATTCATTTATTTCCTTCCTCCTTCTAGAAAAGAGCTTGTGCAGTCCTGGGTAATCATTTCAGTTACCTGCACTGGAAACTTACGGAAATCATTCTTGCCCTCTTTTCCTCGGCCCTGGCTCATACATTCACTCAAGGCATATTTGAGGAACACGTTCCACTCATTGCGGCAGGGGACACATTCTCACCCCTGCCCACAGCCAGCTCATGTGAGTTGCTCAGTCGTGTCTGACTCTGTGGCCCCATCAGCCCTATCCCGCCATGCTCCTCTGTCCATGGAATTTTCCAGGCAAGAATACTGGAGTGCATTGCCGTTTCCTTCTCCAGCATATCTACCTGACCCAGGAATCAAAGCTGGGTCTCCATCACTGCAGCAGATTCTTTACCATCTGAGCCAGCAGGGCAGTCCTCAGCCAGTCCAGAGCCAGGGAGTGATGGACCCCAGGCTGAGATCCCTGATGGCAGAGACCCAGGACACAAACCCACTCTGGAGTCCAGACAGAAAAAGAGCTGCAGCTTCAAGAGGTTGCAGGGGTCACTCGGGGCACCTACCTGTACGGTGTGCAGCCAGCCCACGTCCATGTGGCTGTGGGGAACCACGAATACCCTCAGTCGGGGCTCAGAAGGAGCCCCCAGGGGCCACATCAGTTCCAACTGCAGGAGCAGAGGCAGCCAGCCCCGCGGCTCCATGTCCTCGGCCAGCACAGGGGCTGGAGGATGTCTGCCTGCCTGCGGGCCCCGCCTCCTGCCAGCCGATGGGTCCACCACCCTTTGGTGGATGCAGTCCTCATGCCCCTCCCTTAGGCCTCTCCCGGTATTTCCCAACTGGGCATCTTACCCACCCCTGCCCCCAACCCACTGGACTGGCTCCTTCACACTGCCCTGCAAATCCTAACTCTCAGTGTGGGGCCTGCCACCACCAGGAACACTCTCCTTCACATGAAACCCCAAGTCTGAGACTTGCAGTAGGGGTTGTCATCTCTCTTTTAAGGGGGCTTTCACAAATAGGACCTGAGTATCCCAGGTCACACAGCTAGTTTAGGAGCAAGAGGGCCTGAAAATTTCAGAATTAGGTCTGGATCATGGATAGTGACCTTGGCAAGATGCCTGAACCCTCTAGGCCTCAGCAGCCCATCTGTAAATTGGGACCCATAGAGGAGCTGGGGACCTGAGAGGGAATTCACAGGAGATGACAACAGCGGGGTCACCTTCCTGGAGGATGGCTGGCATGGTGGTGCAGCCTGCAGGGGCCAGAGTGTTGCCTGGGGGTCTCTGTAACCATGACTTGGAGCAGGGTCTGGGAGTGTGTTCTGCTGTCTGACCTCCAAATGCCTGAGCGGCTCTTTCTGTCGCTGCCCGACCTGAGACTCACTCTCACTTTTGGCCACCTTGTCCCCTCCCCCAGCAAATACATCTGGAGAACACGGTCTCCAAGCAGGTCTCTATCCTTCCTGTATCATCCCCCTCCCTGGTACCGACCTGGCCTGACTTGACGTGGACTTTCCTCCCAGTGGGGGTCTTAACAGCGACACATCCCATCTCACAGATCTGGAGACCAGAAGGCCCCGGAGAGTCAGGGCTCAGGGCAGATTCTGTGACAGCCTCGGGGGCTCGCTCTCCGTCACTGGGTGCTTGCTAAATCGCTTTAGTCAAGTTCGATTCTGAAGGACCCTATGGACTGCCGGTCCTCTGTCCATGGAATGCTCCGGAAAAGAATACAAGAGTGTGCTGTCATGCCTCCTGCAGGAGTTCTTCCCAACCCAGGGCTTAAACTTCAGTCTCTTATGTCTCTGGCATTGGCAGGCATGTTCATCACCACTAGGTGGCTCAGAAGGTAAAGAATCTGCCTGCCATGCAGGAGACCGGGGTTCAGTCCCTGGGTAGGGAAGATTACCTTGAGAAGGGAATGGTTACTCACTCCAATATTCTTGCCTGGAGAATTCCATGGACAGGGGAGCCTGGTGGGCTAAGTCCATGCGGTCACAAAGAGTCAGACATGACTGAGCAACTAACACCCTTGTCCTTCAACAGAAGGTAGCATTTCCTTGCAGGGACAGGCTTCAGCACAGGAGCAGTTCTTTCTGGATCAGGCTCTGTCATGCCCAGTCGTCCAGTGGAAGAGGCTACTTGAGTTTCTGGGACCCATGACCTTGGTTCCTGGAAGCAAATTACCGAGCAAAAGGGCCGGTGCACATGTGTTCGGCTCCAAGGAACATCACCATGGACTCCACAGTGAACCCGAACACCGTGAGAAGGACATGTGGTCCCTGAGGACCCCACAGCAGTGCCAGCTGGTGCCCAGGGTCACACGTGGGCGTGCAGCCTGTGACCTCTTCCTGATCTGGGCCATAGCGGCTCATGAGAGTGTGAAGCATGACTTGCGCTGGGTGTTCCAGAGAAAGAACAGCCCGACCCTACACTGTGCTGCATGGGAGCTTGTAAGATGGACCCACCAGCACCATTTCCACCTATTCTTTGTGACATCAGCGCTGTCTGTCCTCTAGGGCGTGTGAGCAGCCTGGGGGCTCAGGATGCCCTGATGGGCAAACTGCCTAGGGCTGCACCCAGTGCCAAGCGCCTCCCCCCAGCAGCAGGGGCCCGGCATCCTCTAGCTTCCAACATTTCAGCTCCCGTGTCTGCCCTCTGGGAGTCTGACCCGAAACCTGCACCTGGACCCTCCAACACTTGTCCCCTATGCCTTTCTGGCCTCAGCTCCCACCCCTCTTCTGCTCAGTCCATCCTGATGCTGCTGGAAGGTCCACTGCCCCCCCTCCTCACGACCCTTTTCCTCTGCTGTGTCCTGGCCTGGAAGGAGCCCCGTCCTCCCAGCACCACAGCTGCGGGGTCAGGGCCTCCCTACAGGTCGGGCCCTTTCCCAGGTCAGGCCCATGCAAGTGCTGTTTCCTCTGCTGGGGAGGGTCTTCCTCCACTTCCTGTCTGGAAGCTTGCTATTCCTCCTTTATTTCTCCCCATCACCTAGAGATTTTCTCTGGGCCTCCCATCCCACCTCCATAGCATTGACTGAAGAATACAATTCTGTATTAACCTGTGTGCTTGGCCCACACACTTCTCACCCACCAGACAGGCTTCATGGGCTCACTCTGTTCTCTGCTGGATCAGGACTGGGACCAAAGCAGGAGCTCCTGATCTTTGGGGGGAAAGAACCCAGGGATGTAACTGTCATGGACATGGCTGTCCCCTCCTAACATGGACAACATGGGTGATACCCACAGCACAGCATATAAGGCTCAGCTCAGCAGCTCCTCCCAGCTCCACCTCTACCCACTGTGTGAGCCAGCCCCTCACCCCCGGAGCAGGCCAGTGCACACCTCCTGACAGCCTGACGAGACCCCCGGCTCCTGACCTGTACGGGGGGCACCTGTAGGTCTGTCCATAGGGTGGTTTGGATACTAAGCTGGTGGAGATGTAAGTGCTCCCCCCCGCCCCCGCCCCCAGTGCCTGACCGCAGAGATAACTCTCCTCACACACAGCAGGTCCGCCCCACCCCAGGCTGCAAAGCTGCCCTGCATCCTGTTCTCAAGTTTTGATCATAAACAGCCACTGAACTCTGACTGTGTGCCAGGCTCTGTGCTGGGAGGTGAGGGGACAGCAGTTGTGCTGCCCCCAGGATGTCCTTGTGGGGACACAGGACGTGGCCATGGTAGCTCTGTCCACAGGAGGATCTGCTCTGGTGGTCTGGAGGTGCTTGGAGGACCCTGGAGGGCTTCCTGGAGGAGGGGTGGAGGGGACAGAGTGCGGGGGAGATGGCTGGTCCTGGGCCATGGTGTGGGAGGAGAGGCAGGGTGAGCCTGGGTCTTGCAGGCTCTTTCGCTCTGCTCTGGCTTCCTCTCTTTATAACTCCACCTGTTCCCTCTCCCTGGCCTCCTCCCCTCTAATCTCCCTCTGGGGCTGGGGGAGGGGCTGGCAGGGTATTCAAGTCCATCCACTCCTGCACTTTAGGGTCATTAGTGTCCAGAGTGGAGGTTGTTGTTCCCGTATTGGGTGAGGCAGCTGGAATCAGGTCAGTCCTCCACTCATCTGTCAAGATTACATGGGGAGCACCTCTATTGTCCTCCTTGGAACAGGCTTCCAGGGCTTTTTGCAGCTCTATAGGGCATCCCTGGGGAGCAGGGGAGTGCAGCCATCTCTGCTCCCAGCAGAGGGCGTTTGGTGACTGGGGAGAAGGACAAGATTTTCAGGGCAGAGTCAAACATCCACCGTTTGTGAATCTTTCTCTCTACCATTTCAGTTTGTCTTGCCTAAAATGGGCTTTACACTAAGGCAGGCAACGCCAGTGCGGAACCTGGGCACAGAGGACACGGCTGAACGGCATCCACGCATTTCCATACAGTCATCTCCTCCTGACGTCTCTCCTTTTCCCCTTCCTGTGCCAACGCTTCCAGGAGAGGCCCCCTGCCAGCTCCAGGACCCCTCCATGTCTTGATCTGTCTCATAATGGTCACCGGGAGCCCAGAGTTCTGAGGCAGCTGCTGTTCTTGGTCCTGAAATTATGAGACCAGTGGGATCTTTAATATTAATAATCCTCACCCTGGGTGTTCCGGGTTTCACTTGCTATATGGTTTCCTTCCATCTTTTGGTGGCCTGATCTGTAGGAACTTCCTGTAGGGCAGGTGTGCCCAGGGACCAGGGCAAGAGTCTGAGATTGGACACAGAGCTTGGCATCACACATCCAGGTCAGTAGCTCACTCCCATATATCTTAGGCATAGCCCTCCACAGCAGGGGCGTCAACACCCTGGGATGAGTCCATGAAGGAACCCAGGACACAGCACGGCCACTGGTAACCCTGGGGGACTTGCTGAGATCTGGCAGGATCCAGGCAGATGCATTCTGGGATCCCTGTGGATTATTGCTTCTGTCTTTGGGAGAACACCTGGCTTTGACTCTTGCAGGTGAAGCAGGAGGGTGAGCATGTGTGAAGCTACCGTCTGTGACAGGAGAGGAGAGAGAGGGCCGGCTCCAGTGGGCAGGGGAAGACACGGGTCCTTAATGCGATTTTATTTAAGAAGTCAGAACACCCCCATCCATCCATTTCCTGTCGTTAGCCCACCAGCTTGGCAGCTGTTCCCCTCACCCTCTAGGCTGCTTTTCTGTGTCCTGGGACCAAGAATCTGCCAAGGGCTCACTGCTCTTGAAAGTGAATGAAGAACGTGCGGATCTCCTTCGGGTAGATGGTGACCTCGGGGCCTCCTGGAGGTGGCGGGGGCTGACTGGAGTTGCCTGGGAGCAGAGAGGGTCTGTCCGGCACGGCCCCTGGACCACCTGCTTCCCGAGGCCCCCTCCTCCCAGCATCCCCCTGGCAACACGGCGCCTGCTCCGTCTGTGGCTCCCACTGTGACCACAGCCCTCAGCGGCCCCCTCCTGACAGGACTGCACTGCCGGGGGGCCTCTTTCATTTCCGGCCTCCCCCGAGGGCCCGGCACAGTCAAGGCGTGTGCAGGGGGCTTGGGGCTGCTTGGTCTTGTTGCTCTGTGGGTGGTGGCTCCGTATATGTGCCTACGATTCCTCTCACTGAGGCCATGGGGGGCCCTGGCCTTGATCTCAGTGGGCTGTCCTCAGACACACCCTGGGCTTTAGGCTTCCTCCTTGGGATGAAACTTGCTCCTGCATCCATCCCTCTATCCATCCATCCATACAAACATCCAATCATCCACCATACACTCTTCCATCC